CTGAGTTCAAACCCAGGACTGTGAAAAAAAAGCACAGCCGGGCATGATGGTGCATGCCTGTAATCCCAGCATTCCAGAGGCAGAAAGAGCTCATAGCTCGATTTTGTCTCAATATTTAAAGGAAAAGAAGAAACAATTTCTAAGACTCATCCTGGTTTCCTGGCTGCTTCTGCAGGACCAGCCCTTGGGCTGTCATCAGTGTACTTGCTCCAAGTTTCACAATTTCGAGTTCGTGGCTCTTTGAGAAAATTTGCTTCATTCTCTGTATTTATCGGACGCCTTGAGGAAAATGCAAAGCTGCGAGAACATAATTTCAAGTGACTCCTTTGAATTTCATCTGTTTGAATCATTCACAGATAGATAAGAAAGAGAATTTAAGGATGACAAATTAGCCAGGCACCAGTGGCTCACGCCTGTAATCCCAGCTACTCAGGAGGCCGAGGCAGGAGGATTGTGGTTCAAAGCCAGCCCAGGCAAATAGTTTGTGAGACCCTATCTCAAAAATCCTTCATGTATGCACAGAAAAAAGGGCTGGCAGAGTGGCCTAGCGATTGTGAGGCCCTGAGTTCAAATCCCAATGCTGCAAAAAAAAAAAAAAAAAGATACCAAATTGAAACACCCAGAAAGTTTTGTAAATTTTCAGGCAAAATCCAGACGTGCTTTCTGCCCGTGCAAAATGTAGGGTTTTCACATAAATATTTTTCATTGCAGTGTCATCTCTAAACGCCACCTGACGCCACCAACATCACTTACCAAATTCTACTTTAGTCATTGTTCGTTGGTTTCCATTTCCCCATTGTAGAATCAAGACTTTTGACCATATTCCTTCACTTTTCACAGATTTTATTTCCGACAGCATCCTGAAATAAATCCCACGATCGTAATCTGTGTCCAATCCACCATGTAAATAAATTAGGGAGCCAAGCCGGTGACGCCAAGCATGAGGCCCTGAGCTCAAGCGCCAGTACTGAGAGAGACAAACAGACAGACAGACAGGCTGGAACCTAGTGCTCTCCCACTTGAGCCGCACCCCCAGCCCAGGCTGGCGGATTTTCCTGTCTCTGCCTCCTGGATAGCTGGGATTACAGGCGTGCGCACCAGGCCCGCCAGAAATCCCAATATTTGTCGTGGACACAAAGCAGCCCGCCCGGCCTTCAGGTCCTGGGCGTTGTCTTTGCTCTGAAGAACTCTGTCCTTCTGCACTGTTTGCTCCACAAACATCCTGGAAAGATAGCTGGAGCCCAGGCGGTCCCTGCCCCTGAGTGACAGGCGTGTGGAAATTTGAGATGTCCTTGGAGCAGTGACCCCAAGGCAGCGGTGCCTTCCTTGAGAGTAACTTGGGGTGCCCAAGGGGATGGTGGAGGGGCTCTGTGTGAACTCTGGAGTCAGCCAGGCTGAGTTCAAATCCCCACTCTGCCACTCCTTGAGTGGTTAGGTTACTGTACCTTTGTGTGCCTCAGTTTCTCCTTCTGGGTGTCACGGGGAGCACTGGGAAAGAGTGAGTTTGTGCACGAAGCACAGCGTCCCGGGCACACTGAGGCTCTGTGTGAGCTGTAATTATTGTTAATTGCGGTGACGATGCTGTCAGGCTTGCCGTCATGCCTGTTCTGTAGCTCTGTCGCCCACACACTTCCCTCCCAGGGTGGCTCAGAGGGGACATGAGGTCCCCGGCTCCCCACCCCCCTCGCAGCGACTTGTCCCTTCCCAGGTCATCTTCATAAACAGTGACAGGAAGGCAGCCCCGTTTCATGGTCCTGGGGAATCAGACAGACTCGAGTTCAAGTCCTGGCTTTGCCACCTGCCAGCTGAGTCACCTTGGGCCAGCAATTCTGCAGCTGGGGACTTCCATGCACGTGTGCACAGGCTCTGGGTGATGTGCCCCCCAGGTCCTCAACACGGAAATGCCCCCAGCACCCCATGTGCACTGCCCAGCCCGGGAGGGGCGTGTCTGAGTCATCCTGAGCCAGGGCCATTTTTATTATTGTCCTTGTCATTTTATTATTCAGTAAGCAAGACTTCCTAAGACACGGGCTGAGGACTGCCTTGCTGTGTTCCATCTGTTCTCTGAGACTGTCGCCTGCGCTTCCGCATGCCTCAAATTCCAGGGGACACCTCGGTGGGCTGGGGAAGGGCACCCCCATACTGTCCTCTGTCACTCGACCCCCACCCCCACCTCTGCACTCAGGGCCACACCCCCCCCGCGCGTAGTCCCGCCCACTGGTGATATTTGCATATGCCCCACCCCCGCCCCAAACTGACAAAACCCATACACGGGCAGGACAGAGGTGCTGACCAATCAACACCCGCTGGGGACAGCCCTCAGCCAATGAGGATTGAGGATAAATACCACGCTCAAGTCCCAGCGCGTGCGCTCTGCTGCCTCTCGCAGGTCGGTAGTGGTACTGCACCCAGGCAGGGCACAGAGATCCTGGCCTTCCTCCTGCCCCGTCGTCCCCTCCCTGTGCCCTAGGGTCACCTTCCGAATAGGCTCCTGGCCCTGGAATGCTTGTCTCAGGGACGGCTTCTAGGAAAGCCGCTGGAACTCCTCCCCACCAGCGTTTGCCCTCTTGCCCCCACTCTGAGCTCAGTCCTGTCCACTGGGTCCCTAAGCCCTGCACAGTGCCTGGCATTTGTCACATGCTCCATAAGTGACCCTGAGTCACGTGTGGTGAGGTGTCCAGCATGGTGACAGGGAGCACTGCCCTCCTCTCTTCTGTCCTCAGAAGCCCCCAGTTGGAGGCTTACAGTGGGGGACAGGCACTCGCTCCTTTTGAGCTCTAAATGGTGACTTCCAACTGCTTTGTGTCCCGAGCCACGTGGCTTGGCCAGCTGGGCCAGAAACTCCAAATGGCCCTTCCATCCCTGACCAGGACTCCCGGGATGTTCCCTAGGTAGGTACACAGGGAGGGCAGAAGTCGGTCCCAAGGCTGGGGACAGGGAGCAGAGAAGGACCTGATGGGGACAGGGGCACAGCCGGCTGTAACGCCATTCCTCTAGCCCCTTCTGTCCCCTGCCTCAGATTCCACCTGCAGGAGATTGCTCCAAGGACAAGAGTCTGCCCTACAAGGCCACCGACTAAGCAGACATGTCCTATGGGACAGATCCCTTTCCAAAGCTGGTGGTGTCACACCTGGAATTAGCCACACCAGCTGTGGCAGGGCTGGGCCCAGGGTCACCAAAGTCAGCAAGAATGGGGCCAGGTGACCTGGAGTGAGAAAGAAGGTAGCATGGAGGCAGGTGCTGGGGCGGAGAGGGGTTTTAGGACCGTGCTACAGCTCAGTTCTGGAGTCTACTGGTCACTGACGAGCTGGGGGACCTTGGGTGAGCTGCTTTGGGCCTCAGTTTCCTCATCTGTAAAATGCGGAAGGGGCAGGATGGGATGCAGCTTGGTTGAAGAGTCAAAGGTGTCTGGGTTGGAGCCACCTGGATGGATGGCTTTGAACATAAACTTGAGGGAAAACCTTGGCTTCCTGTGCTCAGAATGGGAATGGAAAAGTCCCCACCACCAAGCGCTGGAAGACTGAACAGTTACGACAGCGTTCCTTTGTCACAAGGAGAAACTGAGTTCACACAGGGAGGGGGCGAGATTAGGGAAGGGGAGGAGAAGAGAGCAGGGGAGGGGTCTGGGGTAAGCCCTCTCAGCTCCTGAACGTGGGAAGAAGTCAGTGTGCGTAAAACACGAGAGTGCGGGTGCAGTGGCTCACACCTGTAATCCCAGCTACTCAGGAGAAAGAGATCAGGAGGATAGTGGTTCAAGGCCAGCCTGGGCAAATAGTTTGTGAGACCCTAAAACCCATCACAGAAAAGGGCTGGTGGAGTGGCTCTAGGTGTAGACCCTGAGTTCAAACCACAGTACCACAAAATAATTAATTAATTAATTAATTAAAAAACATGACAGAGGTTCCAGATGCAACCTTCAGGGCCCCCACCCAACACAGCAAAGCGGTCTCACATGTCCTTCATCCTGGCCCCTCTGCAGCCTTGCCGGGGGCCCAAGCCTTGATGCTGGGCCTTGGAGTTCAGGACTTTGTGTGGGAATCTAGGACGTCTTCCTGGGGGAGGGGCCATCTGCTGTGGGCTTTGAAGGATGAACAGAAGTGTGAGAAGTGCTTAAGTGGAAAGCACAGAAGTAAGTTCATTTGCTGGTTCCGTGGGTGCTGGGGAGCCATGGCAGGTTCTGAGCAGGGCAGAGGAGCATGGAGGTAAGGAGGGTGTCAGGAGCAGCAAGGGTTTCTAAGAGATGGTCTCCACCCACTTGCTGGCCAGGCTTTGACTCTTGTGAGTTGGATGTGGTAGAAGTCACAGGGCAGAGGAAAGATGGAGACAGAGAGAGGCAGGGACCTAAGAGAGGAGATGGAGTGGGAAGGAGTGGAGGGAAAGAAAGGAAGGAAGGGAGGGAGGGAGGAAAGGAGGGAGAAGAAGAAAGGAAGGAAGGAGGGAGGGAGGGAGAAGAAGGAAGGAAAGGAGGGAGGGAGAAGAAGGAAGGAAGGAAGGAAGGGGAGTAATCAAGGGAGCCTTCCTGGAGGTGGTGGTAGGAGATGTACCCACAGGACCCAGGAGGACAGAGAAGAAAAGAACAGAGACCTCACATCCGGGAACCAGGTCTCTGCCGCCATGGGCACTAAACCCCCTTTAATCCCCTCCGCCACAGGCAGGGAAACTGAGGCCATCAGTCTGGGTCTGTGCACCCACACCCCAGGCCCTTATCTGGAGTCCCCCGGGGGCTCCCCGAAGAGCCCCAGACCCACGTGTCACCAGCTTAGAACTGCAAAGTGCTTGGGCCTTGTTTTCTTTCTTTTGTTAAAGACGATCCAAAGCCCAAATAAGGCGCGGGCAGAGGAGAGAGAGAGAGAGAGAGAGAGAGAGAGAGGGAGCGAGTGGCAGCTGGCCCGGCTGCTGGGGCTTGGGCCTCCTCCAAGACTCCCCGCCTGCGGGAGGGCGGGCGCCCGGCCTATAAGGCCCTGACCTCCGCCTGCTGCCTCACTCTGCAAGCCACCAGCCCCTGCCACCAGCCCCTGCCACCAGCCCCTGCCACCACAGCCATGGAGGCCATCAAGAAAAAGATGCAGATGCTCAAACTGGACAAGGAGAACGCCATTGACCGGGCCGAGCAGGCAGAGGCGGACAAGAAAGTAGCAGAGGACAAGTGCAAACAGGTGAGTGGCCTCTGCTGGGCTGCGTCCGGCCACCCAGCGCCCTGTGCCCAGGCTTAAGGGAGGCTCTGGGGCTGAGGCAAGGGGCCAGGGGGGCTGAGCTGTGGCACAACAGGTGAGGGAGGGACCTCTGGCTTTCCCAGGGTGCCTTCCCTAGAGGGGGGACACTGGACACCCCACTTCAGCAGGGCCACTGGGAGCCAAGTGAGTGCGGGAGGGAGGGAGGGCGAGAAGGAGGGCGGTGCGCCCCAGGTGTGGAGCTGGGGACACCGTGTGTGTGTGTGTGTGTGTGTGTGTGTGTGTGTGTGTGTGTGTGTGTGTGGTGAGCGCTCACAGGGACACAAGTGTCCTGTGTGGGTCTGGGCTGGAGCAGTGGATGGGTGAAGGGGACAGGAAGCCAGGGTGCGAGGGGAGGTTCCATGGGTGGCAAGGGGACACAGCTGAGACAGACGCAAGTGTTGGTGAGCCTGTGCGTCAGTGTCACCGGACACTAAGGGAATGAGTGTCCGGCCGCTGTGTGATCGGGACGGCGCCTGTGGGTGTCAGGGTGACTGTTCTTGGGGTGCAGATATCAGGGCGACTTCCACAAGGTACATGTGAGTGACACTTCAGAGCTGCGTGTGACTGGGTCCTGGGTCAGAAAGGCCCCCCGATGGGACAGGAGCCCGGGTGAGGCCAGTGATGGCCCACCGTGAGGACAGGGCGTACAGTCGAGGGTCAGGCAGGACAGAGGTGAGAATGAGCCGGGGTCTCTGTGCCCAGCGTCCCCTACTGTCCCCCACGTCAAACCCCAGGGACAGGGAAGGTCACTTCCCTCCCCAGCAGCCAGGAGCTGAGGGAGGCCTGCAAGGCAGGCAGGGGCGGGGGACCCAGGCTGGGCGTCCCCACCTCACTCTGGCCTGGGTGGACAGAGCAGGTCACTTGTCTAGGTCTAGGTGACAGACGGGAGGAAGGAGACCCCTCCCGCAGTGTCCTGCTCCCCTTGGGGCCAACCCCCATCCCAGGGAGCATGGAGGTCCCAGAGAAGCCCAGGAGTCCCCTGGGATGGTGACACCAAGCATCAAGGCCTGGCCGGCCATGAGCTAGTTCAAGCCGCAGCTCAGTCACCAGATGGCCGCGGGGAAAAGGAAGGCCCTCAGCTCTGAGTCTCGGTGACCCCACTGGAGGTGGGAAAGCCACAGCGCCAAACTCCCTTCTGCCACTGGGGGCTCAGAGGTGACTCTGCAGGTGGAGCCCTTGGCCAGGTGCCTGGCGCACACTAAGCCCTCAGTCACGGTGGGACTGTTTCCTGCCCCGCCCTACTTCCTCTTTGGGCCTCCCCATCCCCCCCTAGAGAGTCCATGACACACCCCTACAGGCCAGCCCCACCCGGGTGTTCCCTGCCACAAACGCCCCTCCTTCTTCCGTGTGCCCCTCCCTGGCAAACACAAATGCCTGTGCGGGGCCCTGTACTGCCAGCCCTCATAGTGAGAACCAGGAAAAAAAAAAAAAAATCGTTTATGGCTCTAATTCTTACTAAGGTGTGAGTGACTGACAGTGCAGCAACACCCGAGGCACAAAAGGAAAATATTCCTGAAGCCTCCAGTCAGCTGTGTGGCCTAGGAAGTGGACAAAAGTTCGCCAGCCTCCACCTGGATTGTTTTTTTTTTTTGTATTTGTTGTTACAAAGCTGCCTGCTAGGACTTGGATTCAAGTCCAGACTGGCTTGTCCACCGGCTTTGTGACTCCGGTGTGTGTACAGGAGAGGGTGTGAACAGGGACTCAACTTACCCAGAGTGCCCTACACTGCAGACTAGAGAGAGAGGGTGTCAGGACCAGCCTCTCCTCCCCTCCCCCTGGGAACCTGAAGCAAAACCCCAATTCCAGGCCCTGTTCCTTGTGGGAACCAGTGATATCCGCCACCACTGGCCTTTGACCCCATATCCTGCCTCAGCCTTGCCCTAAGGCACTATTTACAGGGACTGAAATATGTGCTCGGGGGCTCTCCTGGCCATCTTAGGGGAAGGGACACTGAGGTCCACCGAGCACAGTGACCTGCCTGGACAAGGCTGCACATGCCAACACATGCTGTGTGTACAGGGAATTGGGACAGAGGGGACATGACCCACGCCCTTCAATGCTGCCAGTGATTCAATCGACAAACTTCCTTGGATGCCCCCAGCCTAGGTGGGGTGGGGCAGAGACTGGGAGAGCCAAAAAAGGGGGTGGGGCTCCGTTCAGGACAGCTGTATAGGCTGCGGGGGACATTGGAGCTGGGGGGACAGTAGAACCTCCCAGCAGAAGCTGGGATCAAGGGAGTGCTAAGCATGGCAAGCAAGCCAGCCTCGGGGTTCATTTAACAGAAAAGGACTCACACCCCCTGATGGGTGTGGCCTCTTTTGGGACTCAGTTTACCCTTCTGCGACATGGGGCTTTAGGGAAAGGGTATTTGAACATGCCTGGCATAGTCTAAGCCCCCACCTGCTTTTGTCCGAAAGTTGCCCCCCAAACTATCTTAACGCCGCAGGGACCCCATGCTCTCAAGTTCGGTTTCACGTAGCGAGAGCCCCGTGCCAGGCATACAGTCAGCGCCAAGCAAATGCTTCGACCAGTCAGAGCTGAACTATAAAATAGGCTCATTTATCTGGTCAAGTTCAAAAGCAGCGGTCAGGTGCTCAGAGGCAGACAGGTCAAGGTTTCCTTCCTGCACGTGGGGAAACTGAGGTAGAAATGGGATTTAGTCCAACTTCCAGGCTCCACGCTTCAAGGTTAAGGTCAGACCCTGGAAACAAGGCCTTTGCCTTGAATTGCTGCTGGTCCTGGGTTAGGCCTTGTCCCTGCCCAGGGCAATTTTGGGAGGCAGTCTGAGAGTCACTGCCTTGGGCACTGGGGAGCCATGTCCTCTTCTGGGCGCACAGCCTCATTACAAAGTTGCAGTTGCCCGCCAACGTGGGCGCAGGCCCACAGAGTGAGCTCCCCTTTGCTAACCTGGGGTCCCTGGGAGGCTGCACCTTTTGAGTGTGCAGTGCTCCTGGCAAAGCTGTGGGGACTTCAGTTCCCCAGAAGCCATCATGGACTCCCCAAGAGCACAGGGACCCCAGTGAGGTTAAGAGCAGCGCGTGGCTGGACACGGCTGCCATTGGTGTGGCCGTGCGCCCTACCGGCACCGTACATGTCGGAGGAGGAAACCGGGGCACAGAGACAGAGGCGCTGAGGACTTTGGGGTGTCCCCCATGTGTCCCCAGGTGGAGGAGGAGCTGACGCACCTCCAGAAGAAGCTGGAAGGGACAGAGGAGGAACTGGACAAGTCCTCGGAGGCGCTCAAGGCCGCGCAGGAGCAGCTGGAGCAGAGCGAGAAGAAGGCCTCGGACGTGAGTGCGGCGCGGGGGAGGGCGGAGGGCGGAGGGCGGCGCGGGCGCTTTCTCCAAATAAGTCCCGATCGCGCCTGGTGCGGCGGCGGCCAGCGGTGGCGACGTCAGGCCCTCCCCCAGCGGTGCTGACGTCGCGGGCCGGCCCGGGTGACCTCACCGCCCCGACGGCCGCCGCGGGGCCCGGGGGGCGGGGAGAGGCGGGGGCGGCCCCGGCGCGCCAAAGGCTCGGGGACCCGGGGCGCGGCCGAGCTGTGTGTGCCGCCATCGCCCGAGCCCTGCGAGCGCCCGCTGCGTGCGCCCCGCGCCATGGCCGGCCTCAACTCCCTGGAGGCCGTGAAACGCAAGATCCAGGCCCTGCAGCAGCAGGCGGACGACGCGGAGGACCGCGCGCAGGGCCTGCAGCGCGAGCTGGACGGCGAGCGCGAGCGGCGCGAGAAAGTGAGAGTCCGGCGGGCCGCGCCCCGGTTCCACCCGCGCCCCGATCCCCGCCCGCCCGCGCGCCCCGATCCCACTCGCGCAGGAATCTGCGCCCTGGTCCCCACCCGTGCCCCGATCCCGCGCGCGCACGGATCTGTGCGCCCGATCCGCGCGCCCCGAGCCCCGATCCGCGCTCCCTGCGCCGAGATCCGGTCCGCGCAATCCCCGATCGCGACCTCGCCGGGGTCCCGCCCGCGCGCCCCACGTCCCCATCGGCGCCCGGCTCCACGCGTCCCGCACCGGGACCCGCGCTCTCCAGGCTTCCTGGCTCCGGGAGCCGCCCGCTTCCCGCGCTTCCCACCCGCCACTGTCGCCATCCCCCCACCACCACCACCATGTCCCCGGGAGCCCGCCTTTGTGCCCTGAGGCTCCCAGATCGCCGCCCCGCACCCCGTCCTGCGCCCCACCCCCGCGCGCGGAGACCCCCTTCCTCCGTCCTCTCTCCCGCGCCCAGTCGGGGAGGGGGGCGCCGCTGCATCCGGGTCCCGCGGGGCGGGCCGAGCGGGAAGTGGGGGATGGGCGGAGGTCGCGGTCCCGGGTGGGGGTGCGGGGCGCTGCGCTCCCGCTCCCCGGCTGCCGTCCGGGTCCCGGACCTGGGACGGGGCCGAGGGTGGGGACACGGCGCCTCCATTGTCCTGGGCTGCGGCGGCCCGAGTGGACCTGGGGCGGAGGCGTCGCACTTGCTCGCGTCTTGGGTGGCTTCCCGAGTCCCGCTGAACTTTCTCCGTGGTCCCCAGGGCGCGGCGGCGACGTGTCCTCCCCAGGCCGGGGAATGTGGGGGGGGCGGAAGTGCACCCCTGAGCCTCCGGCCTCTCCCTCTGCAACTGGTCTCTGCGGGGACCAGGGCTTGGGGACCCATCTGGGTTCTAATCCCATCGCCCACCATCTGGTAGCTGTGTGTGACTCTGTGTACCCAGCACACAGTAGGTGCTTTTCTCCTTTCCCGCAATCCTGGGGCGAGTTCACGGTCTGTAAGACTGAGGAGGTGCGCTTGGCCTTCTGGGGGGTGTCCTGAGTCCGGTGGTGGCAGCCATCCTGGAGGCTGACCAGGGACCTAGAGAATGAAGACGCTTGCTGGGCGGACAAAGACAGCAGAGGCAAGGGGGAGGGGGGTCCTAGAAGCTTGGGGCCCCCAGAAGATGCTGGGCCAGGTGGCCTTGGGTGCATATTGACAGTTCTGGGGACAGCCCAGGGCTGGCTGGTCCCTGTTTCCCAGACAGCCCCTGCTTGGCCTGGGCTGGAGCAGTTTTGGCTCCGAGAAGCATTTACAAGCCCGGGAAGTCCCAAACAGTAGCTGGCCTGGCCTCCTTCTCCCAGGGCCGTCCTAACCCTGCATCTGATGTCACCCAGGCATGTCTGGAGAAGTCGTCCTTCCAAAATGGCCCTGCACCCCGAGCCAAGCCTTAGCAGTGGGGAGAGGGGGGTGCTTTGGCAAAGTTTGGGAACTTCGTAAAAAGTTCAATTTCCAAAGGGAACTCCAGAGACAGGGGGGAGGAAAAAGAAGACGGGGGGGGGGACTTGGAGTGTGCTGTAGAGAGAGCCAAGGGCCACCTCTGGGCTGGCCTGCCTGGCTCCCCACAGCTGGTTTCTTTTAGATTTTTGTGTGATTAACCCACTTCTTCCTGTCCCTCGGCCACAAGTAGCCTGCAAGCGCCTTTTACCTTATAAGGGAAATCCTTTGTCGCTGGGAGCTTTGATTGCAGGAAGGGGCGGGGCCTCCGCGACTGCACTTTTTGCTCGTGGTGTGCAGGATGTGCGGTGGCCGCCCCGCCCGCTGGCATCCCGCGTTTGCCACATCAGGAATTTTCTTTTCCTCTCCGTCTGTTTTTGAGACAACTCAGGAATCCAACACCTCTGTGTGATCACACACAAAGCCAGTTCCTGCGCTGAGCAGTCCCAGCCACTCCTCAGGCTGAAGCAAGAGGGTGGATTGCTTGAGGCCAGGAGTTCGAGACCAGCCTGGGCCACATAGCCAGCCCCCCCCCCAATCTCAAAACTTTAAAAAAATTGAGCTCTGGTGGCTCTCGCCGGGAACCCAACGACTCGGTAGGCTGCGATCCAGAGGATTGAGGTTCAACCAGCGCAGGCAAACCATTCTAGAGACCCCATCTCCAAAAATAACTAGAGCAAAATGGACTGCAAGAGTGGCTCAAGTGGTGGAGTGCCTGCTTTGCAAGCGTGAAGCCCTGAGTTCAAACCCCAGCCCCACCAAAAAAAAATTTTTTTTTTCAAATCATTTCTTTGCGGGTAGGTATGCAGGTTTATTTTGGGGTGACGGACTGTTCTGGAATTAGTGGTGTGAATTGCTCAGTTTTGTGACGTCCATTCTTGGTGGGAGAGGGGCCAAAGGCTCCTGGCAGTAAAAGGAGAAACCCACACTGGCTGAGTGTCACTTCTTTTTTTTCTGTTGTATACGCTTGGGGTCAGAGGACACAGCCTCTCACTCATTTTTATAGCCTTCCTTATTTTAAAAAGGTTCTTTTTTCACCAAAAAAGGAGAAAGGAGTACAACTCCCCTGCACCTCCCTTGGCTGAGCCCCAGGTCCTCTTTTGTTGGCTTTTGGGTTTTGTCTCACTACGTAGCCCATGCTGGCCTCGAACTCGTGATCCCCCCACCTCAGTTTCCCAAGGGCTGGGATTACAGGCAGGAACCACCATACCCTGCTGATTGAGCTGTTTGACCAACTGTGTGGCCTGCTCCAAGCCCTGGCTCGGGTGGGGATCTGAGTCACCCAGCAAAACCACTTCACCTAGCGGGGCCCCTTAGTGTCCCCATCTGTGAAATGGCTGAGCTAGGTGAGGACTAAAATGATTTAAAGCCATGACAGTGAGATCCAGCTGTCTGTGGGCCTTCCCGTGGGTCCCCCCTGCCACGCCCTGTGGTCACAGCTGGCACAACAGTCATTTGGAGTCATCGAGCTTGGGGGGGGAGAGATGCCACCTGCCCCATACCACAGGCCGCCAACTGTCAAAGCTGGGATTGTGACTTAGAGTTCTGGCTTTTCTGCACTCCATCTACTTCTTACCTCGTGGATGGAAACTTCCCGAAAAGCCAGTGATAGGACTGATTTCCTGCCGGTCACTCCGTGCAGCCCAGGCTGGCCTGGAACTCACGACGCTCCTGTCTCAGTCTTTCCGGTGCTGGGATTACAAGCATGCACAACCACACCAGCCCTCTGTTCTTTTGCTGTTACTGTTCTTTTTATCTCAATGGATACATAGTATCTGAGCATATTTTTCTTCCATGTTGACTCAGCCACCCACCTGACAGTGAGTGGAGAGTGTTCCCTGCTGTTTCAGGGGTGCTCCTACTGACAAGAGAAGCTGGGTGTGGTGGTGCACACCTGTAGTCCCAGCTACTTGGGAAGCTGAGACAGGAGGGTGACCTGAGCCCAAGAGTTTGAGGGCAGACTGGGGACATGGCAAGACCCTGTCTCAAACAAACATTTTTTTTTAAAAATAAGAGTGTGGGTTCCTTATAGCCTGGCTTCCTGAGTGGGACTTGAGCAGGGAATGGGGTCCATGGAGGGAGGGGCAGTGCTGGGGCTCCCGGTGACTCCTGGTGGCTGGCCTGTCCCTCCTTTTTTTTTTGCAGTACTGGGATTTGAACTCAGGGCCTTCACCTTAAGCCACTCCACCAGCCCTTCTTTGTGAAGGGATTTTTCAAGATAGGGTCTCAAAAACTATTTGCCTGGGCTGGCTTCGAACCTCGATCCTCCTGATCTCTGCCTCCTGTGTAGCTGGGATTATGGCGCCAGGCAGGCCTGTCCCTGCTTAACCCAGCTGCCCCTTGTCGTCCCCAGGCTGAAGGAGATGTGGCGGCCCTCAACCGTCGCATCCAGCTGGTGGAGGAGGAGCTGGACAGGGCACAGGAGCGGCTGGCCACGGCCCTGCAGAAGCTGGAGGAGGCAGAAAAGGCTGCAGACGAGAGCGAGAGGTGAGGACATTTGGGACCCGGGGTCGTTGCTGGCTTCTGGAACATGCAGCACTGCTCACCTCCCAGGGCTGTGTGACAGTGCTTTGTCAGCTGTCACCCCGGGCATAAGATCGTCACAAAGAACATCTAGCAGACAGAGAAGGAGGAAAACTGGGCGGGTGTGGGACAGGTGGCAGCGCTGGCCAGTTGACTTTCTGGGAAAGCCACCAGGCCTCTCTACTCTGGAGACGTCATTTTTGAGAACGGTGTGGAAAAAAAAGGAAACACAAATGAACGTGACATCTGGTTTTGCTGTGCAGCCCTGGCTGGTCTCAACCTTGAGGTCCTCCTGCCTCACGGGAGCTGGGATTACAGGCGAGCACTGCTATGCCTGGCCCCTCAAGTTCTCCTTTTTATTTTTTGCTTTTTCTTGTGCTCCAGGGCCTCACTTGCGAGGCAAGGGCTCTGCCACTGAGCTGTACCCCGGCCCTACAGGGTTGTTGACAGCGATCTTGGATGGTGACAGCTGCTCTTCAGGGACATGTACAAACCAGTGCCACTGTTGCACTTGCAAGTGACGCCCCCCCAGGGCCTCGGTGCTGCACTTGGATGCAGGGCGCTCCGTCCTCGGGAGCGGGTGGCTCTGTGGCAAGCCGGAGGACTGAGGGAAGATTGTGTCCCTCACACATGCATTGTCTCTGTGTGGCTGTAAATGGACTCCTTGTGTGGCAGTGGCGTGGGCCGGGCCTCTCCGGTGGTTACACCCCGTCTCACTTGGCTCACCCATCACAAAGGTTTCCTGGTGTAGACCTCCCCCCTCCAAAAAAAAAAAGGAGTCATTTTTCATTCTTCTGCTGTGACCATGAAGCAGAGATTAGAAAACAGCTAGGGAGTCTTTCTTTTTTCTTGGTGGGACTGGGGTTCGAACTCAGGGCTTTGTGCCTACAAAGCAGGTGCTCTGCCACTTGAGCCACACCACCAGCCCACGTGGCTCTGGTTCTTTTGGAGATGGGGGTCTCCTAAATATTTGCCTGGGCTGGCCTTGAACTGTGGTCCTCCTGATCTCAGCCTCCCAGCTAGCTGGGATTACAGGCGTGAGCCACCAGCACCTGACTGAGCTAGGGTGTCTTAGAGATGACTTCCCAATGGGAAACCTCTTGTCAGGCTGGAAGGGACAGACCCCCTGGGACAGGCTGTGCGTCTGTCACTTCATGGAGACAAGGTGGCAGGTCCAGGCAGCCACCAGTGAAGAGAAGCTTGTGCAAGTGTGAGGTCCTGGGTCCCATCCCTAGGACCGCCAAAAAAAAAGAAAGAAAGAAAGAAAAAGATCCATGCAGTGCCTGGGGCTGGCCAGCCTGACCGGATTGGTCCCATGGTAAACAGTGACAGCATGGGAAGGCCACTTGCTTGCTTGTATCACGTCACAGTGGCCTTTGGTGACACTTTGTCAACCTACACCAGGAGCTGGAGGGTCCAGACACAGCGCTGGCCCTGACACCTGCATGGCCTTGGGCAAGCCACTTTGATCTCATGAGTTGACAGGGCGTCTTCCTCCAACAGACGTCCCCGCAAGCTTGCTCTCGGGCTGAGGCTGACACCTTGTCCTGCCAAGATGACAGACGCCGATGGCGTTACCCAGGGCTGGCTCCTCTTTGGAGGCTGTGGCTTTCTCTGTCCCCCATGCTGGCCACCAGCGAGCTGTCCTGCTCTCCAAACTGGCCGTATCCACCCTGGTCCCTCACCCGGTCAGTGCGACTTGGCTTTCCCTTATCCGAAATGCCTAGGACCAGAAGTGTTTCGGATTTCGGAGGGTTTTTTTGTTTTGGGGGGTTTTTTGTTTTTCGGATTTTGGAATATGTACATATTTTGAAATTCGCTTCTGTTTCACACACACGTGATACGCAGGGCCTGAAGGGAATTTCACAGAACATGCTCAGTGTGCCGCCCCTGGACGGCCACCTGTCACACGAGAGGTCGGGAGTGGCATTTTCCGTCTGCGGCTCCATGTCCCTGCTCAGTTTGGCTGGGGTGTGGCTTGGTGGCGGAGCACTTGCCTGGCTCTCGAGGGTTCTGGGTTTGACCCCCAGAAACACACATACATGCAAAATTTGACTTGGGGACACTTTGGATTTTTGGGTTAGAGATCCAGCCTTGTGCCTCACCTGGGTTTCCCACTGCACTCCATCCACCATTTTGTTTTCACTACACCTGTTTCTAAAATCCTCCCGGGGTCCCCTTTGCCCTCAGCACGTCACTCAGAGACCCAGGCCGTGGCCCGGCTTTCCTGGGTTGGTTTGTTCTTTAAGACGAGGCATGGGTCTATGTAGCCCAGACTGGCCTCGAACTTTTCATCCTCCTGTCTTTTTGTCTCCTGAGTGCTGGGATTATAAGCAGGTGCAACCATGCCCAGCTCCTCCTCCGGGTCTCTTCTTCCCTTCAATGTCACCTCTTCAAGAAAGCCTTTTGTGACCTGCTCACTGCATAGTCGCTGCTGGCTTAAGGGACCCCTTGATACTACTTATGGAAAGGAGTAGAAAACAGCAGAAAAGAGGGCTGGAGGTGTGGCTCAAGTGGTAAATCGCCTGCTTTGCAAGTGCCAAGCCCTGAGTTCAAATCCCAGTCCAACCAAAAAAAAGCAAAGACGAGAGCCAGGCCAGGGGGGTTGAGTCTTAGCTCTGGGAGCGCCAAACCTCTCCCCCTGCCTCAGTTTCTTCACCTGTAAAATGGGAATAACGGACCCGCTTCACAGGGCGGTTGTGAAGGGAAAGGCATTCAAACAGCATCTGTCAGTCAGTAAAGATGAAGTAAAAAGCCAGGCGTGTTGGGGCTCGCCTGTAATCCCCGCACCCAGGAGGCTGAGGCAGGAGGATGTCAAGTTCAAGACCAGCCTGGGCTACCAGTGAGATCCTGGCTGAAAAGAGAACAGATAGGTGAATGGGAGACGGGCGGAGGGCGATCTGGGGAGATCCAGAGAAGGGTCTGGGTGACCGTCGCACCCACGAGCGGCTTGTCCTTTGCAGGGGAATGAAGGTGATCGAAAACCGAGCCATGAAGGACGAGGAGAAGATGGAGATCCAGGAGATGCAACTGAAGGAGGCCAAGCACATCGCGGAGGAGGCCGACCGCAAATACGAGGAGGCAAGTGGGGCGGGCAGATGGCCCCGGTGGCCGCGGTGACAGGAAGCGGAGAGGACAGGGCTGCTGATAGGGAAGGAAGCCCTTGGCTGGGGATGTCGCACATCTGGTTTTCCAGAGACAGCACTGGCCAGGAAGGATCCTGCGTGACTCGGGCACCCGTCCAGCTTGCTGGGAGGCCAGCTGAGGGGACTAAGTGGCCTTTGTCCTTTTGTCACACTGTGGCCCCCAGCCTGGCTCCTCCTTCCCTCCCGGGTTCTGGGAGAGAGGTGTCCGTTCCCTGAAGTCCCCAGGGCTGCTGGATTGAAGGACTGGCAGAAAGTGCCACGCTGGGGACAGTACCCAGGGAGGGCACTGCGGGGACCAGTGTCACCGGGCTCCTGTCTCCACAGGTGGCTCGGAAGTTGGTCATCCTGGAGGGAGAGCTGGAACGCGCTGAGGAGCGTGCCGAGGTGTCCGAGCTGTGAGTGGTGACACAACGGACGGGCAGGGCTTGGGTGTGCCGGGATCGACCTTGACCTTGGCCCGGCCTCTGCTCGAGTGGACGGCCATCTGGGACTCATGGCTCGTCCCCACTGCTGACAAAGAGATAGCCACTTACTGCCAGGAAGCACCCCGCCCCCGCCAGTGTCCTGTCACCAAGACTTTGGGAAGTAGGAGATGTGTGGTAGCAAAGAGCCAGAGTCCCTTTTTCCCAGCTAGAACGGCTCAAAGGACATTGGAGCTTTTTTTTTTTTTTTTGGTATTGGGATTTGAACTCAGGGCTTTGCTCTTGCTAAACAGGTGCTCTACCACTTGAGCCACTGTGCCAGCCCTTTTTGCCTTAGTCTGTTTCCAGGTAGGTTACATCTTTGCGCCAGGCTGGCCTGGACTGTCCTCATACCTCTTCCTCCCCAGTAGCTGGGATTACAGGCGTGCACCACTGCACCAGGCTCAAGGCCATGTGCTCCTAACAGAACTCTGGCTGTAGAAGGCAGATGCCCCCCATGTTGGACTGTGACCAATTCCTGGGGTGGGGGGACAGGTGTTAACGTATCTTTGCGCCAGGCTGGCCTGGACTGTCCTCATACCTCTTCCTCCCCAGTAGCTGGGATTACAGGCGTGCACCACTGCACCAGGCTCAAGGCCATGTGCTCCTAACAGAACTCTGGCTGTAGAAGGCAGATGCCCCCATGTTGGACTGTGACCAATTCCTGGGGGTGGGGGGACAGCCACAAGGAAGTGGGAAACTTAACCTGAATCCCACAAGTCTCAACAAACCAAACACCTCTGCCCTGGGCCTCGGAGAAGGAACCAGCTCCACAGAGACAGCTCTGGTTTCACAGATCTGGTCTCTGCCTGCCAAGATCTCAGCCTCCCTCCCTCGGCCTCATTCCTACACCTTCCGGAGGCTGCCTCATCAATCATAAATTTCCCAAGTCCCTGTTGCCCCACCCTTGGCCGAAGGCCAAAAGTGCTCCATAAACCCCTGGGCGCGCCTTACCCCGCTCTGGTATGAGAGATTTTGGTGCGCGTCCAGCGTTACAATCTCAGAAAAACCCATCAACTCCTTCCCCCTCGTTCCTTGTGGGAGGCTGGGCACAGGTTTCTATTACAGGCAGAAGCCATCAGAGAGCTGAGAGCTTTTTTTTTTTTAAGTGTGGGGACCTGGAAGAGGAACTCAAAAATGTCACTAACAACCTGAAATCGCTCGAGGCTGCCTCTGAAAAGGTTGGTGGCTGGCCTGGCGTGGAGGGGGACTTGCTGGGTTTTGTTCCTTTCTTTCCCCAAGGTACGGGTACAGGCCAGGGGTTCAGGAACTTGACCTCTACTGGTGAGCACTAACATTGGTGTCCAGCAGTTGGGGATTTCACAGACAGAAGGAGCTGCCTGGTGGCTGGATTTCTCATGCAGGCTTTTGGGTCCTCTTCCATGTTTTGTTTTTGTTTTTTGAGAGAGAGGTGGTCTCACTGTGTAGTCCAGGCTGGCCTTGAACTGGTGATCTTCCTAGCTCAGCCTCCCAAGTACTGGGATTACAGGCATGCACCACTGTGCCCAGTTTGGTGCCTTCTTTTATCTCTGTCTCAAATGAGAATGGAGGTGGAATCTGAGATTTGTACCTAGTAGGCTCATTTTGGGGAGACCTAGGAAAAAGTCATATAAATAGAGCCTCAGCCAGGTGCCAGTGGCTCACACCTGTAATCCTAGCCACTTGGGAAGCTGAGATCGGGAGGATCAAGGTGGTTTTTTTTGTTGTTGCTTTTCTTTTTTGCAGTACTGGGGTTTGAACTCAGGGCCTACACCTTGAGCCACTCCACCAGCCCTTTTTTGTGAAGGGTTCTTCTGTTTGCCCAGGCTGGCTTCAAACCACGATCCTCCTGATCTCTGCCTCCTGAGTAGCTGGGATTATAGGTGTGACGTACCGGTGCCCAGCAGGATCACGGTTTGAGTCCAGCCTGGGCAAATAGTTCACGAGACGCCATCTCCAAAATAACCAGAGCAAAATGGACTTGAGGTGTGGCTCAAGGGGTGCAGTGCCAGCCCCGGCTCCCCCTGCTGAATTCCCCAGCCCCATCCGGTCCCCGTTTCCCTCCTGTACTCCCCCAGGTGCCCTGGACTTGGGGTTCACAGCCATTCTGCGTGCTGTCGTGAGCTCCAGGGCCCGGAGCCTGTGTTTGCTCAGCCCGGTGTGACTTCCCTTTCCCTGACCAACCCTGCTCAGCTCGGCCTCTGCGCCCACCTCGTCCTTGGCCAGCCCGGCCCTTCCCATTTCTCACCCACGCGAAGGCGGTGTCTGCTGTGTAGCACACTTCTTTTCCTCTGGCGTGATTTGTAGCGTCTGTTGATTTGCGGGGCTGGGGATCGAACCCAGGTCTTGCACATGCTAGGCAACCACTACCACTGAGCTACACCTCTGGCCTTATCACACACGTGATAACGACCCAATTAACTGCATCTTTTTTGCAAGATTGTAAGTTTTAAGGAAGGACAAAGGACCATATCTATTTTTTGTTTTGTTTCTGGTAGTAGGGTTTTGAACTCGGGGCCTCACCACTTGAGCCATTCAGAGAGGGTCTCAACTTTTTACCTGTACTTTGATCCTCCTACCTACACAAGTGGAGCCGGGATTACAGGCATACAGCCCTATACCCAGTTACTGCTTGAAGTGGGGCCTTGCTAACTTTTTGCTTGGACTGGCCTCACACCATGATCCTCCCAATCTCCACTTCCCGAGTAACTGGGATTACAGGCAGGAGCCACCATACCCAGCTCTTCATCTTTTTTTTTTTTTTTTTTAAAGCATTTCTTGGTTTCTCCCACAGTATTCTGAAAAGGAAGATAAGTATGATTACAGGCAGGAGCCACCATAACCCAGCTCTTCATCTTTTTTTTTTTTTTTTTTAAAGCATTTCTTGGTTTCTCCCACAGTATTCTGAAAAGGAAGATAAGTATGAAGAAGAGATTAAACTTCTGTCCGACAAACTGAAGGAGGTGAGTGTGGCCTCACCCAGCTCCTGACGAGTGTCCCCTGGGGTTGAGGCCATGGTGTGACTTTCTTCTTCCCCAGGCCGAGACCAGGGCTGAATTTGCTGAGAGAACAGTTGCCAAGCTGGAAAAGACAATCGACGACCTGGAAGGTAGGGAATTGTCACCTCCGTGTGTGTGTCTGTCCGTCTGTCTGTCTGATGGCCAAGGATGCCTCTAGATCTCTCTCCAACTCCTGCTCGGTTCACAGAGATGCTTGACCATTTTTTTTAAATACTTCGCATTTTTACCAACCCCTCTCCAGAGAGCTGGAGGCCTGTCCCGGCGGGAGAAAATGATAAAAGGGAGGACGCAGGAGCCAGGCCTGCCCCACATTCCTCAGCATCTCCTCAAGGGCTCTAATTCTTTAAATTCTGATCTTTGTGCTCCATGACATAGCCGGAAAATTCCAGAAACGTTGGGTTAAGACAGAATCCCCCAGGCTGCCTGTGTCATCCAGGAAGGGCGCAGGACGCACGCCTCTCACCTTATGTCCCCAGTGCTTGTCGGGGAAACAAGGTTTCCATATAAGGGGAAAACGGCCCAGGTTTGAATTCAGGGCCTTTACCTTGAGCCACCCCACCAGCCCATTTTTGGTGCTGAGTGAACTGTTCTCCCGGGCTGGCTTTGAACTCTGCTCCTCCTGATCTCTGCCTCCTGAGTAGCTGGGATTACACACGCGTGAGCCACCGGGACATTTCTTGGTTTGGTGACATGGCTTAGTTTTTTCACTGTCTTTCTTTCCTTGCTGATCTGGGACTGGCTCTGACTTGGTCCCTCTGAGCTCTCTCCCTGGTGACCTCCGGCCTGTAGACGAGGTCTACGCTCAGAAAGTCGTACACAGCTCTCAGCAAAGGGCTTAGCCTCGCCCTCCATGCCATGACCTTCCTTTGACGGGTGGCTGAGCCCTTGCAGTCCTGACATCTGTCCTCTGTCTGTGGTGCCTTCCCCAGCTACGTACCTGGGGCTTGCTCTTCCAGACCTCTTCCTGCTGCAGTCTGTGACAGCAATAAAGACAGGCAGCCCCCATTTTCACACCCTGTCACTCGCATTTTCTCTGCTTGCCATCTCTGAGCCATAGCTGGACACCTCGGACCACAGCCACAGAAAAAGTGGGTGTCTGGAGCACAAGCCAAAAAGACAAGCAATGCCCACGCCAATGTGACATCCGTGACGTTACTTAATACATCTGTGAGCCAGTAATTTCTCCTTAAATAGGAATTGCTTTGAATGGAGACTCAATGGTGTCGGGCTGAGTGGTGCACGTCTGTAATCCCAGCACTTGGGAGGATGACGTAGAAGGATCTCTAGTGTCAGGCCAGCTTGGGCTGCATAGCAAGACCCTGTTGCAAACAAAAAAAGAAAAAAAACGAGGTAGTTTTTTTTTCCCCCCGAGTTTCCCCAAGACACTGCCATACTTGTGTCAACTACAACCAGGAATCTTGCGTTGGCTTAGTAAGAACGTGTGACGCTTAACACCTGGGGAGTGTTAGAAGTTCATCCTTAAAAAGTGACCAAGGGCACCCTTGCCCTTGGAAGTGACATGAAAACCTCCAGTTAGGTCATCAGTGACAAGTCACTAGCTGTTCATTCCTCCAAAATACATCTCCTAAGCCAGGCGGGGTGGCTCACTCCTGTAATCCCAGCTACTTGGGAGGCTGAGATCAGGAGGTTCGCAGTTGGAGGACAGCCCAGTTAAATAGTTCATGAGACCCCATCTCCAAAACAACCAGAGTAAGCTGGTGAAGTGGCTCAAGTGGTAGAACACCTGCCTAGCAAGTGTGAGGCCCTGAGTTCGAGTCCCAGTGCCATTTAAAAAAATAACCAGAGTAAAATGGACTAGAGGAGTGGATCAATCAGTAGAGCACCGGCTTTGCAAGTACAAAGCCCTGAGTTCGAATCCCAGTTCTACCAAAAAAAACCCCGAAGAAAATACATCTCTCTTAAACTACTCAAACCTGTCCAGCACTACAGTCAGCCTGCACTGCCGTGTAAACCGGCCCTCCGCCCTTCCACCTGTCCAGTCATTCCAGCCAGCACCCGAGGGCCGTGTCATTTATAGACTACCTGATACAGAACAGATGCCTGGGAATCCAGGTGACAGGGTGGGGGAGGTTGGCACCTGTGGTGACAGCTGGGCTGGGATCCCACCTCTCCCACTCAAACGGCCACTTAGCTGCAGAAGGAAGGTACGAGCTCAAGTTGTCGTGAGGATTAAATGAGTGTGTGGCCAGCCTCGATGGGCTCAGGGCGGTGCTCTGTCTGATCACGTCCTCCCAGGTCACAGTCACCTGAATTTTCTTTTCTCAGTGGCACTGGGGTTTGAACTCAGAACCTTGCATTTGCTAGGCAGGTGCTCTACCACTTGAGCCACACTCCAGCCCTCTATTGCTTTACTTGTTTTTCAGGTAGGGTCTTACATTTTTGCCAGGAGCTGACCTATACCTTGGTCCTCCTACTTCTGCCTCCTGCGTAGCTGGGATTATAGGCACACACACTGTCACACCCAGCTTTCTCATTGAGATGGCGTCTTGCTGACTTTTTGGCCTGGCTGGCCTTAAACTACAATCCTCCCTGTATCTGCCTCCTGTGTACCTGGGATTACAGGTGTGAGCCACCGCCCGCCCCCCCGGGGGGAGATCCCTGTTATTCTTCAAGTTTTCTGTTATTAAAACACAAACTATTTTCCCTGCACTCTGGTAGTTTGAGGTTTATAAAGTTTTTTTTAATCCTTTAACAAAAATTCTTATTAATGTTTTTTTTTTTTTCCTTTTCTCTTACTCCTCACCAGAAAAACTGGCCCAAGCCAAAGAAGAGAACGTGGGTTTACACCAGACTCTGGACCAGACACTAAACGAACTGAACTGTATATAACCAAAGCCAGAAGCTGGGTTCCAACAGAGACGCCAGAGCGCCCCGACTTTCTCTCTTTTCTTGTAAGAAGTCTCTTTTGTCACTGCATCTTCCTCGCTTTGCTGGAAATGTCGAGCAAATTAGGATTTCATGACCAAATATTTTATCTCAGACCAGCTATGAGCACGTTTATCTACTTCCTTCCTTCTTACTTTTTTTAATGGCACCAGCTTCTCCAGCTGTCTTCCTAAGATAGGCAGGGTATTTCACACTGGGCATCCTCTGTTAAGATCTATGGCATTTAGTTCTGGGATAACAACCCCGTATTTTCAAGAACAGACTCCAATCACCTAGTCACAGGTTGACTGAAAATTAAAATTCTGAAGGTCACCCTTTCTGGTGAAGTTACAGGAGCCTAGGGACTGTCACAATGAAGTGGGTGAAAAGTTTCCATCCAAAGCAGGGGGAAAGGGCTCTTGTGGGAAGTCAAGGCCTCAATCTCGGACAACCTAGTCACCTTGTCTTCACTCCAAGGCCCAGGACAAATGTCCTTTGAGTAGTCGGTGCCAGAATGCTTACCAAATGGTCACAGTGATTACTCAGATATTTTTGGGATCGATCCTTGATGTTAAGTTCTTCTACCTGGATCTCCGTCAAGTTGCTCTCTGAGGACCAATAATGTCTCCTTCCAGTCATGCCACACGCTCAGCTCTCAGGCCTCCGCTCAGCAGGTGCGTGGTAGACGGCAGGACCACCTCACCAACACTGCTGCCGGTCTCCTAAAAATTGAGCAAGAGAGGGGGTTTTGGTTTTGTTTCGGGTAACAGGTGTCTTTCCGGCAGCACAGCAGAGATCAGAAAGGGAGTTGGCCTAATTTCATCTCCATAGTTCAGTTGAACGTTTACTTACCTAGGGTTGAAATTCCTCTCGTGGGACCAAGCTGACTTAAAAAAAAAAAAAAGACCAAGAAACTCCTGGTGAAACTGGACATGGGGTGTTTTGTACGCAGGGGCTTCGTTGTGTTTTTCTGTCTCCGCTGACATCTCAGAGCTGAACGGTCCCCATTCCCTGTCCGTATGGGGGCCGAGTTGAGTTTACAACCCTGACTGCAAATCGTCCTGCTCCCGGCTTCTGACCCCCTGTCCCCACCACCTCGCACTCCTATTTATTGAGCACTACACTCCCCAGGAGATGAACCGGCACACTGTGCGACCGAATAACCCACACTGCTCTGATCCTTGCAGCCCTATCATGTATCATAGGTAATACTGTCACTTTTTCTACATTTTGGTCAAATAAATTTTTACAGAAACTACAGTATGTGTGAGTTTCAGAATGGGTGAAGATGTGCAAAGGATTTTGGCTCAACAAATGTTAATGGGGTGGAAAGGGAAGATAGTGGAACTTAGAAAATGTTATTTTTAAGGTTTTTTTTTGTTTTGGTGGGACTGGGATTTGAACTCAGGGCTTCACACTTGCAAAGCACTCTACTCCTTGAGCCTCACCTCCAGCCCATTTTGCTCTGGCTATTTTGGAGATGGCATCTTTTGGACTATTTGCCCAGGATGGCCTCCAACTGTGGTCTTCCCTGTCAAAGTTTGCCAAGTAGCTGGGATTATAGGCGTGAGCCACCACACCCGGCATTTGCTTTACACCATGACTTCATGCTGTAAGGATTATTATCTCCAAATTTCAGTAACGGAGGAACTTAAACATCCCATTATCCCCAATCCAGCCTGGCAGTGAAGAATAAGTAAACAGGCTGGGGATGCAGCTTGGTGCTAGAGGACTCCCTAGTTAAGTGTGAGGCCCTGAGTTCAAAATCCAGTACTGCCAAAAAATAAAAATAAAAAAGAATGAGTAGGATTTTAATAGATGGTGAGACCAGGGACAAAGTCCAAGGTCTGCCTGTGTAAGTAAGGTGTTCTGTGTACTGCACATACACAGCAAAATTGAAAAGCAGGCTGGACGCAGTGATGAGAGCTCAAACTTCATCTGGTGAGACATGGAAGTAAATAAAGGATTAGTAAAATCCACTTAGCACCCATTTTCAGGAAAGACTTGAATGAGGGTGGATTGGAGCCAGTACCCAGGTTAGTGGCTGTCATGAAATGAGGAAGTGATCAGAAGGGAGTAATCTTAGAACTTAATGGTTGAGTGACAAGGAACTTACAAAGTCACTAAAGTTTCACTATCTGTATTGCTTTGAATATTTTGTCTTAAGATCTTATCTTTGGAATAGGGCACTGGTGGCTCGCACCTGTAATCCTAGCTACTCAGGAGGCAGAGATCAGGAGGATCACAGTTTCAGGTCAACTCAGGCAAAAAAAACTTTGTGAGACCCCATCTCAACCAACGGCTGGGTGAGGCGGTATAGGCCTGTCATCCCAGCTAAGTGGCAAAGAACAACTAGGACTACAGTCCAGACTTAAAGGAGACCGTATTTCAAAATGAAAACCAATGCAAACAGGGCTGGTGGAGGGGCTCAAGTGTAGAGCACCTGCCTAGCAAGTGTGAGGCCCTGAGGTCAAACCCCAGTGCTGCAAAAAAAAAATAAAAATGAGAAGAAGATCTTAACTTTGGGAGGGGGGAGGAATCAAAAACTGTTACTACCATATGCAAGCAATTTTCTGTTAGTAAGTATAATTAAAACACTTTCTTCCTCTTAATTAGATATTGACACTCACTGTGAGTTTATTTATTTAGGTGGTACTGCGGTTTGAACTCAGGATCTCACACTTATTAGGCAGACACTCTACCACTTGAGCCACTCCACCAGCTCTGTTTTGTGCTAGGTGTTTTCAAGATAGGGTCTCAAGAACTATTTGAACTGGCTGGTTTCGAACCATGATACTGTTTTCACTAAATGCTGAGTTTGGCCGCTGCTTTGGCAGTATTACAGCCAAGGCTTACCTGGGGTGTGACTGTGGTCAGTGGAGGGTTTTTCCCAATACCCCAGGTGACAATTTGTAATACAGTCAGCACTGGCAATTCTCTAAGAAGCCTGAGTTGTTAAAAAAAAAAAAAAAGTGTTCAGCCAGGTGCCAGTACTCAACGCCTGTAATCCCAGCTACTCAGGAGGCAGAGATCAGGAGGATTGTGGTTTGAAGCCAGCCTGGGCAAAAAGTGTCTTAGAACCTATCTCAAAAAAAAAAAACTATCACAAAAAAGAGCTGGTGGAATGGCTCAAGGTGAAGGCCCTGAGTTCAAGCCCCAGTACCACCAAACAAAGTGTTCAATGTTTGTTAACTGCTCTTGAGGAGTCCCCAATCCGGTGAATGGTGGAATAAAGAGCGAGGTTAGGGCCACAGTGAGAGGGGCATCATACACTAAATAAAGATTTTGTATCCCACAGTGAGAGTCCACAGATGGGTGTTGGTGCAGCAGGGTGGAGTCTAGGTTGGAGATAGTGGTCAAGGAGAGGACTGAAGTGCAGTGATGTCACTGTGGCCATGGAAACAGAGGAGGAAGTTTCCAGAGCTACTTAGCTTTTTTTTTTCTATTTTTTCCTTTTTTTTTTTTTTTTTTTTCGGTGCTGGGGACCGAACTCAGGGCCTTACACTTGCCAGGCAAGCGCTCTTCCACTGAGCTAAATCCCCAACCCCTCCAGAGCTACTTAGAACCTTAAGAATCAGGAGGAGACAGCTCAAAAGAAGGGGGCAAAGATGACTTAGGTTTCACCTCAAAGGTATTTCTTAATAGATATGGTCTATTTATTTATTTTGCAGTACTGAGAATTGAACCCAGGGCCTCAAGGGCTCTACCGCTTGAGCTACACCCCCAGCCAGTCTAGATAGATGGTGAGTTCATTGCTGACAAATCCAGAGGCAGACGTCCAGAAAGTAGCTGAACATAAAGATAGCTGGGCCATGGGTAAAGACTGAGCAGGGCACAGGATGGAATGAGGTCACCCAGAAAGTGAGGACAGACAGAGGAACCCTGGGGAATACCAACATCTAAAATAGAAACAGGAAGCCAGGCATGATGACACACAACTGTAGTCCCAGCTATGGGGAGGCAGCAGCAGGATCGCAAATTTGGGGCTAGCCTGGGCTACAAAGTTAAAGGCTACCTAGCAAATTCAAGGCCAGCCTGGGCTACATAGGAAGACCCTGTCTCAAAAAAATACATATATATATATATAAAATATAAAGACGAATGTTCCCTCCCCCCCAAAAAAAAGTCTGCAATGGGCTGATCCAGCGAAAGTAGAAGATAGAAGAAACAGGTCAATAAAATGAGAACAAGAAAAAATAATTTAGAATTAAAAAAAAAAAAAAAGAATTTGCAGAGGAGATCAAGAACATCCAATGCTCCCGACTGCAACCTGCCGCTTCCGGGAGAAGCCAGAAACCCAGCGCCCGGGACGTGAGTTCAAATCCCACCTTCCCACTCCGGAGCCTGGGAAGATCACGTCACCTGCTGTGGCCTCCCTTGTCTCACCATCGGACCGGTAAGGGGCTGCATAACTTGTACTTTTCTTTTTTAATTTTTAAGTGTGGGCACAAGAGCAAGGCTCCTAAATGTCACCTACAGCTGTCACTCTCCTACGATCCCGGAGCAGGTAGGAGCGTCCCTTTATAGCTTTCCCTCCTTGGTTGGGCTGGTTTGACGCGGAAGTAGAGATGCACTTTCCCGCGCTCGCCTCGGTGCCTACTGCGTCTGCGCGGGCCATGAGGGCGGGGCCCTCCATGCGCGTGCGCCTTCTGCTGGAGGCTAACCGTCTTCCCATTGCGCGTGCGCACAAGTACCAGGCCCCGCCCCCCCCTCACTCCCCCCCCACGTTGCCAGCGCGCGGAGCTGTTGGCACCCCTCCCAACAGGAGGCGGGGCGGGGCCCCTCCAAGAGTCCGTGAAAGAAGGTGGAGACGTAGGATGCCACGCCCCCTCCCGGTCCTCATTTGAAGTCCCTGACTCTTCGCCGCTGACCAATCACAGCCCGTCCTATCCCAAGCGCAGACCAATGGGCAGCACGTTCGAGTTGCTTCCGGCTCTGCGCCTTATTCGCCCCTTCGCCCGGGCGGGGCTCAGGGGCGGGCTCTGCTGTGATGACGCGGGGCGGGCCGAGAGCCAATGGGAGGCGGGTTCTGTGCTGATGGACGGAGCCAGCGGCCAGTGGCGAGGCGCTGGCCGCACTTCCCGTCCGGGAGAGAGTGTAATATGGCGAAGACCTACGATTACCTGTTCAAGCTGCTGCTGATCGGGGACTCGGGGGTGGGGAAGACCTGTGTCCTGTTCCGCTTCTCCGAGGACGCCTTCAACTCCACTTTCATCTCCACCATAGGTAGTGGGACCGGGGAGCGGCCGGGGGCTGCTGGAGGCCCGGGCCGGGCGAGCCCCTGAGGGGCTGGGGCTGAGGGATCGACCCGGAGGACCGGGCCGAGGGCTCTGAAAAGGTTGACGGGTCTGAACGGAGAAGAGCAGCTCCTCTGCCATTCGGGGGTGCTCGGGCCGTGGTGGGGGCCCGTGCCCATTTTGCAGATGGGGACACTGAGGCTCCGACTCTCTTTCTGGTCCTTAGGGAAGCGTGTCTTGGGCTGGGGACTTGGCGTCTGTCGTGTCGTTCTGTCCTTGAAGCTGCACCTCGAAATGGTTGTTTGGCTTAGCAGAAGTGGAAACTGAGGCATGAGGCGTTGGCATGGGAATAGGACAGGACACCTGACCTTATTGAGCGTTTCCTGCCCGTCCTGTGTGTCTCACACTCACCTGTTATTCTAAGCCCATGTCACAGATGGGGACTTTGAGGCTCAGGGAGGGTGTGGGACTTCACCAAGGTCCCAGGCCACAGGTGGCAAGGATTTGAGATTGGAACCCAGGTGTATTTGACCCCAAAAGTCTAGGCCCAGCCAGTCCAGAGAGATGACTTCTTGCGGCCCCACCCCTGTGACAGCACTGGAGCCTCCTGGAGCCACCACTCCAACCCACAGCCCTCCTACAGTCTGCTCTGGAATATTCCAACCTTGAGCCCCTCTCCCTGAGCTGACCCCCCCACACACACACACAAGTGGCTTTTCCTCTGGAAGGAATGGTGACCGCAAGGGCAGGCGAGTGACAGCTTCCTGCCCCAGGTCCTGTCATCCCCCAAAGGGATGCAAGATAAAAAGCTTCAGTGGGAAACTAAAACCAGCCACTGACTGCCACCGACTTCCCTATCGAAGGGCCCAGGACACTCGTTGTCACTTTGCAGGATGGCTTTTCCTGCACGGCTGGCCCACATTGAGGTTGACCGGAGTTGGCTTGTCCTATCTTAGCTCTGGCATCTGCAGACGTGTCACTGGCTTCTCTGCTTGCCACAGAAACGGTCACTGCCCGCGATAAAAAGGTCTAACCTGGAAGTAACACTGATCAAACCGTGAGCTGTGAGCTAGGGGGCCCTGTGCAGAAGGGGGCAAGTGAGAGAACGGTCACCAAGTCCAGGAGTGGACCCCAAATTGAGAAGAATCTAGCTGATGGTTCTGGCTTCACCCCTGTGGGCTGTCACCACGGTCTCTCTGACCCTCAGCAGGATGTGCTAATCCCCTCCATGCCCTGCACAATTTCGTGTCAGGTGTCAATAGAGGGGTTTGAATTGGAAACCATCACACCTGGTTTCCACTTGCTGTTCGCTCCTGAACAAGCACTGTCTCTCTCTGAGCCATTTATCTTCCAGGAAGGAGGCGTGCTGTCTGCCTTGCCCGATGCCCTGGGTGGTAAAGGCTCACCTCTATACAGTGAATTGGACTGTCCCCACTGCCAGAGAGAGGTTCCTGGAATGACAAACAGCGTCCCACCCCGGGGCACAGGTGTTTCTGAGTCCTTTCCCCTCCCCCACTCCAAGGTCCAACTTTGGGATAACCTTGCCACTAACCAGGAAGTGCTGTTAAACCACCACAGGTTGTGGCCTGCTCTCATCCCAGGCCTCAGGTTCCCAGCCTCGGATCCCCCACTCCCAGTGCATTCACCGGTGAGATCAATTCAGGAGGGCTTTTTGTTTTGGTTTAAGTTTTGGTAGTACTAGGATTCGAGCTCAGGGCCTCACGTTTGCTAGGCAGGTGCTCTACCACTTGAGCCACTCCATCAGTTCTGTTTTGTGTTGGGTATTTTTGAGAAGGGGTCTCTCGAACTATTTGCTTGGGCTGGCCTCAAACTACAGTCCTCCTGATCTCTGCCTCCTGAGCAGCTAGATTACAGGCATGAACCACTCATGCCTGGTTGGTTTTTAATTCTTGACCAGAAAACTCACTTAGTCTTTCAGGGCTCCAAGCAGGCTGGTTCATTTGCAGGTGAGGATAGACTTGGTCAAGGTCACCTAGTGAGCGAGGTAGAGGCAGTACTTGATCCCCAGGTTCCCTCCCTCCCAGCCTTGTCTTCTTCACCTTACATTCATGGCCTTCCTAGAGGCCTCTGTCTTCTAGGAACATTTAACTTACCTTGACCTTGAAGTTATGGCCTCATCATTCTTAGGCCTCATAAAGTTTACAGTTCATAATTAAATTTGGTCTGTTAGTTAAACGTAGGCAGAGGCCAGGCCAGAGTGAGCAGTGCTTGTAGATTTTGTACATCTTGGGCATCTGTGACAAACTGGGGACACCTTGGCAGAAGGCCACCCTGGACAGTGCAGTCCTGAATACAGCTTAACTCACAAAGGCTTTTCTCTGTTGGCAGCGAGTACCTCTGGGTTTCCTTTATAGATCAGGATGGAGTGCTCCGTGGTGTTTTGCCAAAGCCTGTTCTCATACACTCCATCGATCATTCCCCGAGGGATGAACTTGGCCTTGGTTCTCACCAGCCTGGCTCGGCCCCTGCTGTCTCCTTAGGGGCCATTCACGACTTCATCAAGACGGATGGTGTTCTTGAACCCAACAGCAGCACAGCAACCCCTTGCTCTTTGTTCTGTCACTGGGCCTCGTTCCCCCGACACCTGCCATGTGCCAGGTGTGGTCTCAGTGCAGACACACCTTGAGCAAATTCCCACAAAGCCCCCGCCCTATCTGGACACTGGAGGTGACAGCAGCAAGACTGGGGCAGTCTTCTGTACTAGTGGCTGAAATTTAAGTGCAGGTTTTTGTTCACCTTGATCCCAGGACAATGACCAAGGCCAGTGGGGGCCAAGTCAGCGTCCGAATCATGAGTGCAGAGACATGAGGCCAGGCCTGGACCTCAGATTGTCATAGGGAGAGCCTGTGTCCCCTCCACATCAGCTGTTCTGGTTGTCAAGTGTGACCCTGAAGCTCTTAATGTCGTAGGACAAGCATCCATGGATTCACCTGCAGATTAAGTAGTCCTAGATTAAGTCCTGGTCTTAAACCCAGGGCCTCACGCTTGCTAGGCAGGCGCTCTACCACTTGAGCCACTCTGCCAGCACTGTTTTATGGAGGGTTTTTCAAGATATGGTCTCAAGAACTGTTTGCCCGGTCTGGCTTTGAACCGTGATCCTCCTGATCTCTGCCTCTTGAGTAGCTGGGATTACAGGCGTGAGCCACAGGCTCCCAGCCTGAAATTCTTTTTTTAATTATGTCTGTACTGAATCCCTTACCACTCTTCCCTACACAATACAGCGTACGAGCCGTGTATCCAGCATGTGCATTGTAGCATGTATCCTAAGTCATACAGAGTTACACGGAGGACATCTTACAGAAGGGTGTGAGCATCTGCAAATGTTGGTATTTTCAGGGGACCTGGAACCTCGGATATCAAGGGACAATGTCAATATAGGTGTGTGAAGAGAAGCACAGGTGGGGATGGTCAGGACCCCCTCTGATTTTGTGCAAGAGGCGAGGGGTGCATGGTGTCTGGGCAGGAGACATCATTCTAGCAGAGGGCAGGGTAGCAGAAAGCCCAGAGGGTGCTGGGGAGCTGCGGCGCTGAGAGTTGGCCAGGCTAGGATGGACGTCAGGGTGCAGGGTAGCTGTTTTCACTTTATTCTGGAGAGAGAAGGTTGGGAAGCCATTGGCAGGTGTGTGTGGAGGGGTTGTTATTTTTTGTTGTTGTTTTGTGTTTTTGAGACAGAGTCTTAATTGCATAGCCCAGGCTGGCCTCCAACTTGTGATCTTCCTGCCTCTACCTCCCAAGTGCTAGGATTATAGACAGGCACCACCATGCCCATTGTGGTTTGATGTTTTTTTTTTTTTTGAACAACCTTACTGAGATACAACTCAGACACCGTTCAGTTCTCCCATTTGTATTCACAGAGTTGTGCATCTATCACTGCAGTGGACTTCAGAGTATTTTCATTGTGCTAGAAAGAACACCCATTAACCAATCTCTCCCAACCCGTGGCAGCTGTGACTGTGCTCCTTGTCTCTATGGGTTTGCCTGTTCGGGATGTCTCACAGCAGTGGAATCATACAGTTTGGACTTTGGTGTCTGGCTTCTCCCACTCACCTGTTTTCAAGCTTCATCCCTTTTTCGTTTCTGAGTAATATTCCACTGGGTGTACAGACCCCATTTTGTTTGTCCACTAGTCTGCTGGTGGGCACACTGAAACTTAGGAGCAGAACTTCACTTTGTGACATGGACGGGGTTGTATTTTTGAAGAGCTACCAGGTCACCCTGGGCAGAGGGAATTAAAGCAGCAGGTGGAGAGAAGGTGTCACAGGGTCAGGGAGGCTTCTTAGGAGGTGACTTGGGAGCAGGCCTTTGACAGGTCACCTGCAGAGAAGGATTAGCTATACAAAAGCCAGGATCAGGAAGGACCTGACCCATGTACATCCCAGGGCATTGTGGTGCCCTGTGCACCTGGTAGACCAGAAGGCTGTCCTGGGACAGGGAGCACAGGAGCCAGGCTTCAGCACCCGAGCTGAGTGGGTTTGCCACTCTTGCCACCTCCCCTCCAGACAGCTCTGTCAGCCCCCACAGCCTCAGGTTCCCCTTCCCCTGGGGACAACACAGACTAACGGGTGCTCTGTAAGCTGGGGTAGCCCCCCTCAGACTCAGGCAGACTGACAGTAAGATGCCTTTCCTTTTCTTTCAGGAATTGACTTTAAAATTAGGACCATTGAGCTCGATGGCAAGAGAATCAAGCTGCAGATATGGTAAGTGCTGTTGCTCTTTGGTGACCTTCACCTGGCCACTGCCCCCCACATTGTCCTTCTTCATAACCTTCCAAAATTTCACACCCAGCCCAGCTGCACTCCGCAGGCTCCTGTGGAGACAGAGCTCCCCAACCTGTGAGCCCAGCATCCCAGAGTGGGCAGCACTAGGGTCAGGCTTCCCTTGAACTTGGAGAGAGCCCTTGGTACAAAGCGTGGTGGTGAAGGCTCTGGGGACAGCCAGATGCCTCAGCTGGGTGGTTCCTTTTTGACATTTTTGAGACTGTCTCACTATGGAGCTCCAGCCTAGCCTTGAACCTGAGTTCTTCCTGCCTCAGTCTCCCAAGTGCTGGTATGACAGGTGTGGCCACCATACCTGGTCAGGACTTTGGTTTCCCTTTAAGCCCCTCATCTCACCCCAGAAACATAAAGGTATCACTTCCTCTTTCCTTCCAAGGAGGCCTGGGCCTCACTTCCTCTGTGCGGACCTGAAACCACTGAACTGAAGTGAAACAGACGCCAGGCCCAGTGGCCCCACCTATGTGTGTTCCTCGGATCTAGGGTGACTTCCCGTGCCCCATACAATTAGGGAAATTGTAAAGTCGCCAGGTCCCCACTGCTGCATGAGGAGGTGAGCTCAGGTGACAGGATTCCACCCAGACCACCCAGTGTCTACGCCACAGTCACCCAAGAGTGTGGCACGACGCCCTGTGCCAGCTAGGCTGAGGTGGACTGCATCCTCCCTGAGCCTTGAGCAGGAGCAGGAGCCGTCAGCGTTGCCCCCCACACCCCCAACCCCTTGCTGTGGCTTTGGGGGAGCCCAGGGGCGCCCGGTAATCTGACTTAGACCTTGAACTCCACGGCGTTGAACTCTGACCATCCTGCAGAGCCTGCCAGTCATCAGCCTCTGTCACCTGGTCCTCCCGGTCCTTACTTCCAACATGGTGGCCCCACAGCAGCCTTTGTGCCCAAGTCCAAAGTCACACAGTCCAACAGACAGAAGCCACATTCCCTCCCTCCGCCCCTCCCATTTCCAGGTGGGCAGGTGGCTGGTGCTCCACTCAGAAGCCTGGGACCACAGGTGGGATAAAGTGACTGCTCCTGATCACTAAGGCACCGCCCTTGGGTCAGCAAGTTGATTGGCATTTAAATAGTGGTAGCTTAGCGAGGCACTGGTGCTCACACCTGTAATCCTAGCTCCTTTGGAGGCTGAAATAGGAATGATCACAGTTCCAGGCTAGTCAGGGCAAAAAGTTAGCAAGACCACATGTCAACCAACAGCTGGGTGTCATGGTGCACACCTGTGATCCCAGCAACAGCAGGAAACCTAAAATAGGCGAATCCGAGTCTAGGTCAGCTTGACAAAAAGTGAGACCCTCCCCCATCTCCAAAATAACCAGAGTCAAAAGGGCTGGAGGTGTGGCTTAAGTGATAGAGCTCCTGCCTAGCAAGCATGGAGCCCCCTCGGGAGGAGCCCTGACCCAGGGACGAGAGACTATCCCAGGCTGCTGCTTAATTGCCCTGGCTGTGTCCTGATCAGTGAAGTCACCTTTCAGCCACCCGCTGCACACCCTCCATGCCAGGAGCTAGGCTGGATCTTGCAGGGGCATCGCCTCCCTGGGCCATGGGCCCTATAGTCACCTCATCATAGAGGTGAGGAAGGTCTTACCATCATGGAGCCAAGATGGCATCAGGATGAGTTCCCAAACCCCTATCCGGGAATTTGCTGGTCCATCCCCCTATGAGCGGAGCAACCACAGTCCCTTCCCCTACTGTGGCTGTGGATTTTCACAATTGGTAGCATTCAGCTTTGGCCCTCTGTGACTCAGAAATTCTGGGGATAATTCCCTGGAAGCCAGGGCACAGAGAAGTAAGGACACGGTTTAGTGATGGAGTTGGGGACATCAGAGGTCCTCAGCACTGAGCCCCAGCTCCCTGCTCTGTGCTCATGGAGAGCTGCCTGAGCAAGAAGGCGAGGCCAGAAGCCAGGCACGGTGGCCACACCTGGGATCCCAGCACTGGGGAGGCTGGGGCAGGAGGATCAGAAGTTCAAGGCCAACCTGGGCTGCATAGAAAAAAGTCAAAACATAAAACAACGTAGAAGAAAGCCAGGCGTCATGGTGTGCCTTTGATGTCGCTAATGTCCTCTATCCGTCTTGTGTTTAGGGACACAGCAGGTCAGGAACGGTTTCGGACGATCACAACGGCCTACTACAGGGGTGCGATGGTATGGATTGGTTTTTGTTTCTGTTGGTTTTAAAGTCGAAACAAGTATCAGTGTGCTGTCATTTCCAAAGCCTATGTGTTTCTTTGCTTTTCAGGAGTTTTTTTGAGTCAGAGTCTCTCTGTGTAGCCCAGGCTGGTCTCAAACTCCTAAATGCTGGGATTACAGGCATGGGTCACCATGCTGGACCTAAACCTGTGTGTTTCTATGGAACCTGTACTCCATCCCCTCAGGCATCCTGAGCCCCTGTTCGTGTCGGGAAGAGGTTGTGCCCCACCCGTGTCCCCATATGCAGCACTCCCTTCTGGCTTCCAGGACAAAGCAGGGTCTAGATGAGGTGGAAATGGCCATCCTGGGGGATGAGGGAAGACACAGGAAGCTGGCTCTTCGAGGTGAGGTCAGTGGCACAGAGCCGGCGTGCCCCAGCACAGGAGGGTCACGTGGCCTGCATCAGTCTCTGTGGAATGTGCTACCAATAACTTGACGGTCTCCCAGGAGCTGGCATGTTTGGGCCTTGGCTGTTAACGCCTGTGATCCAGGCCTGCAGGGCTGACATCATAGGAAGACTCCAAGTCTCTGTTGCCAGCCCTCAAATATTTCCAGGCACCTTCTCTGGGCCAAGCCTGAGTGGGGCAGGAGGCAGCCCAGGGTTGGGGGGGTCCTGCTCATTGGTGGTGTGCTCAAGGCAGGGCATGGTATCACCCCCTGAGCGTCATCCTCACTTGGAAAATGGAAGGAGGCTCAGGAGTTTTTCCTGGGCCACTGCAAGGAGCAAGGCCCCCTGCCCACAGCCCCAGCTCCCACTGTACCCCACTTTCCATAGTGTACCCCATCATTCCAGCAGGCGGTCCTCCCGGTGAGGGCAGCGCGCACATGTCTGGTGCCTGGGAACCCAGGTGCACGCGAACAGCTGGGAGCAGCTGGGGCGAACAGGAATATGGGCCATTAACTGTTCAGAGCTACACAGCATCTGGGCACAGTAGAGACTTTTCCATGCCCCTGCAACCCTAGCGCTCCTCATTAACAGTAATTTGCTGCTCTGATGGGGGGCAAGGGGCCTCTGTCCCCTCTCCAGGGCTGTGTGGCCCCTTTCTGGGCGGACACAGCCGCCCTGCCTGGCCACCAAGCGCTCTCCTGTGCGAGGCACCAGCCTTGGCTCAGCCTGTGCAAATCGATGGTTCCTGGCCGTGACCCCTGGTCACAATCTCCATTGTGCTGTCTGGAGCCAGAGGCTCAGCAGTGCCAGGCCTGTGGATGTTCATGCATAGGTCAGGGCTGGCCAGCACTTGCCATCTGTCTCAGCGCCCAACCCCTCCTCCAGCACCAAGCTAGTCCTTCTAGACTCAGGCCAGCCCAGGGGGAGTCACCGGCCACCCGTGGCTATTGGATTTTAAGTTGGCTAAAATTGAAACTCCACTGCTGGGAAGACATGGCCCCTTGTCTGGATCAAGCCCAAGCACAAACGAGAGACCCTGTCTGAAAACCCACTAAAGCAAAAAATGGCTGGAGTGTGGCTCAAGCAGTAGAGCGCCTGCCCACCAGGTGCTGAGAGCCTGAGTTCAAACCCCAGTACTGTGAGGAAAAAACAAAAAAGCAGTGTGGTTAGTGGCCACTATCTGTTGAGTCCCACGCCCTTGGTCTACAAATCCAGATCCACACGCACTGGGTGCCTGGCATCCCGTTGTCAGTGTACGCACAGGTAAGGGGAGGCGCTCCTGGGGCAGGGACCACACAGCAGTCACATGAAGCTTGAAGGAGCCTCCAGGAGGACCTGGAAGAGGTGCCCCCAATTCCCAGGTGGACCGCCTCTTCCCACAGTAGCCCAGGAATTTGGAGTCACAGGTACACGGTGCCAGCTTGGTGCTGGTGGCAGGAATCCTGGCCAATCAGAGGAGATGATAGTGGTCAGAACGACTTGGTTGTGGTCGCACCAGGTTGTGAGGCTGTGGGGTCGTGTGTGTGTGTGTGTGTGTGTGTGATTCAGATAGCAGTGGCTGTCTGTTTTTTTTTTTTGTGGTATTGGGACTTGAACTCAGGACCTACACCTTGAGCCACTCTACCAGCCCTTTTCTGTGATGGATTTTTTTGAGATTGGGTCTCAGCAACTATTTGCCCAGGTCGGCTTCGAATGGTGATCCTCCTGAGTAGCTAGGATTACAGGCATGAGACACCAGCATCTGTTCTTTCTTTTGGGCAGCACCGGGGTTTGAACTCAAGGCCTTGCACTCACCAGGGAGGTGCTCTTCTGCTTAAGCCACACCTCCAGTCCTATTTGCTTTAGTTATTTTTTTGGATGGGGTGTTGGGCCACCATCATCCAGGCCGGCAGAACCCCAGCCTGCCGCTTTGCGGGCACCCTGTCTACCTTCTCCTCGAGAGCCTGTTGCTTGTCCTGGCCTGAGTTACTGTCTCCTCCCACCAGGGCATCATGCTGGTCTACGACATCACCAACGAGAAGTCATTCGACAACATCCGGAACTGGATTCGGAACATTGAGGAGGTGAGTCTTGCTGGCTCTTCCCACACCCCATCTCCTGGGTCCCCACAGCCAGGGACACACCAGCGAGGACCCTGTTCCCCAAGCCTGGCCACCACGTCTGACTGACCTTGCAGACAATGAAGACAAGAGATGTCTGTGCTCTGGGTTGCTATGAGCGTTTGGTACTTTTTAGCAAGAGAAGGTTCTAGAACCAGCGTGACCCTTCATTGGACAGGTGTGGCAAGACAGCTTGTAGAATTGTACTTTGAGCTGTCATGGAGCAGGGTGTGGGCCTGTCTGAGCAACCTGTGTTCAGACCAGCAGCTGGCTGTGGCAGGGGATCTTGAGCCCATGTCCCCTTCCCTCCCCCACACCTTCCTGGACGCAGCACGGTGGCTTTGATGACTGATCAGGCGGTGCTGTGGGGTGAGGCCCTTCCCAGAGCGTTACTTGTCCATAGAGCCACATTCACCATGGAGGGTGTGACAGTGACCCCTCAGGCCAGCCCCAGGCGGCTCCTGTCCTTCCCAGGCAGTTGCGTGGGGCCTGTGGGGAAGCTACTTTCCACAGCCACAACCCTGGCACTGGCGGGGTGACGTGGAGCCGGCCGCCCCCACCCCGCCCCTGAGCTCCAGCTTGTCCTCTGCGCCCAGCAGTCCTGGTCACAAGTGGCAAAGGCACCCGCCTTGCATCCCACCCTGACACCTGTCTGCCCCTCCCCCTCAGCACGCCTCCGCAGACGTGGAAAAGATGATACTGGGGAACAAATGCGACGTGAACAACAAGAGGCAGGTGTCCAAGGAACGGGGAGAAAAGGTGGGTGTGGCAGCCGGCCCTGGCAGCGGGGCCAAGGCAGGGAAAGGCTGGGCTTTGGGATTCCTTCAGGCCTGATGAGCACAAGAAAGGTGACACCCTGGGGTGGCCCCAGCACCCCAGGAAAGTTGATCCACTGTGGGCCACGTGTCATGGAAGGGGCAGCAAAGATGGGACAGAGCTGTGCTTTGGACCCGAGCCATCATTCTCCCCCTGCCGCCACCAAGGCCACCTCCCCAGTACTCGGTGCTGGGTTTGGTTCTACTGAGGGGCTTCCCCCATTGCCTGGCTCCCCAGGGGAGAATTCACCTCGGCCCCAGTCCCCTTGATGCACTGTGGAACTGGCTGGGTCCCAGTCCCGTTCCCGCAAGAAGGCAGTGGGCCCTGACGTGTACACGTGTCTCCCTGACAGCTGGCCCTCGACTACGGGATCAAGTTCATGGAGACCAGCGCCAAGGCCAACATCAACGTGGACAGCGTGAGTCCTGGGCACTGCAGGAGCTGGCGTCCCCCAGGGGACACTTCCTGGCCACCGACCCCAGGGGGCTAGCTCATGGGAGTCCCATTGTGTTCTGAGCAGGCCCCTGCTAGCCCAGGAAGCAGGCATAGTTTTGCAGGTGGGGAAACCAAAGCTCTGATTCGTGGCTGGCCTGGAGTCTAGGGTCATGCTCTTGACCATGTCACACGCCCACAGACACGCTTCCAGCGGTGCCCTGACTGAGTCTGGGCCTGGCTCACCCTGGCCTCTCCAAGCAGTGCGGCCTGGCAACTGATCCCACTTTCCTTCCACACGGAGCTGGCGGTGGCTCCCAGCTGACCTTCACGTCACTCCCCACCTCACCCAATACAATGGTCAGAGCACTGGCCACCCGGCACTTGACCCACACGCTGCTGAGCCTCTCCCGACCCACCCCTTCCTGCTGCCCCCTTCCCGGTCTTCCTCCTGTCACAGGTCTTCTTGTCAGCTTGCCTGGCCCTCCCCAAAGCCCCCTCCATCCCCTTGTGGTCCCCAACCACCTCCACCACAGAACTTCCCACACGACACAGGTGTGGCAAGGTTTAGCCTTCGTCCCCACACGCTCAGGCACAAACATCAGCCTGTCCCACCTCTGTGCGTCCCCTCCCCAGGGATGCAGGGTGCACAAAACAGTGATGAGAACTATTTGTCAAAGCATGGACAAGGGACAGGGTCAGGAGGTGACAGAGGCGGCAGTGCGGGGTCCAGGCTGGCTAGAGCCTTGGGAGCATGGGCCTTTTACACCCCCCCTGGCCCCCTGACCCCAACCATCAGAGTGTCAGGGCACAGGCCAGGGCGGAGAACTGGATCCTTCAGGGCCTTCTGAGCCCCAGTTAGCCACTCAGTGTCTTGGGACAAATCACTGACTCCCTGGGATGTATCCTCCATGGCCAGTGAGTGAAATGCCACATCCCAGGGCTGCTGGCTTAGTGGAGGTGACCAGTGCAGGTGGGCGGGCAAAGCCTGGTGAGGAAGCCCACTCGGACGCTAATCCACACTGCTTCCCACGCTCCCGCTGCCCTGCCACTCCTGCTCCGTGCACGGCTGAGGCCTGATGGCCTGCCACTCCACGGCCACTGACAGCGTGCTCTTTCCACAGGCATTTTTCACTCTTGCCAGAGACATCAAAGCAAAAATGGACAAAAAATTGGTGAGTACATGTCCTTTCCAGCCACCTGTGTGGGTCTCTGTTGGTGCCACCATCCTGGCCACTGGGACCTGATGCTGCCAGGCCAGCCCTGCTTTGTGAAGCCTATCAGGACACTGCTGAGAAAGGCTGGAGGGGGGAGGTTGTAAGTGTGGTTGAGACATCAGTGCCACCAGGGGTACTGCCCAGCAGACAAAGTTTGCCCGCTGAGCCCACGGGCTAGCGGGGGATACACAACCCTTTCCCTTCCATTTGTGAGAAGATTCTGTTGCCATAACAAAATACCTGACACAGGATAATTTATAAAGAATAGAGGTTTAATAAGCCAGGCCTGTGATTCCAGCTACTCAAGAGGCAAAAGTTGGAGGTTCGGGAGTTTGAGGCCCACCTGAGCTACATAGCAAGACCCTGTCTCAGAAGTAAATAAGCCGGGTGTGATGGCTCACACCTGTAATCCTACCGACTTAGGAGGCTAAGACAGGGAAGATTGCAGTTTGAGGTCAGCCCAGGCAAATAGTTTATAAGACCTCATCTCTGAAATAACCAGAGCAAAATGGACTGGAGGTGTTGCTCAAGCAGTAGAGGGCCTGCTTTCCAAGCTGAAGACCTGAGTTCAAATCCCAGTCTCACCAAAAAACACCAAAACAAAATAAAGCCATCATAGGGGCCTCTCCCACATGACCTCAGCTGACCCTAACCACCTCGCAAAGGCCCATCCCCCTTCCCCCGCTTGACTTGGGATCGAGTCTCTAACACGACTCTGGGAGCACATCCAGCCATGGTGGGGAGGCCACAAAGATGGCAGGAAGAGAGCCTCGCCCAAGAGCCCTTGGCCAAGGCCAGAGCTGGAGTCCTCCCCAGAGCATGGCCTTCGAGGCACTGAGGTCTGGTGGCTGCTGCCCACCGCCTCACCCAGCCCCAGTTCTGCAAGCAGTGAGGGCAGCCTCCTTCAGCAGGGCCCAGGCTCTGCACAGCCACCAGGCTGTCTGGGAATTCCTGACCACCCATTCCTCAGTTCGCTTTCCGCTTTTTGGGTTTTTTTTGTGTTGCGTTATTGTGCTGCTGGGATGGAACCCACCCAAGGCCTCATGTCACCAGGCAGGTGCTCTGCGAATGAGCTACAGCCCCAGCCATGCTTTCTTGACTGAGTCAGAACACATCACTGTGCTTTGGGGACATTTAGTAATGAGATACCAAAGTGACCCTCCTGAGGCAGTGCTCGGTGGCTTCCCCCCCCCCCCCCGGCTAAGTGATCCAAGAGCAGCTGCTCTGGTCACACAAGAGTGCATGTAAACACAGCACGTCCTTCACAAGGTTCCCATTGGAGTCAGCACCTCATGGTCTCACCTTTCATCCTGAGACCCATGCATCAAGTAGTCAGTCAGCCACACAACTGCTTGAATAGCATCTCTTAAGCCATTAAATAACGGGAAACAGTCCCTGTAAACCAAACCAACATACTGACCAACAGCCACATAGACCTTTCTTACAGTTTTTTCAGTGAAATGGTCAAAATCCGAGTCCTCACAGTCCTCTCTCTTTTGCTCACTTAGCACCATGGCAGTACTGCCTGCCTCAGCATGCTTTTGATGTGGCTTGTGGTGACCTGGGGAATTCACCAGATCTTTCCAGGGTTGATTAGGAAGTGCCCACGTGCAAATTCATTCCTTTGTGAGGTCTCGTGCCTTAACTGTGTTAGTCAGCTTTCTGTTGCTGTGACAAAATACCTGAGATAACCAACTTAAAAGGAGAAAAGGTTAGCCAAGTGCCAGTGGCCATGCCTGTAATCAATCATAGGTACTCAGGAGGCAGAGATCAGGAAGATCACAGTTCAAAGCCAGCCCCAGACAGTTTGTGAGACCCTATCTTGAAAAAAACCCATCCCAAAAAAAGGGCTACCACCAAAAAAAAAAGGAAGAAAGGTTAATTTGGGCTCATTGTGACAGAGCTACCAGTCTGAGGTCTTGTGGCCCACATGGCTTTTGGCCTGTGTCAGATGAGAACCTCCAGGAGGAAGCGCCTGGTGTAGAGGAGCTGCTGCCCTATTGGCTGCTGGGAAGCAGAGAGAAAGAGGAGGGGCTGCTTCAAGGCCACGCCCCAGTGACCTAACTTCCTCCCATCAGGCCCCACCTCTTAAAGGTGCCACCACCTCCCAGTAGCACCAAGCTGAGGCCCAAGCCTTTAGCACGTTGCCTCTGGGGGACACTGGAGGCCCAGTGTAGCAAATCTCAAGGCGCCGACAGTTAAGCTCCTCACCTTTTCCTTCCTCTGCCCGGTCCATGCCCAGCATTGCCGCCCATGTGGTTCCACACCTCTTTCCCGTCTGTCCTTGGTGGCACCCAGGGACCAACTCTCTCTGCCTGTCTTGTCTTCTGTTGAGAGCCTTCCCTGTAGCCCTGTCAGGTCACATCTGCTAATGTCAGCCTACTCGGGCCTCATGCTGGGACCACTGTCCCCTCCCCCTTGTCCCCTCTGCTGTGCCTCACTGCCTTTCCTTGCTTTTCAAATGCCTGGGTTCATGCACCACTCCTGACCCACAGAGCCGGCATCTCTTCCTGTTCCCGAGGCCGAAACCAGGAACAGCACTCGGGGGCCTGGAGTCGAGGGGCTGGCCACCAGGTTCTTTCTGGAGCTCCAGTGGCCCTTTCCTGGCTGCTCCCAGCTTTTAGAGGCCCCTATGTTCCTGACGTGTAACCTGTTTCCCTCAAAACCCTCCACTCGGCACCTCGCTCGCCTGCTTCTCTCCTTACAAATAGTCACAAAGACAATGTTAAAATAGTTGTGTGGTCAAGTCGGAGCCCACAGGGGCATCCCAGGCTCGCCTCCCATTTCACTTCATTTATTTATTTTTTAATGACATTCCTCCTTGGCAGCACTAGGGTTTGAACTCAGGACATCACACTTGCTAGGCAGGAGCTCTGTCACTTGAGCCACTCCACCAGCCCCCCACTTTTTACTTTAATTCTGTCTACAGTCCCCTTGGTCAAGTCAGCCACAGGGCCCACAGACCAGGACACAGACATTTGAGGGGCCAATATTCTTCTGACCGCTGGACCACCCACGGTTTCCCTCACTTCAGAAAGTGTCTATTCAGACACCACCACAAAACACGGCTCCTAGAGGAGCTGGGGGCCACGCCTGTATTCCCTGTGTATGACAGGCTGAGGCAGGAGGATGGTGAGTTCCAGGCCAGCCTAAGTTACATAGGGAGATTGTCTTTAATTAAAAAAAAAAAAAAAAGAAAAGCCAGCTCCTACCTCCTTTCTCTCTTGTGACTCACCCCTGTGGGAAATTACACTGCTGTGTTTCCCAGAGTGATTCCTCTCTGCCCTGCAGTGTGGGCTCCATGGCATGGCAGGGCCCTTTGTCTTGTCTGCCTAGCAGGCCCTGTGCCCAGAAAAGCACCTGGCACATTGTATGCACTCAGTAGTCACTGATGAGTTAAATTCCAACAAGGAGGAGTTAAGGGCGAGTGTAGTGGTGCATGCCTGTAATCCCAGCTACTCAGGGGGTGTAGATAGGAGGATCTCAATTAAGACCCAGCCTGGACAAAAAGCAGGAGACTCCAACTCAAAAATAACTAAAGCAAAGAGTGCTGCAGAAAAAAGGGTGAGAATGAGGTAGGGGTCACGGCTTTGAAGCTGGTGAAGTGGGAGAGAATAGGATGTGCGTTCCTGGGGTTGGCAGGGCCCAGCTCACCTGAATCCCAGGTGGCAGAGGTGAGGTGTTCCTTCCAGAGCTGGTGGGGCACAGCGGATTCCCAGCAGGGAGCTCAGATCAGGGCACCATGTGTGCCCTCATCCAACCTAGACTTGACGCCTCATTCCTGGTTAACTGTCCTTGGGGGGGGGGCAGTGGGGGGCAGTGGAAAGATGGAGCCATGCATGGGACAAGGGCACCATCAGAGCTCAGCGGGACTGCATCTGTCCTTCCACTGCAGAGACAGCGGTGCTCAGCCTGCATGGGCAGATGGCTGCACGGGGAAGGAAGGGAAAGTGCTGGGAGGATGAACAGTTGGAGGGGGGGGGGCTGGAAGGGGCACAGGAGAGTAAACACACCAAGGACGACTAGTTGGGGATAGTGGGAAATCCATGGACAGATCTGCGGGTCTGCGAGTTGGTTATTCAGAAGACATGGTTGGTGGTGGCCTGGAAGGGTCGATGGATGGATGATGGGTGGGTGGATGGATGGATGGATGGATGGGTGGATGGATGGGTGGATGGATGGATGGATGGATGGATGGGTGGGTGGGTGGATGGGTGGATGGATGGATGGATGGATGGATGGGTGGATGGATGGTGGATGGGTGGATGGATGGATGGATGGATGGGTGGATGGATGGATGGATGGGTGGATGGATGGGTGGATGGATGGATGGATGGGTGGGTGGATGGGTGGTGGATGGATGGATGGGTGGGTGGATGGGTGGGTGGGTGGGTGGATGGATGGGTGGATGGATGGATGGGTGGATGGATGGATGGATGGATGGATGGATGGGTGGGTGGATGGATGGATGGATGGGTGGGTGGATGGATGGATGGATGGGTGGGTGGGTGGATGGATGGGTGGATGGATGGATTGATGATGGATGGGTGGGTGGATGGATGGGTGGATGGATGGATTGATGATGGATGGGTGGATGGATGGGTGGATGGGTGGGTGGATGGATGGGTGGATGGGTGGGTGGATGGATGGGTGGGTGGATGGATGGGTGGGTGGATGGATGGATGGGTGGATGGATGGGTGGGTGGATGGATGGGTGGGTGGGTGGATGGATGGGTGGGTGGGTGGATGGATGGGTGGGTGGGTGGATGGGTGGATGGATGGGTGGGTGGGTGGGTGGGTGGGTGGATGGATGGATGGATGGGTGGGTGGGTGGATGGATGGGTGGGTGGATGGATGGGTGGATGGATGGATGGATGGGTGGATGGGTGGGTGATGGATGATGGATGGGTGGTAGACGGAAGGGAAGGTTAAGTTAGAAGGTGATGATGAATGGGTGAATGCTTGGTGGCTGGCTGGTGAGGACTGGCAGTGCCAGCGCTCACAGATAACCTGAGGACCCCTTGTGACTTCAGGAAGGGAACAGCCCGCAGGGGAGCAACCAGGGCGTGAAGCTCGCACAGGACCAGCAGAAGAAGAGCAGCTTCTTCCGGTGCGTCCTCCTGTGAGGTCGCTGTCCCCCGAGCCTCACTCTCCGAGCTGACTGTGCCTGTCTCGAGCAAGCCCCGCGCTCAGCTCAGCCGGGGCTGCCATCGCCACAGGGTCCACGGCCACCAGAACACAGTTGAGAAATTGTTTATTTTAGTAACTGTCTGACCTTTTCAACTTGGAGACGGAAGTGAAGAGTTTGCTATTTTTCCTGAAATGTCTGCCAAACAGGGCCCACTCGTCACAGAGGCAGAGCTCAACGGAGACGAGATGTGATCGGGCACAACCACCACCATGGTGACCTCCGTCTCTGGGCCTCCAGTCCCGTGTCAGCCCAGCACAGCTAACACCCACCTGTCCCCTCCTCCACCGCGTGGGCCGCCAGCCTCCATGGCCTGAGCAAGGCGACCAGTCACCCAGGAAATTTCCCCCCACTTTGACCTCCTCGTTTTTGGACAAGTGACAAAAACCATTTCCCCGTCTGTCTTCTTTTTGCCTGTTAAACCAAAGGGAAGCACAAATGAAGAAAGCAGCGGGAAGGAAAGCGGCCTGGGGTGGCCTCTGCTGTCCACAGCCAGGTGTGGTCACACCGAGGGGACACTGCCCGCCACAGGTGACACGGGCGCCCTCCTCTCAGCGGCCCCCTGGCCCTGTCCTCCTCACGCTCCTGCCATCTCCAAATCGGACGTCCTTCCTCGCTGAGATTTTTTATTTTTCCAGATCCGTAGTGCCATGAAGCGATTCCGACTCTGATTTCCATCAGCAGGCCCAGGCAACTGGGAGCAGTGGGAGATGGTCCCAGCCCCACGTGGCCGAGAGCGTGAGGCTGTCCCCACATGCCCATGTCCCCCAGTCTGGGACACAAGCATTCCACGGTGACAGCCGTCTGGGTGACTTTCTCCTCTCGTCATCTGGACAGCTTTGCCCGCCCAGAGAGAGTCGGTTGGGACCAGGTAGCCCGGCCGGAGGGGACCCGGGGGCCTCTTAGGTTTTCGCGCCGTCAGTGGCAGCCATTGACACCGTACTCCCTCCTTTTCTGAATTAAAACCAGTGTACCAGCACCAGCCTGCTCTCCTGATTACGTCTGCAGTCGCCTCAGCGAAGCCACGAGCTAAAACTCTGGAAAGCGAACAGCTTTTCATGTGCACCGTTTGCCCCAAGGTCAGGTGGCCCGTTGGGCGATAGAGACAAAGGACCCCCTTGACCAAAAAGAGCCCACACTGGAGTGGAGGCGTGGCTCAAGCACTGTAATGCCTACTTTGTAAGCACAAAGCCCTGAGTTCAAATCCAGCACCCACTTAAAAAAAAAGATTTTAAGTTTAGGGCTGGTGGAGCGGCATAAGTGGTAGAGCGCCTGCCTAGCAAGTGTCAGGCCCTGAGTGCAAACCCCAGTGCTGCCCCCCGAAAAAAATCACAGAAAGCAGCCCACAGGGCTGAGGTGCAGCTCAGTGGTGAAGCACTGAAACCAGCGTGGTGGTGCACGTCTGTAATCCCAGCACGCAGGAGCATGAGGCAGGAGGATCGTGTCTTGAAGGCTACGTAGCGAGACCCTGCCTCAGAAGAGACAAAAACCAGCCCTGGGCCCAGCTCTGCCCCTCTTTGCAGGAAGACAGAGGCATCCATCTGTCCCACGTTCCCTCTGCCCGCCTGGCCGTCAGCCTCGGCCCTGCCGAGAGCCCACGGGGTTCTGAGCGCCTCACTCCTCTCGGTCTCCCTCCACCCAGCTTCCTGGCCACTGTGCCTCAGTCACCATTTGCCTCCCAAATCCCTGGCAAGGCCTTCACACGCCTCCTCCCCAGACCGGTTCCCAACACTGGCCTTTTCCTGCCCCGTTGGGGATCCCCAAGACCACGCCTGTGCCTCTTGATCAGGACTCAACAGAGCCGAGCAGTCCGGTTTCTGTTGCTGTAATGAACTACCCGAGGTGGGCTGCGTTATAAGAAAGAGTGGCTTGCTCACAGTTTGGGAGGCTGAAAGCCAAACAGCCAGAGACAGACTGGCGTCCCACAACCCCTTTCCAGAGGAAGGTAAGGACCTCCCAGAAGGCCCACCACTTAAAGGTCACACCCCCTTTTGGGGGGCACTGGGATTTGAACTCAGGACCTCATGCTTGCTAGGCAGGTACTCTACCATTTTAGCCACTCCACCAGTCCTTTTTTTTTAATTGGCTTTTTCAAGATAGGGTCTCAGGAACCATTTGCCCAGCAGGCTGGGTTTGAACCTTGATCCTCCTGATCTCCGCCTCCTGATTATTGGCATGAGCCAGCAGCACCGGGCTCTTTTTGCTTTTTTGTTCGTTCAGGTAGGGTCTCATTTTTGCCCAGGACCAGCCTTGGACCCTGGTCCTCCTCCCTCAGCCTCCTACATAGCTGTGACCACGGACATGCCATCACGCCTGGCCCCACCACTTCTGCTGAGGGCCGAACTTCTGACACATGAGCCCACGGGAGACATCCCATCCCGCCATAACCGGCCCCCACTGCTGAGGATCCACCACAGCGAAGGGTACAAACCGAAATCACAAGCTGGGTGTGCTGGGGCACGCCTGTAGTCCCGGCACTCAGGAGGTCACAAGTTCCAGGCTAGCCAGGGCTGTACGGTGAGGCCCTTCCTCAAAATCCACACAGATTAACAGAGGACAGGAGGGTGACCTCCAAGCTGGGCAGCAGAAACTCATGTCCAGAGCTGTCAGCTCTGAGGGTCGAGCCTGTGATCTCATCAGCCAGCAAGAAGCGACCATTGCTGGGCTCAGTGGCTCACTCCTGTAGTCCCAGCTACTTGGGAGGCAGAGCTCAGGAGGATGGAGGTTCGAGGCCAGCCTGGGCAAATAGTTCTAAAGAAAGACCCCCATCTCCAAAATAACCAGAGCAAAATGGCCTGGAGGGAGGTGTGGCTCAAGCAGTAGAGCTCCTGCTTTGCAAACACAAAGCCCTGAGTTCAAATCCCAGTCCAACCAAAAAAGTAAATAAAAAATGTTTTCTTTCCCCTCCGGCCATAGCCTCTCGATTCTGGGGAACAGATGGGTGACTGGTGACGAAGCACAGGGGCCAGCTGAGCTCTGCTCTGTGCCTGCCTTCTTGACTTTTGTTTTAGGACACAGGGTCTCACTGTACCCAGGATGCCCTCAAACTCATGATCTTCCCTTCACTGCTTAGTGACACGTTCACGACCAGAGGGGCTGTGGCGTTCCAGCCCCCGCTGTCCTCCCCTGCCCCTGGCCCCTTCCTTCCTCTGGGGGCCACGTGTCCATTCGTGGGCTGGGGACCTGCAGCTCGGGGGACGGTGGGGTGGAGCTCTGTGGGTGGGGCCTCGGTGGGGTGCAGGGCCAGGACACCCCATGTCCCCAGAAGCCTGGACCCCGTGCACATGGGACACCGGCCTCAGGCACCTCCTACCCAGCTGCACAGGCCCCTCACCAAGCAGGCTGGGCGCCGCGATCCGTACAGAGGATCAGAGAGGTTAAGTGAGTTGCCTGAGGCTGGCCCAGCCTGCGTCCCCCTCCAGCCAAGTGACAGAAGTGGACCTGACACTTGCTCAGCTGAGCCCCAGGCCCACGCCTGGACTTCCCTCGCCCATCCTGCCTGGCTCACAGTTGCAGGAAGAGAGGCCGAGGAACTCGCACGGGGCCACACAGCAGGTGCGGGGGGAGCCACCTTCCCTGTGACTCTGGCTTGGCCCTCGTTGAGCCACCCCTGCCGTGCCCCATGCCACCCTGAGCGGGAGCAGGAAGGTGAGAGGGGACAGCTGGGCCGCAGCGGCAGACCTGGATGAGCCGGCCGTGAAGATGTGGGGTGTTTCTGCCTGACAGAGAAGAGGAAGTGGCTTTGCCTGTGTGCTGGGCGGGGAGGGAGGGTGGGGACTGCAGGCCCGGCCGCGGCCACCACCAGCTGGCCCGTTAGGCACAAGGGGCCGGCGCCTCCCTCCACAACATTTTAAAGTCAGAAGAAAAAGCCGGGCGCGGTGGCTCACGCCTGTAATCCCAGCTACTCAGGAGGCAGAGATTAGGAGGATCGCGGTTCGAAGCCAGCCCAGGGAAATAGTTTCCGAGACCCCCCTCTCAAAAAACCCATCACCAAATAGGGCTGGTGGAGTGGCTCAAGATGAAGGCCCTGAGTTCAAGCCCCAGTACTGCAGAAAAAAGAAAACCTGAATATAGTAATGGTGGTATTTTGGTGGCAGTGTGTGTTGGGCGCGGTGAGCTACACACAGGATCAGAGAGGTTAAGTGAGTTGCCTGAGGTGGCCCAGCGTGGTCAGAGATCCAGAGCCCGAGCCAAGGGACAAAAAGGACGTGTCCAGTTCCTGTCCAAACTCAGGGCCTTTGCACATGCCGTCGCCTCCACCTACTGCGTTTCACTGGCCTCCGGCTCATGTCCTCCCGTCCCTGGCTGCAGGGCCACGGGGCCTCCTCTGGGAGTTCTTGTGACAGTCACCCCGTTTCCTGCCTCGTGTCCTCTTTGCATTGGGTTGTCACTTTGTTGCTTGGTCAAATATAGACGTTGGGGGGGGTGGAGGGCTGCCCCTGCCCTGGGGTCCTCCCCGTGTCCCCTCCCTGTCCCAGGAGTCAGCACACAGTAGGCACTCAATCAAGGCTCGCGAGGGCTGGGTGACAGCCACGTGGCCTCTGCCTGTGTCCCCAGCGGCTCTGTGGCTCGGGTCACGCCGGTCCCGCCCCTGCCTCACCTGCCTGAGGAAACAGGAACCCTCGGGCTGTGGCCCGCCCTGGTGACAGCGCTCACCAGAAGCGAAACTTAGGCTCCTGCAGCCACCAGCTCAGCCCGAGCGGGACCTCGCCACCCAGGGTCGCCCAGGTACGTGTGTCCCCAGGGCCTCAGCCCCTGCCGGCCTCCAGGACACAGAGCACCAGGGCCAGCCGGGTGGGGCCAGAAGAAGGGACAGGGCTGGGGAGGTCCAGGCTGGCAGCACTAGGGCAATTCTGGGAGGTGCTGGGGGAGGGCTTCCTGGAGGAGGAGACCTTATAAGGGACCATTGGAAAGCCAGAGCACTGGAAAAGGGGACCTGAGTGGGGGAAGGGACAGTCCTGGAAGGAGGAACGGCGAGGTCAAAGGCGTGCAGGGGACAGCAACAGCTTGGCAGTGTCCTGTGTGTGTGCCAGGTCAGCTCCAGGTGACACTGGGGATGCAGCCTGAAAAACCAGAACCTTGCTGTGCTCTGGGCCCTACAGAGGCCCCATCTGGTGGAGACTGAGCCACACGAACACCCTCCAAGTCCCAGGCGGTCACTCATGGCTGCGTCAGAGGAAGGAACAGTGGGGAAGGTGGGGGACAGAGAAAGACTCCAGGGCTGTGTCTATGGAGAGAGGCAGGGAGGCTGCCTGGAAGAGGGGATGTTAATCTTGGGTTTTGAGGGATGCATAGGAGTTCTCCAGGGTAGAAAAAAAAAACAAACTTGAAGACATTATTCCTACCCGGTCACGACTGGATTCATATGTACCTTAGAGATCGGCAGAGGTAGACAGACATGTCACTCAGCGATGGGGACACATTTGATTTTGTATTGACAATGTGTACTCAATGCAAACCCGGATGGTGTGGCCTGCGGTGCACCCACGCCTGGGCCATGTGTCACTGCACATCATATCGATATTAGAAATATCAATATGTACCGTGCACACAGCTCCACCTCGCCCAACCCACCGATGAAAATACGGGCACAGAGAGGTTAAGCAAGTAGCTTGGGCGCACAGCGGCTAAGAAGAGGAGCTAGAATTTGAACCCAGACCTCCAAGTCCTCTTCATGGCTCTGTCGCCCTGGGCCCAGGTCCCCAGCCTGGCGGAGACAGAGCCAGGAAAGCCACTCCAAGTCCTCGGGGTCATGGCTGGGCCAGAGGGAGGGAGGGAGGGAGGGAGGGGACAGGACAGGACAGGATGGCGGGGGACACAGAGGTGTCCCCGGCCCTGGAATTCCTCTGGGCCACACCTGGGAGGGTGTGCTTGTCCTGTACCTGGTCTAAGTCAATATTGACCGCCACCGTCACCACGGTGACACTGGGCAACAGTGTGGGACGGGCTGTGAGGACCGCGCTCCGGGCTGGGGTCAGGAAGAAGGGGACGGGGCGGCCGGAGGCCACCAACACTTCTGGCTGGTTTTTTTAAGAGCCTTTGGCAAACGAGTGACATTGTCCTTCCTCCAGTCCGTGTCATCCATTGGCTCACAACACCCCAGGGCACCTTGAGCCTCCATTGGCCAAGGCACGTGTGCACACCGTCGCCTTGCTGTCGATCGCCACGAGTGTTGACAAGTTCAGTTCCCACAGCAGGCAGCCCGGGCTGGCCTGGAACTCACGCTTCTCCTGCCTCGGCCTCCCGAGTGCTGGGATTACAGATGGGCGCCTCCACGCCCGGCTTGACTTAATGTTGAAACACAGTCTACTGTTGAGTGTGATGGCGATTTCTTGCACACAGTAAGAGGAAGCATTGAACGGGTGTAAAAGTCAGGGCAACCCTGGAGGGCTTCCTGGTGGAGGAGGCAGCGAACGCTACAAGAACCGAGCAAGGAAGAGAGAGGGGCCAAGCGTGGCTCTTCCCCTCCCTCCCCCGCAGGTCCCCCGCAGGTGACCACCGGCCCCATGGAAGCCATGACGGAGTCTGGGAAGCTGCCCCCGCCGCTGCCCCCTCGGCTGGGCTGGTTTGTGCACACGCAGGTGGACGAGCTGACCCAAGGCGGGATCCCTGACTGGTTCCACGGCACCATCTCGCGAGAGTGAGGACGCCCTCCACCCCTGCCTCGTGTCCCCCCGCTTTTCCCTGCGGAATCCTGGGTTTCGTTCCACCCAGCGTGGCCAGAGGGCGAAATGAGCCCTGGAGTCCTGGATTTGAGTCCTGCCTTGCTGTGTGACCTTGGGCAGGTGACTCCCCTTCTCTGGGCCTCAGCTTTGCTCTGTACAGGTGGCCTCCAGGCCAGCACTGCCGGCCAGTGACGGCCAACGCGCCCTCAGAATCCTTCTTGACAGCGCCCGCCGACCAGCACTGCTCTCTCCCATCAGGACCTAAGTAACTCCCATGCAGGAGGCCGCGCTTTGCATCTGCGCGCCCACTGGTCCTGGGAGTGACCTTGACTTTTCCCCACCTTGAGGTAGCTGGGGATCAGAAAGGGCTGGACACTTGCCTCAGGTCACACAGCAAAGGCTTTGAGCTCTAATGCATTTGAGGCCCCCTGCTCCGCCCACAGGTGCCTGCAGGGGGCATTTGAGGTTTGGGGAAGGCAGACAGACTCAGGGCTGCCGGGGGACAGGGGACGGGGGACGGGGGACAGGGAGGACATCCCTGTCGTGTGTATTCCAAGGTTTGAAACAACCATGAGAAACTGATGTTAGGCTGTTTGTTCATTTAGAAAACTGGGACACGCCCAGGCCGGGCAGCTGGACAGTGGCCAGCCCCTCCATCTGTCTTTTCAGGGCAGCCGAGAACTTGCTGGAGTCACAGCCACCGGGGTCTTTTCTGGTTAGAGTCAGCCACAGCCACGTGGGCTACACCATCTCCTACAAGTAAGGCTTGGGCGGCGGGCGGGTGGGCTCTGCGGCTTTCTTGGAGGGGGCACAGGGTGCTTTGTGTCATAGCTTCCTAGAGGGCACACAGTGCGAGGGTCTGGCCAGATTTGCCTGAAGACGGACAGCTGCAGGTCTGGCTGCATCCAGCAGACATAGAACAGGGCCTGCTGGGGGTGGCGCCTCCCGCACCCGCAGTCGAACTAGTGATCTCACTGTGACAAGGAATCCAGTGCAGCTCCTTAATGGCTCCAAGCACGAGTGACCATCTCAGAGAACTCAGAACAAGCTACTTTCTTCTTTTTAGTACTGGGGCTTGAACTCGGGGCCTTCGCCTTGAGCCACTCCAGTTTCTGTGAACTGATTTGAGAACTATTTGCCTGGCCTGGCTTCAAACCTTGATCCTCCTGATCTCTGCCTCCTGAGTAGCTGGGATTACAGGCGTGGACCACCGGCGCCAGGCACAAAACCACTTTTCAACAGGCAAATCTAGAGGACTCCAGGCCAAAGGCGTTTTCAAAGCGCAGTTATTTGATCACAGAGTTACTGGACGGGCCTTGGGTTACATCGCTTGAGGCTGGGCTCTGCCACTCCTTGCTGTGTGACCCTGGACAAGGGACTCCACGCCTCTGTGCAAAATCATCTCCCGCAGGAATGCAGTAATCTCCCCCAGAGCCTTGATGTGGGATTGAAGGAGCCAGGGTAGGCAAATGGGGACAGTGAGGCACGCGCAGCCGCGTGGGACCTGGGGGTGCAGGGCACCGGGGAGGTCCACGTCCCAGCCCGCAGTGTCCCCGCAGAGCCCAGAGCTGCTGCCGCCACTTGATGGTGAAGCTGCTGGACGACGGCTCGGTGGTGATCCCCGGGGAGAAGGTGGCCCACGCCTCGCTGCACGCCCTGGTCACCTTCCACCGGCGGGAGCCCTTCGGGCGGTGGGACGAGCTGCTGACGCACCCCTGCGGGCAGGTGACGCTGGGCCCTCCGCGGGTCACCGTCGGGGCGCGGGGGCCACGAGCAGACCGCGGAGAGCGCGCGGCGCCGTCCCGCAGACGGCCGGGGGCGTGGCCTAGGCCTGGGACGCCGCAGTGGGCGGGGCTTTTCCCTTCCGAGGCTTAGTGGGCGTGGCCTAAGCCCTGTGGCCCTGCTGTGGGGGGGCACGTTTCCCTAGGAGACTGGGGGGCGTGGCCTAGGTCCTGAGGCGCTGCCGTGGGTGGGGCTATTTTCTTATACGTTTAGTGGGCGTGGCCTAGGCCCACTGCTGAGGGTGGGGCACGTTTCCCTAGGAGACTCGGGGGGCGTGGCCTAGGTCCCGAGGCGCTGCCGTGGGTGGGGCTATTTTCTTATACGTTTAGTGGGCGTGGCCTAGGCCCACTGCTGAGGGTGGGGCACGTTTCCCTAGGAGACTCGGGGGGCGTGGCCTAGGTCCTGAGGCGCTGCCATGGGTGGGGTTATTTCCTTATAAGTTCAGTGGGTGTGGCCTTGGCCCTGCTGTGGGTGGGGCAGTTCCCCTAGAAGGTTTGGGGGCGTGGCCTAGACGCTGAGGCGCTGCGGTGGGTGGGGCTATTTCCTTATGAGTCCCGGTGGGCGTAGTTCAGTCCCTGAGGCCCTGCTGTGGGTGGGGCAGGTCCCCTAGAAGGTTTGGGGGCGTGGCCTGGACCCTGAGGCGCTGCGGTGGGTGGAGCTATGTCCTTATTTGTCCCCGTGGGCGTGGCCTGGCCCTGAACCGCGGTGGGAGGGCAGGTCTGCGGCCGCGGGGGCTGAGCTGCGGCCCCTCTGCCCCGCAGAAGGACCCGGCAAACGTGGACTATGAGGATCTCCTCCTTTACTCCAGCACGCTGGCGCAGGAAGCCGACGGCCCCCGCCTCGGCCTCCAGGACCCGCAGAGGCCTTCCTGCTGCCCACCTGCGCAGGTACCCCCAGAGCCCCACATCACGACCCGCACTGTGACCTCAGCCGCTTCCGCCTGTCACCTCCCGCCCCTTCTGTTGTCCAACCCATCACTGACGCTCAGGACCTTTGCACGTGCTGTGTCCGCTGTCCCACACTTCCCATGCCTGGCTCTTTCTTTTAATTCTGCCAGCGTCCCCATCCCCAATCTTGGACCTATGGCGATCTGAAAAGCTCTCGCCTCTTTATGGCTGTATATGTTTCCAGTCGGCTTCTCCCATCCGACGCTGGGCTACAGGAGGCCAGCGGATCCTCGCTGCACCTTGTTTTCCTCACCCCTGGAAGATCAGCTGGTGAATGTGTAATGTAGACGATGAATAAACAGTGGTGTATCCCAGCTTCTCAGGGTGGGTGGACCTTCAGATCCCTCAAAGGGCCTCCAGGTCCCTGAATGGCAGGGTGGAAATAAAAGTCTAGTGTGATAGACATCTGTGGAGGTGCAGGTGCACCTTCCTGGAGAGGGTGGCACACTGCGGGCTGTTCAGGGTGAGGAGGAGCCAGCCGCATAGGTGGGGACAGTGGCTAAGCAGAGGGAACAGCACGTGCAAAGGTCCTGGGGCTCAGCGTGTTTGCAAAACAGAATGACACGACAGTGTGCATGGAGATGAGGCAGCAGGGTCACCCCTGGGGCCAGGGTGAGGAGCTGGGACCCTGGTCCAGCGTAAGGAGCTAGGACCTCATTGATGGTGTGCACGTTCCCTGTGGAGAGGGAGTTGTGCACAGTGCTACAGGGGGCAAGAGGGAGGTAGGATGGGGTCCGCATCCAGGTGGGAAGGACCAAATCCCGATAGTGAGAAAGCAGAGGCTATTTGAGGGTCTGAGCGCAGAGGCTCACCTCTGTAATCCCAGCTACTCAGGAGGCAGAGATTGGGAGGATTGCGATTTGAGACAAGCCTGGGCAAAGAGGCGTCAAGACCCCATCTCAACAAATCAGCTGGTGTGGTGGTACTTGTGTGTAATCCCGGGTACACAGGAGGCGTAGGTAGGAGGATTACAGATCAGGCTAGCCCTGGCAAAATCTCACAACCCCACCTAAAAAACAACTAAAGCAAAAAGGACTGGAGGACTGGAGGACTGGCTCAAGCGGTAAAGTGCCTGCTTAACAAGTGTGAGGCCCGGAGTTCAAACCCCAGCACCACCAAAAACAAAAGTGGGTATTTGTGATGTGCTGTAGAAGGGAGCATGGATGGAGGTGGAAGGTGCAGGGGAGAGAGATGTTGTCACCCTAGGGGTCCCGGGGTCCTCCATGTCTGGGTAGATGATCCCAGGAGAGGGCCATGGCTGGCCGGGAATGGGACAAGAGAGAGGACAGCAGATGAAGGGTGCACGGGTTCATGGGAGGGTCTTGGAGAAAGTCTCGCTACGCAGCCCAGGCTGACCGGAACTCGAGATTCCCCTGCCTCCTCCTCCCATGCACTGGGATTACAGGTGTGAACCACCATGCCCAGCTTTTCTGCATGGTTTTCTCTTGAGCTGGATGTAACCTCACTTGTGTGAATGTCCCTGTGATGTTCACCAGACACAAAGATACCTAACAGTGCACTGCCAGAGCTGTCACGACAGAGACAGTGTCACCCTCAGAGCTGATAACACGCTTTCTGACTTTTCTTTTCTTTTCTGAGGTGCTGGGCGAGTGCTCGCCACAGAGCCGCACCCCAGCCTGACTCGGCACTCTGGCTCTTTGCAGAAGCAGTTTGCTGAGTTGGGGAGGCAGGGCTGTGGGGTCAGGCTTGGGGGTTTCCATAACCCAGACCCCATTTTCTGGGACAGATCCAGAGCACTGGGGCGCAGTATGCCTCAGGTCTCCTCTTCTGTCCCTTTCAGGGCCCCTCAAAGCCAGTCCCGGAAATGGGGTCACCTGAAGCTGTGGATGGAGAAACACAGGGAGAAGCTGTTCCCTCCTTCCCCCCAAAGGCACCTTTTGGGGAGACCCGCCAGAAACTCTGGGAGAACCTGAAATCACTGCCCCAGACGAGCAAGAAGGTCCGGCAGCAGCTGAAATCCCACATGGCAGCTGTGAATTTGTCCCTTCGAGATACTAGGAAATCAGCAGGGACCCCGCTGGGCTCCAGGACCTTTTCAGGCAGACAGGATAACTCGGGCAACACAGCCTGGAGAAAAGACATCTCCAAGGACCTGCGTGTTGCCACATCCCAGGCTCCGAGAGACACAGACACCTCCTCCAGGAAGGCTACCAGGTCCATCAGCTGGAGCGAGGTGACCACAGGGGTCAAGGGCTGGCAGCAGACAGTCATGAGGACCCTATCCTCCCAGACAGGCAAACCAGAAACCAGCGACCTGGCAGAGTCCCAGGACGCCTGGCTCCCAGAGGAGTACCTCCCGCCGCCACCCTTTGCCCCTGGCTACTACTAGGGACCCTTGCTACCAGGGCCTGCCACCCTCCTGCACGTCCCCTCCCTCTGCCACACATCTGCCAGTCCTCAGGGACCAGGAGGTGTAACGCAGGAGGCTGGGGTCTGATTATATTAATAGAGTCAGCCAGGCACCAGTAGCTCACACCTGTAATCCCAGCTACTTGGGAGGCTGAGATAAGGAGGATCACAGTTTGAGGCCAGCCCTGGCAAATAGTTCTCGAGACCCCATCTTCAAAATAACCAGAGAAAAATGGACTGGAGATGTGGCTCAAGCGGTAGAGCTCCTGCTTTTCGTGTTTGTGAAGTCCTGAGTTCAAACCCCAGTCACAGTAAGAAAAAATAGTCACCAACTGTGTGCCAGCCCGTGCTTGTCACTGTCAGCCCTCTGTGGCCACGGTTCTGCGTCTTGGATGGGTCACTGTGGATCAAACTGTGTTTCTAAGAAACCGCATCTGTACTGAGCACGTCCAGGCTTTCCCCTTGTCGCCATTGCTAAGCAATACAGTCTGACAGCTAGATACGTGGCATGGACGTGACCGTGTTCTGTGTCCTCTAGGGATGGCGTGAAGTCTCACAGAGGACGTGTACAGCTTTGTGCAAATCCCACACCATGTCATCCGCGGATTTGGGGATCTTGGGGTGGGGGCTCCTGGCACCAATGTCTGAGGATCCCCGGGGCCGGGGCCGACTGTTTCTTGGGTGCATCTGCAAGCCTATCTGTTGGCCATTTTCCAGTTTGAGGAAGAGACCGAGGTTCCATGTGCAGCGCCAGCCCTGTCCTCACACTGCCCGTGCTCTGTCCTCGACTCCTTGGCACCTCCCTCCCTCCTTCCTGGGCTTCTTGAGCAGATTAAAGAGATGAAATGAGCCCAGGTCCTGGCACAGAGTGGGACATCCACACCAGCTTCAGAGGTCACAGTTGAGCCCTTTCCTTTAAAAAAAAGGCTTTGGCCCAGGGCGGTGGCTGGTGTGTGGTGTGGACTTGGACGAATCCTAGGTTAAGGTGCTGTGCGAGCCTTGGTGAATCTAGACCTCTCTGGGCCTCTTTCCTCACTTGGAAAGTGGGCAGAGGAGCAGTCCTTTTTTCCCAGGGGGAACTGGCAGTTGTCAGGTGAAATCTGGGGTTTTTAATCCACTGGTGGGGTGGACTGTTCCACAAAAGACTTACAGTGAAGGTGGCTTGATGTCCCTGGGGGCTGGCCTGAGGCGTGGCGTAACCACACCTTGGATGGACTGGGGCTGTTGATGAGGGTCCTGTGACCACTTTGGGAAGGGTGGGGCATGGGGTGCCCTAAAATCGCACAGTCTGGGATCTGAAATGAGGCACTGTGGGCTCAAGTCAACCCCTGTGAACAACTTGTGATGTGCTCTTGACCTACTTCAAAACAGACTGTAAAGTGCAGTGCCAACCTCTATGAATGGCACTCCTGTCACCTCCCCACCCCCCACCCCGCCCCAAGGCTTCTCCATGGCAGGTTGAACAAATCAACGCAGAGGGAAAGTTTCAGTCCCCTTGAGTGACTCAGGGATGGAGGAAGAGACTTGAGCAGTCGGTGGTGGGGTCCAACCTCAGGGGTCCACTGGTAGGACAGTGAGGGCCCAATGTCCCCGGCTCATCTCAGCCCGTGGATACCTGTAGCCATTCCTGCCTTCCTAGTGCAGAGAGGTCTAGAAGTCAGTTTGTGGGCTGGAGTTATGGCTCAAACTGTAGAGTTCCTGCCTTGCAAGCACAAAGCCCTGAGTTCAAACCCCAGGACCACCAAAATAAAACATGCTTAGAACTCAGTTTGTTCCTCGTGCACAGGGAGGTCATGGCCCAGAAAGTGTATGGCCACAGCCAGGGTCACACAGCCAAGAGCACAGATAAATTATAAGCTTCCTCCCACCACCCTCCAGGTTTAGAGAAAAATGTTCCCAGCACTTGGGAGGTTGAGGAAGGAGGGTTGCGAGTTAAAAAGAAGAAAGAGACGCACTTAACCCGTGTTTATTCACGGTGGGGAGGTCAGGGTGGGGCGCCTCTGGCCCGGATCGTCCCAGCGTCTCAGATACGGATGTGGAAGGTGCTGTGAGCAGAGTGAGGCAGTGAGCACCAGCGTCCCACTCCCTATACCGCCCCCAGGTCCCCAAAGCAGGCAAGGAACCCCGTGGGAGAAAGGATCCCCCAAACAACCCCAGACCAGGGCTCTCCTATCGTCCATGGGACCTGTGAGCACACGGCGTGTACTGGAGTTCACAGCCCAACTTCACCCGGGCTTGCTGTGCAACTCAGAGCGGGTAGCTGTCCCTCTCTGGGCCTCAGACACCAACTGGTCCTGTACAAGACTCGGGTAGACACACTGGGCGTGACACGCGGAGCGTGCTGGGTCAATCAGGGCACTCATCCTGCCTTGTCAATAATTTGCTGTTATCATTTGATGATAATGACGACAGCACGCGCTTACTGAACACCCCTACGCACACATATGAACTTGGGGCTCAGCAAACTTAGCTCTGTAGAGAGCCAAACAGCTGCTGCACACTGGTGGCTCACACCTGTAATCCCAGCTACTCGGGAGGCTGAGATCAGGAGGGTCGCAGTCTGAGGCCAGTCCAGGCAAAAAGTTCAAGAGATCCGATCTCCAAAATAACCAGAGCAAAATGAACTGGAGGTGTGGCCCAAGTGGCAGAGCACCTGCTTTGCAAGCAGAAAGGCCTGAGTTCAAATCCCAGTTCCACCAAAAAAAAAGAAAGAAAAAAATTGTCAGAGTTCATGTCTCTCGTTAACCACTAAGCACAAAGCATCCACAGCCAACGTGTATGTGAACGGGTGTGGCTGTGTGCCAATAAAACTTTATGCATGGGCACAGATTTGAATTTCAGGACTGGGGCATGGGTTAAGAGGAAGAGCCCTTGTCTGCAATGCACAGGGTCCTGGGTTCGATCCCCAGTACTGGAGAAAAGAAATTTTAATTTTGCATATCGTTTTCACGTGTCAGGGAACAGTACTAGCCTTTTTCTTTTCAGCCATCTGGGAACATGAAAAGCACTCTTAGCTCACAAAACCAGGACGGAGGTGGCCCGGGGGCGGTACTTTGCCAATGCTACATGACCTCACTTAAATCTTTTTTTTTTTTTTGGTGGGACTGGGACTTGAACTCAGGGTTTCGAGCTCACACAGCAGGCGCTCTGCCCCTTGGGCCACACCTCCAGTCCATGTTGCTCTGGTTATTTTGGAGATGGGGGTCTCGAGAACTGTTTTCCTCAGCTGGCCTCAAACTGTGATCCTTCTGATGTCAGCCTCCCAAGCAGCTGGGATTATAGAGGTGAGCCACTGTGCCCAGCCACTTAACTGTCTCTGATTCTTCCTCCAGCCTGCCAAATGCAGTTGCACAGCAATGATGGCTGAAGGCCAGCTGTGCTGAACTTGACCAAAGAGCTGCGTTCAGCCATAAGGGGAGCCACAGGGGTCCTAACTGTCCCCACTGTGTACAGGAGGGGGTTTCCCAAGGTCACAAACAAGTGGGTGCCTGGCAACGTCACCTGAGGAAATCGGGCGCCCGCAGAATCATGGTCTGGAAGTCCTCCAAGGACAGGCGCCCGTCGTGGTCCCCGTCGGCCTCGTCCAGCACCTTCTCACACACCAGCCTCACCTCCTCCGCGCTCAGCTCCCCACGGGTCAGCCTGGTCACCGTCTGCTCCAGGTCCCACGCACAGATGTAGTCGTCGTTGTTAAAGTCTGCAAGCAGCCAGGAGGGGACAGCAGGTGGCAGGTGGGCGGGGCTGGCCGGGGCACATCGTCCCTCCATGTTACAAAAGGGGGAACTGAGGCCCTGGGTACCAAGCAGCCTGGGGAGAGAATCTGGGTCTTGCTTTGGAATTGAGCTGGGAACTCATTCAGTCAGTCAAGCAGCACTGAGTGCTTACTGTGTAAGCTGCCAAGCACTGCAATGACTTTTTCATTCATTCACTCAGTATTTATTAAGCGACTACTGTATGCCGAACAGGTTTTTTCATTCATCTTCTCACTCAAAAAGTATTGGAGTGCCTACTGTGTGCTTGGCACTGTAACAACCTTTTTCATTCAGTCACTTAAGTATTTATTGAGTGACTACTGTATGCAAGACACTGCAATGAGTTTTTTCGTTCATTCGCTCCCTCAGGAAACATCGATTGAGTGCCTACTGTGTGCCAGGCACTGCAGTGAGTTCAGTCACTCATTTGCTCACTCCACAGGTATTCATTGAGTGCCTACTGTGTGCCAGGCACTGCGGTGAGTTCAGTCACTCATTTGCTCACTCCACAGGTATTCATTGAGTGCCTACTGTGTGCCAGGCACTGCGGTGAGTTCAGTCACTCATTTGCTCACTCCACAGGTATTCATTGAGTGCCTACTGTGTGCCAGGCACTGCGGTGAGTTTAGTCACTCATTTGCTCACTCCACAGGTATTCATTGAGTGCCTACTGTGTGCCAGGCACTGCGGTGAGTTTAGTCACTCATTTGCTCACTCCACAGGTATTAATTGAGTGCCTACTGTGTGCCTGGCACTGCGGTGAGTTCAGTCACTCATTTGCTCACTCCACAGGTATTCATTGAGTGCCTACTGTGTGCCAGGCACTGCGGTGAGTTCAGTCACTCATTTGCTCACTCCACAGGTATTAATTGAGTGCCTACTGTGTGCCTGGCACTGCGGTGAGTTCAGTCACTCATTTGCTCACTCCACAGGTATTCATTGAGTGCCTACTGTGTGCCAGGCACTGCGGTGAGTTTAGTCACTCATTTGCTCACTCCACAGGTATTCATTGAGTGCCTACTGTGTGCCAGGCACTGCGGTGAGTTTAGTCACTCATTTGCTCACTCCACAGGTATTCATTGAGTGCCTACTGTGTGCCTGGCACTGCGGTGAGTTCAGTCACTCATTTGCTCACTCCACAGGTATTGAGTGCCTACTGTGTGCCAGGCACTGCGGTGAGTTCAGTCACTCATTTGCTCACTCCACAGGTATTGAGTGCCTACTGTGTGCCTGGCACTGCGGTGAGTTCAGTCACTCATTTGCTCACTCCACAGGTATTCATTGAGTGCCTACTGTGTGCCAGGCACTGCGGTGAGTTCAGTCACTCATTTGCTCACTCCACAGGTATTCATTGAGTGCCTACTGTGTGCCTGGCACTGCGGTGAGTTCAGTCACTCATTTGCTCACTCCACAGGTATTCATTGAGTGCCTACTGTGTGCCTGGCACTGCGGTGAGTTCAGTCACTCATTTGCTCACTCCACAGGTATTCATTGAGTGCCTACTGTGTGCCTGGCACTGCGGTGAGTTCAGTCACTCATTTGCTCACTCCACAGGTATTCATTGAGTGCCTACTGTGTGCCTGGCACTGCGGTGAGTTCAGTCACTCATTTGCTCACTCCACAGGTATTCATTGAGTGCCTACTGTGTGCCTGGCACGATCATAACTTCCTTCGTCCAATCAGGCACGGGACATTCACGGAGCACTGACTGCGTGCCACGGTGGCCCCTAACATTTCATGAGTCCCCCAGAAAGCGCGAGTGGCGCCTGCTGGGACCCACCGTAGATCCTGAAGGCGTAGTAGGCCTTGAGGTCCCGGGGCGCCATTTCGCTCAGCGCCGAGAACATGTCCAGGAAGTCGTCCAAGGTCATGTGGCCATCGCCGTCCTCGGAGAACACCTGGGCGATCCTCTGGCGGAAGGGGTTGTCCTGGGGACCGGGGAGGGACAGGGACATCCTCCGGCCAGGCTCTCCCGGGTCCCCGTCACGCCTAGGTTCCTGCACAGCACGCCACGCAACTCCGCTCGCGAGACTGTGCTCCCGCGGGAGCATGTGACCCAGAGAGGCCAATCAGAGCTTGCCCTTCGCCCGGCCACTGTGATTGGCTCTGAGACGGGCACGTGGCTCAAACTGACCAATCAGAGCTTGCCCTTCACCTGGCCCCTGTGGCTCTGAGACGGACATGTGACTCATGCTGACCAATCAGAAATTGTCCTTCATCTGACCACTGTGATTGGCTCTGAGATGGGCATGTGACTCAAACTGACCAATCACAGGCTGCCTGGAGGGAGATTCCTCTGAGCACACGGTGGAGACGCTTGTTCTTAGCCATACTTGACATGAGCGCTGCTCCTGGATTAATTGATGTTTTTGAAATTTTTTTTTTTGGTGATCCAACCCATTCCATTCCTCTTCAATGAGCTTTCCATAACTTGCAATTAAATGCAATCAGCCAGCCTAGCACTTGTGATTCACCTCCGTAATCCCAGCTACTTGGGAGGCTGAGATCAGGAGGATCAGATTTGGAGGCCAGCCTGAGCAAATAGCTCCTGAGATCCCATCTCCAAAATAACCAGAGCAGATGGGCTGGACTGGAGGTGTGGCTCAAGTGGGAGAGCTCCAGCCTAACAGAGCAAGGTCCTGAGTTCAAACCCCACTCCCATCAAAATAAAAAAATACATAAATGCAATCGACGCTTCACACCCACCCGCAGGCTCTGAATTCACACCTGCAATAACTGTGCATCGAAAGTGTTCAGGAAAAAATTGCATTTGTGCTGAACATACGGCTTTTCTCATCATTTTCCTCCTAAATAACACAGAATAGCAACACTCCCGGTGTTCTAAGTCATCTTGAGACCGGGTGATGTCCCCAGGAGGCCATGTGCAGGGTCTGGGCAAATGCTGTGCCATTTTATAGCAGGGACCTGAGCACCCGTGGATTTTGGCATCCTACAGTGTCCTGGAGCCGATGCCCTGTGGTATCAGGGGCACCCGTGATGGCTCCTGAGACACAAGCCATCCAGCCAGGAAGAAGCGCAAGTGGCCGCTCTGACAGCCCTGACCCTTTCCTCTCTACGGCTCTGGCTGGCTACTGCATAGTGGCTGTGTGACACGAGCAGGTGTCTTAGCGTCTCTGAGCCTCAGTTTTGTCATCTGTGACATGGGGACGACTGTCATCTCCACCTCACAGGAATGCAACGGGGACATCTCTAGTGTCCCTCCCCGACCTGCCCTGTGGTCCCCGCGTACCTTCAGCTCCGGCATGCTGCCAATGAGCTCGTAGGGCACCTTGACATTCGGGCAGCCGGTGTAGTCCAGGGGGACGAGCTGGGGGGCCAGGTCCTGGTAGCGGTAGAACAGCCTGGTGTGCAGAGGGAAGAACCAGGGAAGGCTGGGAGCCAGCAGGGAGGAGGCACCGGTCCCTCAGGACTGCTCATTCCACACCAAATGACACCAGGTCCCCAGGAGCCATCGGGCTGGACCTCAGGCACCAGACACAGACCCCTCTACCACCATCCCCAAGGTTAGAGTGGGGAAAACAAGCTATGGGAGAGGAAGGGCTTCCTGGAGGATGGGGCATTGGTGCTGGGTTTTGAGGGATGAGTAGGAGCTTACCAAGCAGATAGAGCTGGAAGTGAGGAGGTGCTTATGGCTGGGTCATTTCACAATAAACCTTCAGGCCTCCTAGGTAATCTTGCATCTCCGATGTCATTGCATGGTCGGCATGACCCTGATTCTAATGGGGTACCCCCCTTCTCATTCCTAACCCCCCTTTTACCATTATGGAAGCCAGTTTCCTTGATTTTTTTTTTCTTTTTGTGGGACTGGGGTTGAACTCAGGTCCTCACACTTGCAAAGCAGGCGCTGTACTGCTTCAGCCACTTCTTCAAGTCCCAGATTTTTTGTGACAAGACATTTCGGGTACTGCAAGCCGGCTCTCTGCTCAGTGCCCTCACCTGGTGACACTGGAAGCACTGGCACGTGCTGAGCTACAGCCTTTCAGGGACCATCTGTGGTGACTCTGAGCTCCCCAAGCTGTGAGGACAGGAGCCCTGGGTTGTCTGATGACAGGAATTTGAGATTCGTACCTGGAACTTCAGTCCTGAACCCCAATTCTCTCAGAGAGCACCCTAAGTTTGGGTTTCTGCATTGCAGCCTTCAAACTCCTCAGGTCCTGCCCAGCTGCCCTGGGGACCCGAGGTCAGCCCTGCCCTGTGGCCAAGCCTCAGTTTCCCCTCAGTAATCCGATCGCGATGGCCAAGGTGACCCGGTCAGCTGCCCTCACCCACACAATGGGGCTCCCCGGTGAAAAGTGTGTCAATCAATAATGGATGTACTATGCCCACACAATCGGGGGGCCTTGGTCCCTGTTGCTCAGCGGCCAAACCCCAGCCAGCTTGGGTTTCACAGCTTCAAGTTCAAGTTCAAGTTCACTGGCCTCTGCCAATGGCCCCAGCGAGAGCAATGGCGTGAAATGCCCATCTGTGCCCATCTCGCTGGAATCAAGCCAGGGACACAAGCCTTGGCCACCATTACCTGGACACCACCCACAGCCCAGAGCTGGCTCTGGACGGCACAGCTGGAGCCCCAGCTTCTAAGCTGAGCGAGCCCTTTCTAACATGTCGACCTGCCTCTCCCCTCCATGGCTCCCTGCCACCCTTGGGAGAGAGGCCAAGGTCATGATCATAAAGACTCTGTGAGAGAGGATGTGACCTCTGTCAGCGTCCCTATCTCTGCTGCTGACCCCTGGCCATGCCTGCAACCCCACCCCACCCTCATCCTCAGCCTTTTAACCTCAGTAATGCATGGGCTTTGAGTGACCTCAAACTGCATGTATTGCCGGGTATGGTGGTACACACCTGTAATCCCAGGCAAAAGGAGCTCAAGTTCCAGGCTAACCTTGAATCTCTCTCTCAAGCATAAAAAAAAAATTGCAAAACTTCCCCAACAACGGCTCAATGCCATGTGCAAGTCTTGCCTCCCCTCCCCCCACACTGACCTCATGATTTCCTTCCTTGTGAAGAAGGTGCAGTCCTGTGGGGAGAAAGACCGGCTCAGCCCAGACCCGTGCCAGGGGCCTCTGTCCCCCTGCCCCTGTGGTCACACCAGAACCCACACAGATGGCCAGAGGCCACCCACAGAGCCTTGGCTGGGTGCACACGCAGATCAAGGAACACTGTCCCCAACTGTCAGAACAAGAGCCAAGGCTGTCACCCAGCGGCCTGCTGGCGCCATACCTGGTACGCTTCTAACTGCTCAGGAGTGAAAACCGTCTGTTTGTTGCCCATGGTGAGAGTCACAGCCTGGATGCCGTGGGTCCCCTCGGGGCCACACAGGGAACCTGGACACTGCACAGCACCGTCTGGGCAAATCTCCCTGGCCTGGCTGTCACCTGCCCCCCAGCCCCGTCACCCCCAGCCTGGTGAGACTCAAGTTACAGCCAAGCTCTCTGGGCAACGGTCTGAAGGTGTCCCTGGGTGAGGACAAGGGCTGGGAGAGGTCATGGAGGAGTCCTCAGTGGGGAGGTCACATCCGCCACTGTCGGGTGAGCCTGGGGGTCTGGGGCAACTTTGGGATACAGGCGGGGAGGTGGGAAGGCCATAGGCATCCCCCCTCCAGCTCAAATCCCAGGTTTAAGCCCACTCGCTGTGTGACCTCGGGGAAGTTGCTTGGCCTCTCTGATCCTCACTTAGGAGACGGAGGTGAGTTAGCAGCTACCTTCTAGAGCCATTCTGAGGGTGTGAAGAAATATTTGAACACTGTCCACAAGCCAGTTCTAGGACCTAGGGAGCTTAGTGGTGAACAAGCTAGATGAGGTTCTAAAGTGTACGCTGGAATTTTTATTGTTATTGTGTGTGTTCTGACTTGGGGGAGAAAAGGGTTACAGGTCAAAGTGTGAGACACTGTGAAATGAGACCAGGCGGACCTCCCTGCAGGACTTATCAGAACCTTTGCTGGACACTCGATCCACCCTTACGAAGCAGATACAGTGTAACAGCTGCCACCTTTATTAAGACCCAGAAGTGACAAGTGTCCTTGCCACCCAGTCACACCTGTCTCCGTCTTCCTCTCCTCTCAGTCTACATAGTTCAGCCCACTGGACCAGTCTCCAGTGTTCCCTCGCCCTCATCCCCACTCTCTCTGGCCCGGACCTCAGCAGGTCCTCCCCGTGTTGGGCTCGTCAACCATCTTCTACCCAAGTCTAGGAAAGCCGTGCCTTTGATCTGGCCTTGGAGACCCTCCAATGATGAGTTTTAAAATTTTTTTTGGCTACACTGGGGTTCAAAGTCGGGTCCACACACTTGCTGGGCAGGCAATCTACCATTGAGCCACTCCATCATCTCTCTTTGTGTTGAGTATTTTCCAGCTCGGGTCTGGAGGACTATTGGCCTCAAACTGGGATCCTCCTCATCTCTGCCTCCTGAGTAGCTAGGATTACAGGCACGAGCCACCTGTGTCCGGCTAGTTCTGCATCTTGATTGTAGTGTTGGCTATGTTAAAAGAAAAGAAAAGAAGAAAAAGTGTAAATCAACTCAATTCAGCAGAGTTTATTTGAGCAAGAACTGACACAAAAGCGGTCCAGAGGGAACCAGCCAGCCTATTTATACGCTGGAAGAGGGAGGGCGGGGCAGGCGCAGTTTGATTGGCTGCAGCTTTGCATGGGCTGGTCAGTTGGCCGCCTGTGATTGGCCAGAGCTTGGCTGCTGTGATGAGCTAAGATGCAGCATTTCTACACAGAAAGAGCAAAGGAGGGGCCGGAGCAGCGTGATTGGCTGCCCCTGGGCATTGTCTGGGCAGTTCGCCGCCTGTGATTGGTTGAGACTCAGCGACTTGTTACAATCAGTAGCTCATTTGCACATTAACGTTAGGCTGCTACATAAGGGACTCAAGACCCAGAAGCGGCTTTGGGCGAAATTTCATTGAATTTAGTCGCATCTATGTGACAAAACGCACAGATTTGCACTCCAAAAAGGGTGAATTTTATTGCATACGAATCCACTGGCTCCAAATTCCTACTCCTGATTTGGTTCTGCATCCCCGGCGTCAGTCAGCAATAATTGAGCACCTAGTGTGTGCCAGACGCCACAAAGCCACATGCTGGTGGCTCACATTTACACGCAAACAATAAGCAAATACCTAACGGTCCTGAGTGCCAAGTTCTAGAATGGAAAGGAAATCAGACCAGGGACACAGAAAACAGGTGGGCTGCATAGACTGGGGAAGGGGACACCGGTGCTGCGGGGACGGGGGCGGGGGGGCGGTGACCCGAAGAAAGTGAGGGAGCAGGCTGAATGGGAAGAGCACCTCCCACATCTGCCACTTTGGGGACAAACTTCCACTGGAGTTTGGCTGAGCCGCAAAGTGAGGCAAAGGCCACAGTGAGAGCCAGTGTGGGGGCAGGGCACAGCTAGGCAGGGACAGGAGGACAGGAGGACAGGAGGACAGGCCAGATGGGAAGCCCACCCGTGCAGAGAGCACCTTTAGTTCCGTGGAGCTCTGTGCTTTGCTTTGAACACCCAGAAGGGCAATTCCACCAGTCTTGAAGTGGGAGTAACAGATTTTCATTTTAGCTCTGATTTCTTTTTTTTACTTTTCCCTGTAGCAGGGATTGAACCCAGGACCTCCCACCTGCCAGGCAGGAACTCTGCCACTCAAGCTGAGTCCCCAGCCTTTTTGTTTTGTACTTTGTTTTTAGGACAGGGGTCTTGCTAACTTTTCCTTGGCTGGCGGTAAACGTGAGTTTCTCCTGCCTCTGCCTCCCAAGTAACTGGGATTACAGGCATGAGTCACCATGCTCGGCCTTTCCCTTATTATCTTTTAAAATACATATAAATCAGTACATGCTTATAGATATCCTCCCTAGGTGACCTGTGTCCATTCCTTTCAATTTATGTGAGTGACATTGTTTGGAGTGCAGTGTTTGGGGACATGTAATTATCTACACTCAAAAATGATGATCAGAGCTGGGGTGTGGCTCTGGTAGGTCGCTTGCCTGGCATGTGTGAGGCCCTGGGTTCCATCTGTAGCACCACAAAAACAATGATGACCAGAATACAATTTCTCAATCATAAGTCTTTTTTTTTTTTTTTTTTTTTTTTTTTTGCAGTACTGGGGTTTGAACTCAGGGCCATCACCTAGAGCCACTCCACCTGCCTTTTTTTTGTGAAGGGTTTTTTCAAGATAGGGTCTCATGAACTATTTGCCTGGGCTGGCTTTGAACCGTGATCCTCCTGGTCTCTGCCTCCTGAGTAGCTGGGATTATAGGCGTGAGCCACTGGCAACCGGGCAATCATAAATCTATTATTAACAAATTTAGTTTGGAAGATACTGGTTTGCTAAAGTATTTTCCTGAGTCTTTCTTTACAGGGAAATTTTTTGGCAACACTGAGGTTTGAACTCAGGGCCTTAGGCTTGCAAGGAAAATGCTCTACCTCTTGAGCCACTCTGTCAGCACGTTTTGTATTTTCAAACACTGTATATGTGAGGATCATAAATACAGTGAACATACAAAGAAACTAGTAACACAGCCATATGGAAATCCTATATAAACTTAGCTTTTTTTTTTTTTTTGGTGGGATTGGGGTTTGAACTCACAAAGCAGGCACTCTACCCCTTGAGCCACACCTCCAGTCCATTCTTTTCTGGTTATTTTGGAGATGGGGGGTCTCTCAAATTATTTGCATAGGCTGATCCTTCTGATCTTAGCCACCCCACGTAGCTAGGATTACAGGTGTGAGCCATGGTTCTCAGCTTCTTTCTGGCCTCTAACTCTCCATCCTCCAGCCTCTGCCTCCCCAGTGCTGGGATTACAAGGAGGAGCCACTGCACCTACCTCACAACCTGAGCTGTTCCAATGGTTTACAGACCTCCAGAATATAACCCTCCATGGAAGAATCCTGTTCAGATTTCTCTTTGGAGTGATAAAGAAAAGAACACTGTCACTGAGTGCATAAAATAATGGCGCCTCTCGAAATGGCTGGCCTCAGTGTGGTGGGGGAACCGACTGGATCACCTGGCGTTTCAGCTTCCCTAGCTATAAAATTAGGATGGTTTGCTTATAGTGTGACTATGAGTACCAAAGACCCACTCCAGATAAACCCAGACAACACACTGGCTGCTGTCAAAGTCAACATCACAGCTTGTATTAAAAGTTCAGAGAGATCAAGCCACTACCTCTGGGGCACACAGCTTTCCAAATCCTCTCTCGAGATTTATGCTGAGGCCCAGCTGCTGAGCTGGCTTTTCCCAATTTGAGTTTGTCCTTGTGACCCTGCTAGTTGGTCACAGGTGATTCCCCCCGCCCCCAACCTTTTCTTGGGTGGGAGGGGAGGCTGGGGATCGAACCCAGGGCCTCACACATGCTGGGTGGCAGCACCCCATGCACTGGTTCCAGGAGCTCCAGCGCTTACCAGTGACCCCATCCTTAAAGCAGCTGCATGCTGCCCCCTGCAGGTCAGAGTGGGAATGGCAGCCATTGTGACCTCTGTCCTATGAATTTGGTGACATTTGCTGCTTTGCTGTTCTCCATCCTCTATCCCTCCCCTCCTCTGAAAAACAGAAGGAACAGTTTGAGTAACAGCTGTCAGAAATAAAACACACGTGTGCAAAACCTTCAGCCAGCCTCTGTAATGTCATCCTGCAGGGGTCACTTGTACTCTTTTCTGATGTCACACAGGGGTCACTTGCAGAAATTATGCAAGGTTTAGGGACAAGACAATGGTTGTTGGTTGGGGACCGGTCCACTCAGCCATAGGACAACCAGCCACTGAGAAAGGCCACCTGGAGATGTGCCTTCTGCCCTGTAGACAGCTTCAGGACACTTTGGGGCTGAAAAGCCAAGGGCAGGTGTGCAGGGTTGGCGTCTGCACACTTCCCGGCTGAAAAGACACAACGACACAGCTCGTCACTTTTGCAGAGGTGGGAGAGAGGGTTCCACTTCTTGTTAATGTCATCTTTCCTTCCTCCCTCCGTTCCTCCCCCCTAAGCAGGCGCTCTAGCACTTGAGCCACACCTCCAGTCCATTTTGCTCTGGTTATTTTGGAGATGGGGTCTTGAGAACTATTTGCCCAGGCTGGCCTCCAACCATGAGCCTCCCAATTTCAGCCTCCCAAGTAGCTGGGATTACAGAAATAAGCACCAGGGCCCAGCTTGTCCATTTTTCCTTCAACACCCTGCTGGGACCCAGAAAGAAGTTAGTAATGGACAAGAGGTGACAGTGTCAGGCAGGCCTGTGTCCCTCCATTTCCAGGTCCTGGCTGAGGGAGGATCAAGTCCTAGACTTGATTATTGAGTTGTCTTATTTCCTGGTTAACACGACATAAAAATGAGGTAAGAGTCACAACACCTGACAGTATTTCCATCCAGGGCCAGAGGATGACTTGTTTCTTTCAGAAACAATGTTGAAAAGGATGAGAGAAAACAGAAATAGAATCACGTTGGGTTGTGATAAGCAGTTGTGCTTGACATTAGGGAATCAGAAATAATTCCTTGGGCCAGGTGCCAGTGGCTCACACCTGTAATCCCAGCTACACAGGAGGCAGAGATCAGGAGGATCAAGGTTTGAAGCCAGCCCCAGCAAACAGTTCATGGGATCCTATCTGGAAAAAAACCTTTCACAAAAAAAGGGCTGGTGGAGTGGCTCAAAGTGAAGGCCCTGAGTTCAAATCCCGGTACTGCAATGAATAAATAAATAAATAACTCCCTGGATCCCCTAGCGTTAGGCACTGGTAAGTCAGTGTTTTTGGTATGCCCTAGGCAACTCTTTCCTCTGCTAAATCTCAAAGTCAGAGTGGCTGAGAATGGATGGTTTATTCTGGAGAAATCCAAGGCTTCCTACAGTTCTGCTTCAATCCAGTTTTTTTTTTTTGGCAGAACTGGGATTTGAACCCAGGACCTTGAAGTTGCTAGGCAGGTGCTCCACTGTTTGAGCCACTCCACCAGTGTACAGTTCTGCTTCAAGTAATGAGGCCATCAGGAAGGAGTGCATGAGAAGCAAAGCCTGCGTCCACAGGAAGATGAACACTCATGCTCACAGCAGCTCCAAACCGGAAGCCACCCAGGAGTCCACCCCCAGGTGACTGCATAAACGGGTGAGGAACAGCTACACCGTGGAAGAAAACTTGGCAATAAGAATGAATGCGCTGTTGTTACGCCCAAGAGGAGAATCTCAAACCCGTGTGCTGAAAGAAAGACGCCAGCTCACCCGGGGACACCTTCGGTAGGGTCCATTGCCAGGCATGTGAAACTCTTAAAGACGCCTGATGAACAGTCACAGGGTAAACCCCAAGTTGCCTGAGGACCAGGGTGGGAGGATTAACAAGGAAGGGGGTGAACAAATGTATGGGCTGACAGAATGTTCTGTATCTTGATGGTGGAGGTGGTTGTAAGTGTGTCGACATGTCTGTACTCATCCCATTTAAGTGGGTGTAGTGTAGAAAGACAGACAGCACATTGTCTCCTGTATGAGTAGAAGAATGAAAATCAGACAGGTAAAACCGAATCTCTCATCAATAAACTTGACCCTGAGAAGCTCGCTACACCCTGAGAGCTATCCTTATCATCACAGTGGGACATTTCAGTCCTACAGGTTGCCAGCAGGGCCATCTCCACCCCAACTCCCTTCCTTTCCCCGAATTTTCTTTGTTCTTTTTCTCCCCTCCCTGCTTCTGAAAACGCTTTCCATACAGCCTTTAACGACGCAATCCCTTCCTTCCCAGACAGCTTGCTTCTTTGCCCTCACCAGTCTAAATTCCTGACAAGTGATGCAGTCCACCTCCCATCTGTGCTTTCCCCTAACACTTGACTGAACTCTTTTAAGACCCCAGAGCCTATTTCAGTGGGCTGGAAGTTAGTGTCTTCCAAGTTGCGAGTCCGACCAGCCCAAATAAATGCTCTCTGCTTCTTAAGCAATTTGTGCCTCAGTTTCTCATATGGGTCTTTTACAAAGCTGAACTCAGAGAAGTAGAAAGTACAGTGGTGGTTGCCAGGGGCTGAAGAGTGGATGGGGAGGATGATGGTGAAGTGATACAAAATTTCAGTTATACAGGAGGAATCAGCTGAAGGGATCCGTTGTACTTAAATAACAAAAGATTCCTGAAGTATTCCAAGAGAGTGTTAAGTGTTCTCACCCCACCCCCAAAAAATAAGTGAGATAATTATCCCTGTTTAGCCACTCCACAATGTGTACCTACTTCAAAACATCACCGTATAGAGGATGAGATAGATGCAATCTTAATTGTCAATTTAGAAACAGAGAGGGAGAGGCGTGGCTCAGAGTGCAGGTCTTCCCCAGCATGTGCAAAGGTCCTGGGTTCCATCCCAGCGCCACTGAAAAAGTTAAAAATAAAGTTAAAATTTAAAAATGGGTACATTTCTGACCAAATTGTTTAAAAAAGAAGGGGAAGGGGGCATAAGAAAGATAGAGCTGGTGAATTTGATGAAATTCACTTTATATGCAAGTGTGGAAATATCACAATGAAACCCCTTTGAACAATTAATGTACGATAATTAATACACGATAATAAAGAGAAAAAAAACAAGAACCAAGCCCCCAAAATGGCTTTATTGTACCTAAAGATGCCTGAATAAAATTTCAACTTTTTAAAAATGTTTTAAGTAAGAAAAAAAAGAATAAATTTAAAAAACTGTTTTAACATACTTCACACAATACCGTCATTTACGCTCCAATACCCCCGGCCTAAAGCTGAGAAAGCGGAAGTGGGCGCCCGAACCGGAAGTGTGGCGGTAGCCATGATGCTAAGACCGGGTATAAGCACCCGCCATTACCACGCCCATAGCCGGAAGTGTGGCACAGACCTAGGCGCCCAGGACGCACGCACGCCGTCTAGCTTGACCAATCAAGAAGAAGCGAGGCGGCCGATTGGCGGAAATCCTGCTTGCAAACAGGAAGTATGGCAGTCTCTCCCGGGAACGGTGGGCGCGCGCCATGGAGGCTTATGAACAGGTCCAGAGGGGGCCCCTGAAACTGAAAGGCGTCGCCGAGCTCGGCGTGACCAAGAAGTGAGTGTTTTGTCCACGATCTCCCGGGACCCCGGCCCTCTGACCCCACCCTGACCTGCTCCCCTCCCGTCCCTTCTTCTAGGAAGAAGAAAAAGAAGGATAAAGACAAGGCGAAACTCCTGGAAGCGATGGGAACCAGCAAAAAGAACGAGGAGGAGAAGCGGCGCTGCCTGGACAAGCGGACCCCGGCGCAGGCGGCCTTTGAGAAGATGCAGGAGAAGCGGGTACGGCGGGGGGAGCCTGAGGCTCCCGGGCGGCGGGGAACAGAGTCGGGAGGTCGAAACCCGAGGCCAGGAGGCCCCAGTCCCGGGAAGCGCTGGACACCAGGGCTCGGGTTCCAGTTCTGTGACTCATTGGCGCCCCGTGCCTCAGTTTCCCCATCTGTAGGGGTCAGGATAGTGCTTGCTTCCACCTTTGTTTTATGGTGGAACTGAGGTTTGAACACAGCGCTTTGAACTTGTAAAGCAAGCACTCTGTCTCTTGAGCCACACGTCCAGTCCATTTTGCTCTGGTTATTTTGGAGATGGGGAGTCTCACGAACTATTTGCCCTGCTTGGCCTCGAACCGTGATCCTCTCAATCTCAGCCTCCTAAGGAGCTAGGATTACAGGAGTAAGCCACAGGCGCCGGCTTCCTCCTGCCTTTGGATGAATCAGTGCAGGTTAAGAATTGAGCACTAGGATGTACATAGAGTGAGTCTGTTTCCATGACTTTTCATGGCAGATTCAAAGGTGCTCGTTTGGTTTTTTTGTTTTAATCTTGTGAGAGAGGATGTGTATATTTAGTCCAGCCTGTCCTTGAACTCGAGATCCTCCTGTCTCCCATCTCCCCAGCGCTGGGATTACAGGCAGGGACCACCACACCTGATGAAAATGTCTTGAGCCATGCCCAGTCCTTTTACACGTAGGGTTCGGCTGCCTTGGCCCTGGCCAGCCTGGGACCTGGATCCTTCTATCTCCACCTCCCAAGTTATTGGATCACAGGTGTGCGCCATTTTGCTTGGCCCTTTGTTTTTATTAGGGGATTAGTTGTACAGAGGGAGGGTTGTCATTGTGATTTTCCATAAAACGCATTGTATTTTAATGCCCCAGTGAGTCATTTCTCCTGGTTGTAAAGAATAAATTCGGGAGGGGAGAGGTGAGGTTAGATCGCCAAGCTTGGCCTGTTATTCTGGAAACAGGCAATGACCAGGCTGGTCAGCGGTTCTCAACTGGGGGTAATCATGGCTCCCCCATCTTGTGGCAGGAGGTGTGGCTCACAATTAGGGAACAGAGGAATACTGACATCTAGTGGGTGGAGACTAAGACCTTTAATCCTGCAGTGCACTGACAGCTCTTTACCCAGCAGAGATCCATTTTCCCCCAAATGTCAATAGTGCCAGACTGAGGTAAGCCCAACCCTGGACTGTGTGGTTCTATCATGGACCCTGGGAAAAGTCAGTCACGCAAAATACACACGTATCCACTAGCGCCGCAAGACAGGCGGACATGATTCTGTCTCTATTGCTTCTTAGTGGGGTAAGTCGGTTAAGTCAGTTTCCATCCACTTAGGGCTCAAGGCTGGGCACAGTGCCTCATCCCTGCAATCCCAGCTACCTAGGAGGAGGAGATCAGGAGGATCACAGATCAGCCTGGACAAAAAGCTAACAAGATCCCATCTCAATAAAGAAGCTATCTACTGTGACATACACCTGTGGTCAGAGCTACTTGGAGGTGTTCGTAGGAGGATTGTGATCCAAGGCTGGACCGGGGCAAAAACGCAAAATCCTATCTGAAAAATAGCTAAAGCAAAAAAGAGCTAGGGGACTGCCGCAAGTGGCGGAGCAATGCCTGACTTCAAACTCAGTACTGAAAAACAAAAGTAGTGTTCCAGTGTTTCTGACAGGGTTTTGGTGAGGATTCAGCAAGTGAATGCACTTCAGTCCCCTTTGACCTTGAGGTTGTCACAGGCAGGCTGAGATTTGGTGGCTGGAGTCAGGATGAGCAGCTGATGGCAACTGAGGACCCTCAGTTGGCATTGAAAGGGGGTTGGGGAGAGCTGATCAGATCCCAGATCTGATCTGGGGTGGGGGTAGGGAAGACAGGTGGAGATGGGAGAGAAATGACTGGAGAATGTCACTGTCAAGCAGCACAAACATGCTGTGTGGCTTTGCCTTCACATATCCAGGCCTCTTCCCCACCGGGTGTGTCATCCTCCAGCTCCATCCTTCGTAGCAGGGCCATCAGATTTCTACATGGTGCAGGCTCCCAAGGCACAAAGCAGAAATGGCTAGGTCTTTGGATGGCTTCTGTCCACAGCTGGCACCGAGTCCACGGGGAGTGCAGGAGGGTGGGGCTATAGTAAGCGAAGAGCAGGTACAGCCCCAGGTTCCCGTGGCTCTGTGTCCTGCTCTGTTTGGCACTGCTGGGGAAGGAGCCCAGGGTCTCCAGTGTGTTCTACCACTGAGCTAACCCAATGCCCCAGATAGCAAAGCTTTTTTATTTTCTATTAAGACAGGGTCTCACTCTGTGGTCCAGGCTGGTCACAAACTCGTCATCCTCCTGCCTCAGCCTCCCGAGTGCTGGGATCACAGATGTGTGCTTTCATGCTTGACCTAATGCTTTGATTTTGTTTTTACTTACACATTTATTTTTGCAGAACTGGGGTTTGAACTCAGGGCCTCACACTTGCTAGGCGGGTGCTCTGCCACTAGAGACACCCTGCCATTCCTTTCTTGTGATGTTTTTTTTCAAGATAGGGTCTTGGGAACTATTTGCCCAGAGCTGGTTTTGAACTGTGATCCTCCTGATCTCTTCCTTCTGAGTAGCTAAAATCACTTCCAAGTAGTGGTGATCCACCACTCCTGACTTCTTTTTCTTTTTTTTGTTTATATTTTTGTGGTGCTGGAAATGAGGCCAGGGCCTTGTGCATGCTTAGCAAGGGCTCTACACTGTTTTCCCTGTTTTTTTGATGGTAGTGGGGTTTGAACTCCAACCTTATGCTAGCTAGGCAGGGGCTGTAGCACTTGAGCTACTTCCCCAACCCTATTTGCTTTAGTTACTTCTCAGGTGGGGGTCTCGTGTTTTTACCCTGGTCAGCCTGAACATGACGTTCCTACCTAGCCAGGATTACTGTGCATGCTACCCCACCTAGCTTATTGGTTGAGATGGGGTCTTAGTAATGTTTCTTGCCTGGCTGGCCTTAAATTGTGATCTTCCCCATCTCTAGGATTGTAGACGTGAGCTACTGTTCCTGGCTTCTCTGGTATAACAAATTGTTGCAGCCTATAGTTAACCTGTTTGCTGTAGGACATTAGACAACTCTCACATCCATCCTCTGCCCCTCCTCCCCTAGCTTTTCGAGCCTCGAGTGCCCCCTGCTCTGCTCCCTGCTTCGCTCCCGCCTTTTATTAGCTTCGTGGTGAGGGAACATGCAGTACCCTGGTCTGGTAGCACTCCAGGGCACTGAGTGTGAGACAGTACTGTCATCAGAGCCCTACTCTATGCCAGGCCCTTCCCCTCTTCACCTCTCACCCTTCCTGTCTGGATTGTTTTCCACGAACTGTGCTTTGGTCCTTTGCTCGAGGACACAGGAGTCATGTGACAGCTTCCAGCAGCATCTGTTTGGCTGTGCTGGTTCACTTCCTGCGTCTCACAACCTGGGACCAAAGGGTGGCTGAGCCTGGAGTTGGGAGGAAGGGGGCAGCGCAGGGTGCACAGCCGTAGACCTCAGCCATCTAGCTGGGAGAGCTCGCCACCTCACTCCCTGTCTCTTCTCTGTCCAGCAAATGGAAAGGATCCTAAAGAAAGCATCCAAGACCCACAAGCAGAGAGTGGAGGTGAGTGGTGGCCCGGGAGGAGCCACAGGCTCATGGAGGACATGGCTTCTGCTGTGGAGTGCTGCTGGAGTGTCAGTTTACCCAACAGGAGTGCGCCTCCTCAGCCCGGGCCGCAGGGTCTCTGTGGGGAGGGGCTGCGCGGGGCTACGCATCCCTGGCACCCTGCCCGGGCTTCACTGACTGGCTTTCCCCTTTGCTTCCCAGGACTTCAACAGACACCTGGACACGCTCACAGAACATTATGACATCCCCAAAGTCAGCTGGACCAAGTAGCCTTCCAGGACAGCCCTCTGCCCTCTGCCCCTGTACGTCCTTTGCTGAGAGTGCACTCTGGAAACTGTGCCCCCATTCTGGAGCTGATTAAATTAGGACTGTCCTTTCAGCCAGTCTGGATTTCTGGGTCGCACTTCAAGGTAACTCTTTTAGTTTTGAGTGGAGCATTCTGGACTTGCCTCAAGCTTAAGGTCCTTTCTAGGTAAGGGCCATGTTACCCCTGACTTGCATCTCTCACTGAGGCCAGCCAGCCTTCTTTCGCCTGCATGTCATGGCCAAGTTCAGAGGATAAGAATTTCACACCAGCAGGCCTGCAACGTGCACACCCCCGCCGGGCCCTCTGGGGGTCGTCCTGCCACGCCTCCTCCAGCTGGGGACTTTTGCCATTCCATGAGGGCCCCAGAGAAGCCACTCACAGCTCTGTGGCCTTCAGACCATCTCGGCCATCTGGCCAGTGACACCGTGTAGCTGGGGTAGAGCAACTCCTTAAGGCAAAGGTGGAACACAGGCCTTATCCCCTTCTCAACCCATGGTGCCATGCAGTGTCCCTGGGTCTGCCTTGGCAGACATTGCTAGTCCATCACTGTTCGTAGTGATGGAGCCAGGGCCCAGAGCCTCCCTCCTTCAACCTGCTGCTCCACCCGTGTGTGTTCACACATGGCCTGTTTGACATCCTTGGCCTAAGGACACCTTGTGTGTACAGGAGCAGGCCAGAGCCCCAGTGTAAACACAGGTGCAGTAAGGTGGAAGGGCCCTGGTGTGGGTGCTGGAGAGCTGGGATCTGTGAGATTATTCTCTGTGAGATCAAACTGTGCTGTGGCCCGGACACTGAGCACAAAGTAGGAATTGGGCTTGGGGTCGGCATGGAAATCACAGAATAAAATGCAAGCCAGTCACCCAGTAGACTTCTGAGTGTCTCCATTACAGGCTGCAGTTGTCAAGGAAATGCCGTCTTCTGGATTTATTGCACAGGAAGAATGTGCAAGGCACAGAACTATTTCTCAGTTGGGAAACACTGGGGAGACGTTTGTTTCCCCCCGGGGTTTGCCCCTGGCAGAGGTGACAAGTTGAGCATCTCTTATCCAAAATGCCTGGGACCATAAGTGTTTCAGATTTCGCATCCTTAGGGAGAAATATTTGCAAATACATAGTGTGGTATCCGGCGATGAACTCCAGTGTAAACATGGGATCCATTCATGTTTCATAAGTACCTTTCAGCCTGAAGGTCATTTGTATGTGTTCTTCATAATTTTGTGCATGAGGCAGTTTCATGGTGGGGAGTTTTCAGTTTGCAGCATGTCAGTTCAAAAAGTTTTGGGTTTGGAGCTGGATGCTGTTGGCTCATGCCTAGCTACTCAGGAGGCAGAGGTCAGGAGGATCGTGGTTCAAAGCCAGCCTGGACAAATAGTTTGTGAGACCCTATCTTGAGAAAAAAAAAAAATCACAAAAAAGGGCTGGTGGAGTGGCTCGAGGTGTAGGCCCTGAGTTCAAACCCTGGTACCACCAAAAGTTTTGTAAAACAGTGCAATAAATTGGACAAAGTATGAGGCTACGTTCAATACGGTTTCTTTTTAAAATCTTTTATTTTGGCAATACTAGGGTTTGAAATCAGGGCTCATACTTGCTAGGCAGGTCCACAGTAGGGTTTCTTACTGCAGCAGGCACTGTTACTTTATTTTTGAGAGGGTCTAACTATGCTGCCCATGCTGGCCTGGAACATGCTATCCTTTTGCTTCTGCTGGGATTACAGGCATGCACCACCACACCCAACACCATTGCCTCTTTCTAAACATCCTGATTTCTTCCTCAGCCGAATTTAGTCACCATCCAATCTTTCTAATCAGATTCCTCCTAGAGTTTATTCGCCAGGGAACTGGTTTTCAAAGCACTTCTGGCTGCTTGTTCTATACTTTGCACAAGAATGCTTCCAACGCAGGATTCAAATATTCCAGCTTTTTTTTGGATGTTCTTGCACTTGTACCACATCCGAAGCAAAGGATGTATGATCACAGAGTTGCAAAAAGCATCTTTCCATCTTCCAGATAGGAAGATAAAAAAAGACGCACTTCGGCTGTGGTGAGAGGGTGGGGGGAGTTAGGGGGATGTGAGTGAGGTGCGGACCTGGTGACCGCGCGCAAGTGGGTGGTAGCTGGGAGAGGTGGATGGAGGGAGGGGAGTGGGAGTGGAGGGGGGCCGAGGAGGCGGTGGAGGACTGTTGCAGGGGCGTTGGAGAGGTTGAGGTGTGAGGCGGTGGGGGGGATTGTGTCGGAGGCGCGATTGTCGGGTGGTAGCGTGAAGGGCGGGATGGGGCGGCGGGTAGGTCCGGCTGCGTGGCCGGGCGAGGCGCGATGGTGCGCAGGTAGGGAACGTGACCGGTGACGGGTGAGGCGTAGTGGAGCTGAGCGAGGTGAGGCGTGGATGGGGGGGCGTGTGGTTGACCGTGACAATGCTGTGAATCGCAGGCCTGCCTGAGCACAAGCCTGCGACTGCGGGTTGGGTCCCCGCGCGCTGCGATGGTTCACTGGGACAGAATGCAGGTGGCTGAAAGCCCGAGTGCCCACAGCAGATTTTAAAACTGCATTGCTGGGGATGGAACCCTGGGCCGCCCACATGCGAGGCACCAGCCCCGGGCGTGGTTTTACGAGCGTATTCCAGGCAATAAACAGGCAGCGCGCGTTTACTGATAAAAGCTGACACTGACAGGTGACAGGCAATGAGGATGCGGCTCGATTGACATTCAGATGCTGACTGCTTTCATGTCATCCGGCCTAGCACCCTCGCCGACTGTAAGCTGCAGAGCTGGACCTCGGGTCGGTTCCAGCACCAGGTTCCGTCACCCTCCTGGGCCCACAGCAGGGGCTTCCAGCAGCCCCGGCTTCCTCCCGCCGAGGCAGCCAGAGGGAGCCCCGATTTAATCAGCCCGCCACGCCACGCCCCCCGGAGTCTTACTTCCGGGATGTTTGAGGCAAGGACCAGAAATAAGATCGCGAGGAATGCGCTGCGCCTGCGCACGCTCCGCTTCGCGCCTGCGCAGTCCTCGAAGCCCCGCCCCGGCCGGACATAACGGTCCGCGCGCGGCTTCCCCAGACCGGAAGTGGAAGTGAAGTGTCGCGGGGTGCGCCCGGCCTTGCTCAACGCCCGGCAGTCCGCGCCGCTGCCGCCTCCCTCGGCCGCTGCCGAGGCTTCCTGCAGCCGCCATGTCTGCCAGCGCCGTCTACGTGCTGGACCTGAAGGGCAAGGTACTGAAGGTTCCCCACCCTCCCCGTTGCCAGGCAACCAGCGGGGCCCTCGCCCTGTGGGGGACCCACCCTGTTGCTAGGTAACCGGCCAATGGGCCCCACCCTGGCTTTAAACCGGGAGGCCCGATGTCCCTCACCTGAGGGACACACCCTGTTGCTAGGTAACCGGGCGGTGGTCTTCACTCCGTGAGCCCCGCCCTGTCGCTAGGTAACGCGGTGGGCTGCGGCCGTTGCCAGGTTACCGGCGGCGTCGTTCTCCTGCCCCGCGCGCCTGGGTCCACCGTGGGGACCCGGAAGCCGCGTGGAGGGCGGGGTCCAGCCAGCCGAGGGTACCGCGCGACCCTTGACCAGAGGCGCCACTGGCGGGGACTGTGGCCCCTCGGCCAGTCCCGCCTCCCCGGAGCTCAGCAGCTCCTGCTTATCCAGCACTTTTAGCATTCGTGGTGACGTTGAGTTATCGGGGCTGGGGGAAGCCCGTGGTGGGAGCGCCACCTTACAGAGGGAGAAACTGAGGCACAGAGCGGTGAGGCAGGCTGTCCAAGGTCACAGCTGTCACCGAGGAGTACCCAGCCTAGGAATCTCCAGTCCCTTGAGTTACTGTCTGCAGAGAGGCTGCTAGCAGGGTCCCCTGGAGTGGATGGTTAGCCGTCTCTGTCCTTAGGGAGTGCACAGTGGTTGAGGAGATGCACCCTCATCTGGAAAAGCATAAAGAAACGTTAAGTATGGTGGTGGGCAGTCAGCCTCGCTAGGGGTCCCCTGAAGGGAGAGTGACAAACCGTGCTGGGACACGGAGGAGGCGGACATGTGTAGGGTCCGGGCAGCGTCCCCAGAGGTATCTGAGAGAGAAGACTATTGTTGTGTGGTGCTGGAGATGAACCCATGACCTCATGTATGCCAGTAAGTGCTCGCCACAGAGCTGCGCCCCAGCCCGTGGCACAAAGGTGTAGGAGGTGACTGTCCTCTGGAATGTGGAGGCATCAGGAGCAGATTCAGTGTTCATGAGTGACATGAGGGATCATCCTTCCTAGCTGAGGGGACCTGAGCTGCTCAGAAACGGAGCCGTGTCCCCCCCCAGCACCCTCGCCAGGTCTCTCGAGTGGGGGCCTGCCTTGGATGCCAGAGTCAGAGTCAACAACTACCAGTCCCGGTGCTGGTGCACCAGGGCAGGGTGGAGACAGTGTCCCCTCCACCTCATGGCACATGTTACGGTCCCTGCCCCGGCCACCATGTCCCTAGAGGTGCAGCAGGCTGTGTGTCTCAGCTCATTCCTTCAGGAAACGAGGTGCCAGGCCTGTGCTAGCGCTGTGGAGAGAGGGCTAAGCTGTGTGCCATTCGGCAGGTGCCTTCCCCTCTCTGAGCCCCACTCTCTCTGCTGGGCTCGTGTGCGGGCATGTGAGCCAGGCCTGGTGCTGCCCATGGCTTGCGGTACACAGAGACTGCCAGAGCCGGGCCTGTGGCGAGGCCCCAGGTCACAACAGTTGCTCAGCCTTGCATTTGGCTGTGAGAAGGGGCTATTGCGAAAGGTTCCCTGGCAGAGTCTTGTGCCAGAGCTGGTTTCAGCAAGGTGACCAGGTGACAGTCAGGTGGACACATGGCATTCTGGTAGCACAGAGGGTGAGGTGCGAGCGGCCTGCGGGGCTGGAAGGCTGGAGATGGTAGGTAAGGCCTTGAACTAAACAGTAGGGCTTGCTGTTCTCAGGAGCGTCAGTCACAAAGGACAGAACAGATAAACATACTGCAGTTGATGGCATGGGTGGCATGGGCAGTGGGGGACGCAGGTCAGGGTGCGGGGGCTGGGATGTGGGCTCGGCCGGAGCAAGCAGGGAAGGCTTCCTGGAGGAGACGTGGTCCAAGCCAAGGCTTGAGAAAAGAGAAGGCCAGGCCAGGGTGTTCACACAAAGGACCTGAGGCAGGATCCCATGTGGGTGGCTCAGAGACTGCTCAGGCTCCAGCTGGCTGGGTGAGTGAGGCAGGGATGTGGACAGAGAGTGTTGGAGGGGCTGTGAGGAGCAGGTGAAGCAACTGATGTGACTGTGGAGATGGCCTTGGCTGAGGAAGCTAACACAGGTGACAGTGTTTGTAAGGAGAAACCGCATCAAGCATCTGTTGGGAACATTCACACTTCATGGGGACCCGGCAGGGGAAGGGCTGCCACCTCAGTGTCACCTGCCCCCGTCTATCCTACTTTCTACTTTCGGCTCTCATCTGGAGCCCAGAACCCAGTTCCGAGATTGTCCTCACCCACTTAATCACGATTCCAGGTCCCTTGGTGCGTCCCCACTGGTACCTCAGCCATGCTGGTCCACTGTCCCCATCCCAGACTTCAGCTGTGCTGATTTTTGCCCTACCTGTCCCATCGGTCCTCGGTGGTTCAGGCCCTCAGGAGGTGCCCAGGTCCCCCTACAAATGCATCAGTGTGGGAAAGTGTATGCCTAGGTTACTGTTGTGTCCCCAGTGTACACAATGCCACACTGCAGGGCACAGGGTGCATGCTCACACTGTGAGTGACCACCTGGGCAGCCCTGCCACCCCTGTGCTGTCCTTGAGCTCTAGACCCTGGGCTCCTGTCATTGCCAGCAACAGCCACAGGAGCTGGATGCCTGGGACCCCAGGGGCAGAGGTGACCCCGAGGCAATCAGACGGGTGGGTGTCCTGCTCAGAGGCTGACAGCTGCGCTTCTGCAGGCTTCAGGCAGGCAGTATCCCCCTGACCATTGCTGACATATGCCGAGGTGGTCATGCCTGCAGTCCCAGCACTCAGGAGGCTGAGAGGAGGATCGTGAGCTCCAGGCCAGCCTGGGCTACAGAGTGAGACCTTATCTACCTCATAGGGATGACAAGGAGGATGTGCGTGGGCACAAGGGAGTCCCTCTGCCAGAGCCAGGCCCAGTTCTCACAAGCCCACCCACTGGGTGCCAGGCCCCACAGAGCCTTCTGCGCCTCAGCTGCAGGATGGCCCAGGGTGCTGTGCCTGTAGAGGCCACAACAGACAGGAAGGCGCTCCGCCCTCTCTCCCCTCCCCGCTTACCCCCTTCTTCCGTCTTCCTCCCTGGCAGAAGCAGTAAGACCACACATTTTCTGAAATGACAGGTCCCCAGCAGGCAGCTCCAACAAGGGCAACTCCACATGCCCTCAGTGTGTGCTGAGTCCCTGTGGCTGGCCGTCCAGTCCCCAAGAGCTGCAACCACTCCCTGCGGGCTGTGCCCAGGCTGGCAGAGCTCATCCTCCCATCCGTTCAGCCAGGTGTAGCTCACATGGATGAGGTCGGCAGGTGAACACCCCCGGGAAGCCAGAGTCCCAACCCGTCACCCCAAAGCTTCTGCACATCCCGCTGCTGTCCTGCCCTCTGTGCAACCCTGGCCCCAGCAGCTACTCCGGTGTTTGTCCCCATTTTCTGGGATTTTCTAAGTACTGTCAGCCCTCCCCCCGCCATCCCCATGTTCCTTGTCCTCATGGTCTGCTCTCCAACCATGCGTGGAACTGTTTTTTAACTGCGTCTGTACTGAACGTGGTCAGACTTTCCCCTGTCACCATTCTGTAAACGTGGCATAACAGCCACGTCTGGAGAGCTCACATGTGTCAGGTGCCAGAAGTCGTCTCTGGAGATGAATGAACGCACTGTGTCACAGGACGGACTGCAGTGTCCTGAATGTCTTGGAACACAGCGGGTCCGTTCTTGTGGTTGCTGCCCCGTGTCTGCTTGGTGGCCTGTTGAGGGAAGTGGTCATTGGCTCCTCCACTGCTGTGCATGCTGGCGTGGGAGAGCCCCTGTGACTGTGTAGCCACCAGCTCCAGGAGGGACAACTGAGCACATGGTCGCTCTGAGCTTGGCTTTGGCTTTTTCTTTTTGGGGTGCTGGGGACGGAGCCCAGGGCCCAGTAAGTGCTCACTACTGAGCCACCCGGGCCCTGGCCGTCCTCTTTTGAGCAAGTGCTTGGCTTTCCAAAGCGATGTTTCCTTCCACGTTCCCACTGCAGTGCACCAAGGCCTCACATGCTGTCCACCCTATGCCACAGGCGTGGGGAGGGACCGGAAGCAGGGCTTCTGCACAGACCATGGGTGGGTCAGGGAACTGCAACCCTTCTGGGAACTCAGCATCCGAGCAGACCAGTGTGGGAAAGGCTCTGAGGAGGCCTGTGTGGGGACTGCAGGTCGCTCATGCCTGTGTCTCTGGGTGGCTGTGTCCTGGACCTGCGTCCCAGAGCCCTCTCCGCCCCTGGCCTGCAGAGAGACACTGACCGAGGAAGACACTGGCCTCCGGGGGTCCCCCGGGGTGGAGGTCAGATTGGCCTGGAGTTGGGTCCCTTCACGACAGGGCCAGAACCAGGGTCCCCAGGGAGGCAGCTGGCACGTCCAGGCCCGCCCTGGGCCCCCAGGCTGCAGAACTCGGGGTGAAAGCCTGTCCTGTGTCCCCGCCCTAGGTGCTGATCTGCAGGAACTACCGTGGCGATGTGGACATGTCCGAGGTGGAGCACTTTATGCCCATCCTGATGGAGAAGGAGGAGGAGGGCATGCTGTCCCCCATCCTCGCCCACGGCGGTGTCCGCTTCATGTGGATCAAGCACAACAACCTCTACCGTATCCCACGTGGGCAGCTGGGGCTTTGCGTGCGTGCGCGCATGTGTGTGAGACGCAGGGCGGGGCTCGGACACGCCGGCCCTCCTGGAGATGGGCGGGGCACACAATAACACGTGTGGGGGTGAAAGGAGGGCTGTGACAGGAGATGACATCCTGGAGACCTGCGCACGGCCAGCAGTGCAGGCAGGCATTGGATGGCACTGCAGGGAAAGGAGCATCAGTGGGGTGGCTGGAGCCCTGGAGAGGGAAGGTGGCAGTGTCCCCTTAAGTGTGATGGGACGTCCTTGGAGACTTGCAGGTACATTTGTTTCTCCAGGTCTGTGGCTCCTGAGTGGGACCAGACTGTAGGAGACAGGGGTGCACGTGGGGTGGGGAGGAGGCTGGGGCCAGCATCCAGAGAGGGAGATTGCTGAGCCGCAGGGTTAGGGTACAGAGCGGGAGGGAGTCCTCACCCCCCATCCTGATCCTGAGCCCCTGCCTCAGGCCAAGCCAGGTTCAGGCCCTGGGGTCCCTCAGACCTTCCTGGTCCCTTGCTGCTGACTGCAGGAAGGCCTGTGTGGACCTCATCCCCTTCTCCCAGTGCAGCAGCACAGCCCATCACAGAGGGCCACCAGTGTCGGTGACTGCGTGCCCCTGGGGCCTCCAGGAGAAGGGCCTCTGTCCTTTCCCGTGTGCGTGAAGTGGTGGACACCTGAGCCTCCAGTCAGAAGCTGCAGGATGTGGGGAGTGGGAGGGGAATTTGCCCCTGCTTGGACCTCCCCTCTAACCTGGAGGCCCAGCTCTGGACAGTCCCCAGGCAATCCGTCCCCTGAAGCCGTCTGCTGTGGCCTGTGGTGGATCAGGGTGGGCAGCCAGAGAGGGGAAGGGAGGGCTGTCCAGAGTGAGGGGCACCCTGTACCCTGGCCTGGCCCTGGGGGTCGGGGAGGCCCCCTGCGTGGGAAAGAGAGGCCAGCAGTACTTTACTGGGGAATGTGGGAACGTGCTGTCCATCTGGCCCAGGCCCTCTATCCCATGATGCTAGGGCACTGGCCTGGCACGAGCAGGACGTCAGGGCACTTTCAGGCCTGCTAGGGAAAGAGAAACAAGAAGTGCCCAGTGTGGCCCTATGGCAGGCAGGAGAGGCTGCTAGGCCCTTTGCATCTGTCCCCAGGCAACAGCACTCACAGGCCAGAACTCGGAGGGCCCAGTACCCTTTCCCCAGCCAGGAGGCGCTAGAGTCGGAACCAGCCGTGGTTGCTTTTCACAGAGCAGGCGAGGAGCCTGGAGCCCTCCAGGCCACACCCCCGCACACAGGACAGCCCCTGCCCAGCAGTGGACAGCTCCCTGTGTTACCTGCTGCCCTTGTGACTCTGTATCGAGCGCTGCGTGGGGCCCGAGACCATGTGTGGCTGATGACTGCTGTGTCCCAGGCCTGGGTCAGACCCAGGGCTCAGTGTCCCACCGTGGGCCACGTGAACAGCAGGAGTGGGCTGGGGAGACTGGGGACACAGGTCCGAGAGTGGGGCCATGCAGCCTCAGAAGAACCCTTGACTGCACTTCACACAGTGGTTGCCACGTCCAAGAAGAACGCCTGTGTGTCACTCGTCTTCTCCTTCCTCTACAAGGTGGTGCAGGTGAGGCTTGCGGGACCCGGGCACCACTGGCTCGGCCCTCTCCCGACGTGGCTGCGGTGGGGCCGGAGCCCTGGGGTGGGAGGGAGCTACAGCCTCCTGTGCGTGGCTTCTGGGGCCTCGTGGCAGTGGGCTCTTGGCAGGATGTGACCTCACCCTGAGACACGGGGCCTGGGTGGGCTCAGCCACGCCCTGCTCAGAGCCTTCCAGCGGGGGAGGCGCTGTCTGACACAGGTCAGGCTGCTGGCGGCACAACACCCACAAAGGCCCTGGACCAGCCTGGCCCTGCTTCTTCTGGTAGAGGGTCCTGGGACATGGGTCCCAGGGAGGTCAGAGCGGGGAGGGGACACAGAAGGTGGCCGTATTCCCTAGGGGAGGGCCGGCCCTCCCACTGTGCGTCGGTGCTAAGGAAAGGGCTGTGCCCTCTGCTCTGAGGGCTCTGCTTTGTTGCCATGTCCAGCGAGACCCCAGCCCACACCTGCATCCCTCCTGACGCTGAGGGAGTAAAGAGCCCCAAGTCTGGGCTCTGCCCGGGAGGCAGGCGACTGAGACGGGAAGGTGGGTCGGGGGTCACTGTCTGCCCTCAAGGCTTCGCGTGTCCCGAGCTGCAGGTGTTCTCTGAGTACTTCAAGGAGCTGGAGGAGGAGAGTATCCGGGACAACTTCGTAATCATCTACGAGCTGCTGGACGAGCTCATGGACTTCGGCTACCCGCAGACCACCGACAGCAAGATCCTGCAGGAGTGAGCGGTCCCCCCCCCCCCCGCCCGCCCCGCGTCCTGTCGAGGGTCCTTCTCCCCCCGCTCCCCAGGCCCCGCCAATGTCCGCTTTCTCAGATGACGGCGCAGGACATTCCGTCGGCCCCTTCTGGCACCTTCCCTGCCCACACCTCCCACCCCACAATCCATAGCTAACGCACCTTGCCCTGCGTTACAGGGGGCACGGGCCGTGTGGAGAAGCCAGGGCTCCCCAGACAGGGTCAGTCCACCTGTGTGCCCGCAGGGACGAGAACAGCTCGCCTACCTCCTGTTCAACCTAACCCTGACCACTCGGCCACCAGATGAGCGCCGAGGGCCCCTGGGGCTGGGGGTGGCAGGCTGGGGATGTGAGAATGGCCCACTGCTGACCCCAGGGCCTCCCCCACTCCCAAGGGCCGGAGCTTCATGTCACCTCCTTAACTCTGCATGGGGGTTCACAGGTACATCACTCAGGAAGGCCACAAGCTGGAAACTGGGGCCCCGCGGCCCCCGGCCACCGTCACCAACGCAGTGTCCTGGAGGTCAGAGGGCATCAAGTACCGGAAGAATGAGGTGTTCCTGGATGTCATCGAGTCTGTCAACCTCCTGGTAGGCTCCTGTTCCTGTGTGCTGAAATGCTAGCCTCCCCACGACAGAGAGGAAGCAAGTGAAAATTTGAAACTAGCAAAGCCTGAAGGGTCCTGGGCCCCAGGTGCTGGAGCTGCACGTGGGTGACTCGGGGGTGCCAGCCCGCCTTCGCCCTGCTGGACCGGGCTCTGGTTCGCAGTGTGCTGTCAGCACAGGCACAGAGGTCACATCTGTAACCCCTGCACTCAGAGGCGGAGGCTAGAGGAGCTGAGTTCCAGCCAGCCTGGACTGCGTAGTGAGACCGTGCCCAAATCACACACACAAAACACGTGGTGTAGGAGGCTGCCCTAGGGACACGCCTTGTCCTCTGGGGCCGTCTGTCCGTGCGTTGTGTCTCTAGAAGACTAAGGCTGGCAGAGGCCTGCTGCTGCCGCTGCTCATTTGGCCTCGTGTCTTGGTGTTTGGATTGTTTGTCTGTTTTGGGTGCGAGGCCTTGCCCATGCCTGGCCAGCACTCTACAACGCAGCCACAGCCCAGCCTGTCTGGTTTTCTTATTTTTCTCAGTCAGTTGCCTTCTGAGCACAGCTGTGCGCTGACTTGTACACCCCGAGACCACCCTGTGCTCTGCCTTCGTAGCTCCACCTCCCCCAGCCCTGGTGACCCCACTCCTTCCCTGTCCTCCATCCCCTGTGGGACCAGCACATCCTGCCCTGGCTGGCTTCCTTCCGTCCCCTCCACAATCCACAGTGCCTTCAGGGCTCATCCAGGCTGCAGTGCTGGGCAGGACTCCGTGTCTGTTCATTTATCATTTTGAGTGACAGTCTGTCTGAAGGACACTGTGTCTAGTCTGGGCTCTGATGCGAGCACTTTGTTTCCAGGTGTGGGTGGCGGGTAGCACAGTCCTAAAGGGCAGTCCTGGTGTCTGCAGTGTGCACTTAACGTGCATGTCCCTGATGGCTAGTGATCTTTGGTTTTTTTTTGGTGGCACTTGGGTTTGAACTCAGGGCCTTGCTTGCTGGGCATGTGCTCCAGGTACTTGAGCCACTCCACCAGCCCTTATTTTGTGATGGCTTTTTCAAGGCCTGGGCTGGCTTCGAATCTCGATCCTCCTGATCTCTGTCCGACTCTATGATGGATTTTGAGTTAAGTTTTGCAGGAGGTGGGAGGTTATCACCAGCATCTTTTGCATGTGAAGTAGTTTTCAGCACTTGTCCTGATGCCAGGTTTGCGAGGAGCCCCTTCTCCGTTGGGTCGCTTTTGCATTTTTGTCAAAGTAAAGTCCAGTACGTTTGTGTGGCACTGTTTCTGACCCGTCCTACTCCACTGATTTGTGTCTGGTCCAGCAGCAAGACTCGTTTTTATTACTGTGACTTTACAATAATTGAAAACGGGTAGTGTGATTCCTCCACCATCATTCCTTTCAAATCTTGTTTGCAGGCTTGGCGCAGCTCAGTGCTTAGCCTGTGTGGAGCCCTGGGTTCCGTCCCCAGCACTGCAAAAAGGAAAAAAAATGGCTTTGTTCTGAATTCCTTATAGAATTCAGCCCACAGCAGCCCTGTGGGGATTTTGACTGGTGTCGCGTGGCCTTCACAGATCCGTTCAGGAGATGGGTATTTTCACTATGTTAGGTCTCCCAGTCCAGAAACATGTCCGTCTGTCTGTCTACATGTATGTATAAAGATATGTCATTTTTGATTGCTTTTGGCGGTGTTTGGTGGTTTTCCCGCCCAGGTGTTAATTGATAGCTAAGCCTCGCCTTTGAGATTTTGGGGCAGGGCTGAATCACATGCGTCCATGCCTCCTTCCCCAGGGTGCAGCGATGGGGTTGGGGACCCGCCCCACACTCTTGCATTGTTTTCAGACTTTGGAACGTGTCTGGGACTTTGCACCTAGATGTGTGACTGTACAGAGGGACTTTGCTGGCTTCCTGTCCAGTTTAGCCTCGTGTCTCTTTCCTGGACGTCAATCAGACTTTGAGTACAGTGTGAGGGTGCCGAGGAGGACACTGGCCCCTGGCTGGCCTTGGAGGAGACGGTCAGCAGGGCTGGAAGGCTTTTGTCATGGTGCAGGCGCTCTGTTTACATCGACACCCGTGACTCTGGGTGTGTGGGTTTGTCCTGAGGATGGACCCTGGGCCTCAGCCTTAGGCCGGCACTGCACCCCACACCAATTTCAGCCCTTTAGTGGCTGTAGAGGTTCTTGGGTTTTCTGTTTCATCTTGGGTGGGTTTTGGTGGTTTCGTTTTCGAGATAGTGGCCCATTCCGTGTCACTTGTGGAGTGCTGTTTAATAGCAATTCAGTATCTGCAAGTTCTAGCGATTGTGGCAGCTCTCTGTCCTCATTTGGGCTGTGATTCTCTCATTGTCCTTTGTGGGTCCTGTGAGAAGCCTGCAGATTTCCTGGCTGTCAGCAGAACCAGCTTTTGATTCCTGATCTTCTCTGTGGTTTTCTGCCACCATCTGGGTCCCTCCCCCCACCCCCCACACTTCAGCCTGGCCTTGGACTTCTGATTTTCTTGCCTCTACCTCCTGAGCGCTGGGATTGCAGGTGTATCTCACCATACTCAGCTTGCCAGTGATTTTTTTTTTTTTTTTTTTTTGGCAGCACTGGGGTTTGAACTCCGGGCCTCATGCTTGCTAGGCAGGTACTCTACCACTCGATCCACGTCCTCAGTGCTATCATTATTTTTTAATGTACTCCTGCTTTAAATTTTCCCTGTTAGTATGCCATGTCACGCCAGCACCAGCCCCAAGTGTCTTGTGTTTACTGTGTCACTTAGTGGCTTCAGGAGGCCACGTCCACTGACTGAGCCACAGCGTGTAGACTGAGTGGTGTGCCCTATGACGTCATCTCAGGCCAGCACCACCCAGTGAGTCCTCTCAGAGCCCCACCTGTAGACTGTGTGTACTCGGGTGCACACAGGCTCCGTGGCTCCGTGTCGTGCCACTCCTTTGCAGTGTGGGAGCATCACCACCCCTTCTTCAGGTCGCCTTTCTGTCGTGTCTGTGCTCGGTGGGGAGGTTTGTGTTGTCAGTTGTCCAATGTGCTCTAAAGAACCCCAGAGGAGACATATCCCTGTGGCCTGCACTTCCTCCCTGACTCTACACATTTCCTTGGCATCACTGCCCACCCCATCCACTATGCGTCTGAGTTGTTCTCAAAGAGCAGCAGCATTGGCTGCACATGCCCCAGCCTCCCTCCCTGAGCTGTCTCTAAGTTGTACCTTTAGCTGAAGGGCGCTCGCTGGCCAGCAGCCTCCTCTTCCCACCTGGACAATTGGACCACTTCCTTCTGTGCCCACGGCTCCCACTGAGGAGCCCATATCCCTTGACTCCCCATGGGCAGCAGTATTCCCTCTGACTACTTTCCCATTCTTTTGTCTTTAGTTTGTAGCAGTTAGATTTTGTTCTTTTGTTTTCACTTTTTGTGTTGCTGGGGATGGAGCCCAGGGCCTCCTGCATGGTAGGTGAGCACTGTGGTCTGAGCCCAGCACCCAGCAGTTGGATTTTAATGCATCTGGGTGTCTCTGTTGTTTGGGGGGAATGTCTGGCTTCTTGCAGTCTTTTGCCAAAGTCATAAACCAAGAGGTTTCCCTCACTCTTTTCCTTCTGCACCCCCAGCACTAGCCCTCTGCCATTGTCTGTCCATCCCATTTCTTCTTGCTCGTGTACACTGGATAGTTTCTGCCCACTGTCTCCACGTTCCTGAACTCATTACTACTGTGGAACCCATCCAGCAGGATTTTTATTTATATATTTATTTATTTATTTTGGTGGCACTAGGGTTTGAACTCAGGGCCTCACTCTTGCTAGGCAGGTGCTCTACCACTTGAACCACTCTGCCAGCCCTTTTCTGGTTTGAGATTTTTGAGATAGCATTTAGTGAACTGTTTGCTCAGGCTGGCTTCGAACCACAACCCTCCTGATCTCTGCCTCCTGCAGAGCTGCGATTACACGCATGAACCACTGGGACCCAGCAGGATTTTTATTTTAGTTCTTATAGTTTTCTGTGCTACACTTTCTGTTTCATTTCTCTTCAGTCACCTGCTTCTTCACTGAGACTTCCTGTATCAGCATTTATTGTTGCTGTCTGCCACTTTTATGACTGTGATTCAAGTGTGTCTGGTTGTCCCAGCATTGTATGCCCACTGGTGTCTGCTGACTGTTCTCCCACATGAGTTGAAATCTTCATGGGTTTTCACAGGCCTGGTCATTTTAGATTATATCCTGGGTTTTTAAAATATTGTATGATCAGATTCTAGGTCTTATATAAGTTACATGGTACAGTGGATATTTTTGTTTTAGCTGACAGTGATCTGGGTAAGTTCAGGCCAGGAGTGCTGCACCAAGCCTGTGGGCCATGACAATCAGTGTCACTCTCGAAGCCTCTGTCCCAAGCATGCTGTGCCCAGCAGTCAGCAAGGGACTGGGCAGCTGGCTGAGTCCTGCAAGTCTTTGGTAAATGATCAGACCTCATGTGCGCAATTCCAGGCTCTGGAGATGGATTTCTGTGTGCTCTCAGTCCCACACTTCTAGATCCCTGGGGCTTTCTGAACTTGATCCTGCTGTGCTACGCACCGTCAGGCAGCCTAACAAAGTAGGTAGGAAAGAGCAGTGAGGTTTGCCCCAGGCTGTGGGGATGACCTGGCTCTGGAGGCCGAACCAACACAGGAAAGGAGGTGGCCATGAGCCCCAGTGTCAGGAGCTCCCCGTCAGCCTTCCCCACTGTCTGCACCACAGTGCTCAGCTCCACCTGCACCTGCAGGTGTCCACCGCACTGCCCCGGGACAGTGGGAGAAGGTGCCTGCCTCTCCTGGCAGCTCTTCCCAGCCCACTTGCCGCCCCTTCAGAACCTTCCAGCAGCCGCCAGGGCTCCCAGCCCAGGTTTGCAGTGGTGGTGAGTGGCAGAGGGAGGTTGGTGTAAGCTCAGAGCTGGCTCCTCCATGCCAGTTCTGTGCAGGGTCCCCAGGCCACCTGGCGCCTCTCCCTGCCTCACAGAGTGCAGGGCCTACTTAGCGTTCACTCCCGACTGTCACAGCAGTGGCCAGAAGGGCATGTGTGCCCGTCTCCCCTACCTGGGATGGTCCTGAGGCTGAGTCCCCGGGCATGGAGTTGCCCATGGGAGTGCCTCCCTGGAGACCATTCCAGAACACCCAGCGCTGGCCCTTCACTTCTTACTGTTTAAGCTGTGGAGCAGTGGGGCGGCCACCTCACAACACATTGTCCTCCGCTGGGCCTTGTCTGCATGGCGATGGAGCTTAGGATGTGGCAACTGGCTCCAGGGTGCCCTGCGGGGAGCAGTGAGCCCCGGGAGCCTCTCAGAGACAGGGCGCGCGCCAGGAGCGGCCGCACGCGTCAGCTCAGGCCACATGTCCCTCAGCGAACCACTCTTCATTGAGCTGTGCACCCAGGGGCATCAGCTGTGAGTGGCCAGCCCTGTCCACTAGGGCCACCTGTCCTGATGGCTGCCTGCAGGTCTAAGGTTGATCGTATGTGCTGGGCGGCTCCTGGGTTCTGCTCTGTGGATTGACCTTCTAGCCTCGGTGACCACGCATTTTCAGTGACAACCAAGACGGTATCCCTGAGACGGGAACAAAGGCTGCCACGGTCGAGTGGGGCCACAGGAGCCAGGCAGGTGCAATTGCAGCCCTTGGGAGCCCTGGCCCGTGGGGTGCCTGAGGCCCCTGTGCCCGCTAAGCAGCTCCCTACGCTGGGCCCAGCAGTGAGGGCAGGGCCAGCCAGCCAGGTGTGGCTCGAGAACATGGGATGGGGCAGCCGCTCGGCACCGTGGGACAGTGGAGAGTGAGCACCCATGGCCTGCTGGGCCTTGTCCTGCCTCTCGTCCTTCTCGGACTGTCATTCACTGGGCACCGGTCTCCCCTCTGCTCTCGGTGGCAGCAGAGGTGGGACACTTTTTGGCCACTGTGTTAAAGACAGGACACTGGTCGTTCCTGCCTCCTCAGACAGGAAGAGCAGACCCCGCTCCATGTGCAGCCTGGGGGTCCCAGTTGGTGACCTCGAGGTGGGCATGCCTGCTGGTACAGATGTGGCCTCACACTCTGTGGCTATGGGGAGTGGCACCGATGGACGGTTTGGCCCAGGGCTCTGGGCCTGTGGGCTGGGGAGGTGGCAGGCTGAGCCAGTGCTGTGGGCAGTCGATGGCCCCTTCATGTCCCCTCCACCCCCAGGTCAGCGCCAATGGCAACGTGCTTCGTAGCGAGATCGTGGGCTCCATCAAGATGCGCGTCTTCCTGTCGGGCATGCCCGAGCTGCGCCTGGGCCTCAACGACAAGGTCCTCTTCGACAACACGGGCCGTGAGTTCCCGTGAGGCCAGTGGGGGTGGGGAGGCTGTCGCCCTGGAGCAGCCCGTCCTGTGGCCAGGGCACGGCTCCATCCAGGGCACACGCACCAGCGCACCCTGCACATTTGCCTGGTCTCCTGGCGTGTGTGGCCCAGATGCTGTCGTGGCAGGGGTGGCCCAGGCAGAGCAGTGCCATGAGAGACCCTCACGTCCTGCCCGTCCTGGTCCCCACAGGTGGCAAAAGCAAGTCTGTGGAGCTGGAGGACGTGAAGTTCCACCAGTGCGTGCGGCTGTCGCGCTTCGAGAATGACCGCACCATCTCCTTCATCCCTCCCGACGGCGAGTTCGAGCTCATGTCCTATCGCCTCAACACCCATGTGAGTGACCACGGCTGGGTGGCCGCACACAGGGCCCTCCCATGGGAGAGTGGGCCTGGCTCCTTTCCGGGCAGTGGGCTTTGTAAGGCAGGAGCCGGGGAGAGCCGTGGCTTCTCGCTGCCCACAGGTGAAGCCCTTGATCTGGATCGAGTCTGTGATAGAGAAGCACTCGCACAGCCGCATCGAGTACATGGTCAAGGTCAGTGGCTGGGGCTCGGGAAGGGACACCCCATGGGCAGGCGGCCACCCGCAGAGCTCCTCCAGGCCGTGGACTTGGGAACGCCAGCTGCAGCGGGGCGTGTGGCCCTGCCGGGGGCTGGACGGGCTGGCTGCCTCACCTTCCCTTCCGGTCCCTGACCCACCTGGCCTCCTGCAGGCCAAGAGCCAGTTCAAGCGGCGGTCCACGGCCAACAATGTGGAGATCCATATCCCTGTGCCCAACGACGCTGACTCGCCCAAGTTCAAGACCACAGTCGGGAGCGTCAAGTGGGTCCCCGAAAACAGCGAGATCGTGTGGTCCATCAAGTCCTTCCCGGTGAGCCCTCAGTGCCGCCCGGGCATCCAGGTTGGGAATGGGTGGGGTCCTTGGTGTGGACCAGCGTTTGGAAGCTGCTGCTTTCCCTGCCGGGTTCTTGGGAGCGTGGACTTTGTGACAGAGAAACTTCCCTGCACCCCATGTTGCAGTTTCCCTGCAGGAGACATGGGGCGGGGACAGGGTGGGTCCGTCATCTTCACTGCAGTGCGGCTGCCAGCAGCCTCGGCGCGTGTCCTGCTGGTCCATCTGTCTGCTCTTGCTTTCTGTGGTTATGGGCAAGGAGCAGAGCCAGCTGTCTGTCCTTCCCAAGTGGGGCGGGACTGGGCGGGGCTGCAGGACCCACCTCAGAGCCGTGTGTGCTGTCGGAGCGTCCCCGTGGTGTTGACGTCCTTCTGGCCGCAGTATGATAGTCCACAGAGGCAGCAACCGTCACAGGCCGTCAGCCCGTCTCCTCTTTCCCATCCCCTCTTCAAAGCAGTGCTTAGGAGCTGGGAGCAGAGGTTCTGCCTGTAGCCCCAGCACTTGGGAGGCTGGAGCAAGAGGGTTATAAGTTCCAGGCCAGGCTGGGAAACAGAGCGAGACTCCGTGTCTAAAAACAAAACAAAGTTACCGAGGAAGCAGAGATTGGGAAGATCGCAGTTCAAGGCCAGCTCCAGGGAAAAAGTCTGTGAGACGCCACATCAAACTGGCTGGACGCAGCCACGCAGGCAAGCCTGGCAGAAAGCGAGAGTCCATCTCCAAAGTGACCAGAGTGAAAAGGGCGGGTGGAGTGGCTCGAGTGCCGTAGGGCCTGCTTAGTAAGCAGAAAGCCCCGAGTTCAAACCCCAGTACTGCCAAAAAAAAACCAGGGCAGAGTGAACTCACTGGTGTGTCGGGTCGAGGACAACCACACACAGATGGCTGACCTCAGGCGCCATCCCCCGAGGAGCAGGGAACAGTAAAGCCATGGCTCCACGTCCATTTCCTCTACCTTATGACAGTGCGAAAGGGGCGCACTCAGCAGAAACCAGACCCAGAACCCACGAGCGTGGGTCTGTCCCCAGCCAGCCCATGTGGCCCCGTCCCCTCCTGCGACCTGAGCAGCAGTGCAGGGCCCATCGCCGCTCATGGATTGCCCGTGACTGGGAAGGAGGCATGGAACGAGTTGTCCTCAGCACGGCCTCAAGTGTGCCGTGCAGTGGCCATCGCCAGGACCCTGTCATCCCAGACTGGCGCCCTGCCTGCCCGGCCCCCAGTGCACTCTGCTTCTACCACTGCGTCCTGCTCTGTCCCCTGGGCACCGTCATGGGCTCCTTCGTGAGCTGGGACAAAGGCTTGGAGACAGCCCACGGCGTGCGGTGCTGAGCTTGTCTTTCTGTCTGTCTGCTAGTGGACACTTAGCCGTGGAGTGTGAGGCTGCTGTGAGTGCTGGGGTCCGCGTGCCTCCAGACCCTGCTTGGGCGAGCAGGCTGCTGAGCACACGCTCGCATCCCCAGCACACCAGCACCCCACTTCTGTCCTTGCTGGAGCTGTGGGGGCGGAGGTGGCTGCTGTCCCAGTGCCCCTTGGCAGGTCCCCAACGGTCGGTGGCACAGCGCTCTGCCCATGTATGCTGTGGTCCCCTCCCGGTTCTCCTCGGGCCACTGGGTCTGTTTGGGAGCTTCATGGATTCAGTTCTCTGGAGTGGCCGCTCCCCAGGCGCCCCGCGGTGGCCCCCTTACAGTGGCCTTCCACACACCCAGTCTGCCATCTTTCTGCAGTGCCGGGGACAAACCCAGGGCTCCACACGAGCTGAGAACACACCCTCAGCTGTGCCACTCCGGCCTGCTGCTGGTCCTCATGAAGCCGGTTTGTCCATCCTTCCGTGTGTCCCCCGTGCTCTAGTGTTGTCCCAGGGAGCGGCAGTCCCATACTGGGGAGGCTTCGGCCCTGTTTTCTTCTAAGACTTTCTACTTTCACTCCTTGGGCGTCTCGACTTAGTTTTTGTCATTGACTCACGGTGTCAGCCAGGCTTCCTTCTGTGCCCGCGCAGATCCAGGGGCCACCCCATTCAGTGGACAGCGCCCCTTCCCCATTGTCACAGAAACATCCAGCTACTTGCGCAGACTTGCTTCTAGGCTCTTTACTCCTCTGTTCTACTTGTCTGTCTGTCTGTCTTTAGGTCAGAGCCACACTAGGGTTTTTTGTTTTGTTTTGTTTTTCTGCAGTGCTGGGGATGGGAGCCAGGGCCTCTTGCATACCAGATAAGCTGTCTGTCACTGAGCCCCACGCAGCCCCAACCATCCATTCCAGTCACTTACTTTGTAGTCGGTTTTGAAGTCGGCAAGAGTGAGTCTTCCAGCTCTGTCCTCTTTCAGCATTGTTTTGGCTAATCCTTACTTTTTTACCGCTGCATGGTGTCTCACTGTGTGACGTTAATTCAGCGTAGTCAGCTCCTCGCCCACCCTAAAGGACACTTAGGTTCCTAATTCCCGGCTTTAGTGTGTCACTCCATGCCGAGACTTGTGGCCTCAGGTGGGTTCTGGGGGTGGGACAGCTGAGTTGGGTTACGCAGAGCCTGGATTTCCGTGCAGCGTGCACATCCCCTCTGTAGGGCTCACTAGTTTGGGGTCCACCAGCCTCACCTCCCACACATCACTGCGGAGTTGCTAGCAAGCTTAGCTGCAGCGCAGTTTTCTCCTCCTCCGGCGTCACCACAGTGGGCGTGCGTGTCTGTGTGACGCCGGGTGCCTTTCCTCCTCATGCCTGGCTCCTGTCTTGGCTCCCAGGAGCCCCGTTGTGGTGTCCTGTGTCTCTGGACACCTCCTCCAGCACGTTTTGCTGTGAGCTGTCTTCATCGCTTCTGTGGTAGTGGTGTCACCAGGTCACAATGTCCCTTGTCGGTCTTTTCCTTTGTTGGGACTGGAGTTGAAGTCACTCCCCTGGCTCTTCCCCGTCCACCTCAGGTCCTCCTGAAGCACAGCATGGTGGGTGGCGTGAGACACGGGCCGCTTCCCTCTGCCATGTCCCATGTCATCCTGCAGGCCCCTGTTCCTGGGGCCGTCAGAGCCGTGTGGCTCAGGTCCCACGTGCTCACGCAGTGCTGGGTTGCTTTCCAAGCAGCCAGCCTGTTCTCCCCAGAGGCCTTGCTATAAGCCCGTGTCCCACCCTCAGCTGTGGGCTCTTCCTTCAGCATCTGTGTGCCCGTGTGCAGTGACAAGGAAAAGGGGAGAATGGAGACATTTGTGAGGTTGAGCTCTCCTGCCCGCTCGCCCATCGCCCGTGTGCCGTCCACACTGTGTTTAAGCACTTTGTTTGCTTTAAATAGTGATTGTTTTGGTGGTGGTGGCACTGGGGTTTGAACTCTGGGCCTCACACTTGCCAGGCAGGTGTTCTACCACTGGAGCCCCTCCGCCCTCCTCCTTTAATGCTTCTTGATGCTGGCTTGTTTTTTCACATGTGGCCCTCAAGAGTGGCCTGGGCATAAGCTGTACCCATCATCACTTCTCAGAGCCAGTGACACTCCTGGGCCAGCTGCCCCTGGGAGGACCGTGGCTCTGTGCACTGTGTCCTGCCACTCGTGACACCTCCAGGGTGCTGTGTGTCCCTGTGCGCCTCGCTCAGTCTCAGCCTGCGGCCACGGGCCACAGGCTGGGCAAGGTTGCAGAGCGCCGTCCCTTGCTGCTGCTGGCGTGTCCCTCTGGGTTTCCCCTTTGCGCTGTGGGGCACCCGCCACAGAGCCACACCGGGGACGCTGTGTGGCGCTGGCCTCCCTTGTGGCCCTCAGGCTGCGGTGCTCACCACACTGGCAGCCCGTGGCTTCCCCCCAGCTCCGTTGCTTCAGCCGCTGCCCCGGGGCTGTGGACAGAGGGGGAGCTCTGCCAGTGACCGGGAACGGCCGCCCCTCTGCTGGGGCAGCGCCACTGCCAGGCTCCCTCTCCGATGGCCCTGACGTGGCCGGCAGCGCTGGGCAGGGCTTCCCTCCCCCTGCGTTGACTTGGTTCTGCTCAAGTAATTTTGCAGAGCTGGGGTTTGAGCTGGCGGTGACCTGGCGTTTGTTGGGCATCTGCGTTGGTCCGAGCGCATGAGCCCTGGCCGCCTGTGTCCCCGGAGGCCGTGGCCGCGTTGTGTGGCGTCCTTACCTTGCGGAGCTTCTGCGCCAAGCGAGCTTCGCTTGTGTTCTCAGAGACTCGGTGCCTCGTGGCTTTTATAGGTCACAGAGGTGTCCTTGGTGGAGGGTGAAGGTCATTGCTGTCGGTGACCCATGTACTTGGGAGGACGATGGGGCGTCCGAACCACTGAGCAGTGTGACCCATGCGCCCACGAGGTGGATGTGACAGCACCACACTGTCCACCAGGACGCTGTTGAGCCGGGGCCAGAGCAGCACTGTGACCCACGCCCCCGGGTCTCCTCCACGTCCTGTCTTCTCTGTCCCAGAATGGGCTGCCGTGCTGCTTGGGGCTTTGTTGCCATAGCAACTCTGCCCTCCTGTGGCGTCAGGCCCGTCCCCACACCTGCCCTTGCTGCCCTGGTTCCCAGTGCTGTGCCAGCCTTGCCTCAGCCCCTGCCTCCGGCCATCGAGCGGCCTTTCCACTGGTGTGTGGGGTGAGTCTGTGAGCCAGTCTGCACATGTCGTCCCTGGGAGGAGGTGGAACCCGCACGGGACGGGCAGCCCTCCTGCAGCGCCACCTGCTTCCCTGCTCGCCTGTCCTGGTGTCAGGGACCCTCAGGCCTGTGCCTCATGCAGAACCTGATGGCTCCTCGCGTCCCTGCCTGCACTCGGCACCCGACACCGCAGCCAGGGTCGCGCTCACGCCTCCCACTGTGACCACGGCGAGGTGGAACCCAGCTCAGGCTCTGCGCCTCTCGGCCGGAGTCCAGCGTCCCCGTGTCTGTGCCAGATCTGGGACCTGGGCGAGGCCAGTACAGACACAGCCAGGCCAAGGCTGCCGCTCCTCGTGGCCAGGGCACAGCAGGGCTGTGGCCAGGCCTTCCTGGACCTGGGGACACTCCCCCTGCCCCCACCAGTGTCTCCCTGGGACCTCACCCCACTCATGGCCTCCATGGGCCTCTCGCTTCTCTTTCCCACGTGGCCCTGAGATGGGGTGCGGGGCCATTCCTGGGCCTCTGGCCTGGGCAGGTGGCCGCTGGCCTTCCGGCTGCCATGTGGGTTCTTCGGTGGCAACATTTTCTCCCCCCGAGAGGTCATGAGGCTGTCCTGGCTCCCTGGGTCCAGCTGGTCCCCATGCCCAGAGGACTTGGAGGTCAAGTGCGTTGGGAACAGCAGGGCAGAGGGCGGCCCGGCCTGACCCCTCCGTGTCTGCTCCGCCAGGGCGGCAAGGAGTACCTGATGCGGGCGCAGTTCGGCCTGCCCAGCGTGGAGGCAGAGGACAAAGAGGGCAAGCCTCCCCTCAGTGTCAAGTTCGAGATCCCCTACTTCACTACCTCAGGCATCCAGGTGTGCTGCGTGCCCCCGCGCCCTGCCCCTGCGCCCCTTCTGCCTGTGCTGCCCGGGGTGGGAGGGCTGCGGGTTGGCGGGCGGCGCGCTCAGGCCGGTGCCGCACACGTGCGCGCAGGTACGCTACCTGAAGATCATCGAGAAGAGTGGCTACCAGGCGCTGCCCTGGGTGCGGTACATCACGCAGAACGGAGGTGAGGCCCAGGGGCGGGCAGGGCCGGGGCAGGACGGCCTGGGAGCGAGCCGAGGGTGACCCAGTCTCTGCTGCCCAGATTACCAGCTCCGGACCCAGTGAGGCCACCGCCCCGTGCTCCTGCCAAACCCACGATGGAGCCGCCTGGACTCCAGCTGCCCAGGACCCCTCCTCGCCACCCTGCCAGCTGCAGACGCTCTCAGAAGCCCCTGCCCCAGAGAGCCTCGCGTCGCCCCGCCGCCCCGGGACTTCCGCCCTCAGCGTGGGCGGAGGTGACCTCGGCCCCAGTGAACAGCTCAGCCACCAGCCCAGGGACTCGATGCCAGCTCCGGCCTTGCTCCACAGCCCTTCTGTTGACCGCATCGACTATGGGGTCCCCGTGTTTTCTGTGTGTTCATTGTTCTGTCCCCTCCCCATCCCCATGGCCACGGCCACCCAGTCCCGGAGCAGCTGGGCAGCGCTGGGCAGGAGGAGGCCTGGCCTGTCCTTGGCTGTTCCACCTGCCAGCAGCACCTTCCCGAGGCCTGCTGGGCCTGGACGCCATCCCTCGGCCACACCAGTGTTTCTTTCCCCAGGGGCCGGGGGCGCAAGGGCCGCGGCCCCAGCCTCTTCCCGCTGAGGGTCCTCAGGGAGGAGACGCTGGCCACCGTGCCCCCGTCCTGTGGGCCACCTGCATTAAACCGTGCATTCAGCTTGTTGTCACCTCCTCTCTGGGACACGGTGGTTTCCTGCTCTGAGTGCCCGACATGAGTGAGGGAAGGGTCTGCATGGTGTCACCAACCTGTGCGGTCCCATGAGGTGTCACCAGCCCCCAGCATCCCCCCCACCTCCCCTGCCAAGACCTGGAGCAAGCAGTGGGGATGAGGCCCTGGGGGGCCGCACTGAGGTGGGGTCTTCTCTGGAGCGCACCCACAGCTGCCACCCTCCCAGTGTCCCCCTTGGTGCTCCAGCAGCCCCAGAACCGTGTCCCCGCCAAAACAGGTGTGGAAACCCGTGGCCAAAGTGGTGGTCCTAGGAGGTGGGGAGACCACAGGCACCCCCGTCCCCGTCCCCGTCCTGTGGACAGGACTCAAGGCCTGGGGTGCAGCTCGGCGGTGGCCGCCTGGCTCCCGTGGGTGAGGCCCCGCTTCGTCCCCACACTGCTAAGTGACTAGAACGGACCGGGTGGAGGGAGCTTGCGTTTTTCGCCCTTCTGCCATGCGAGGAGGCCCCGGCCGCTTCCAGGGCCACGCGCGACACCCCCGTTCCTTCTAAATCACCCAGGCTGGAGCGTCGTCAGAGCAGCAGATCGTCCTGACCCGTCAGAGGGCGCGGCGTGGCCGTGCTCGCTGTCACACACCGCGCGATCGTCACTCACTCCCTGAGCCCCGCAGCAGGGCGACGACAATGCCAAAGGCGGCCAGGGAAAAACACATGGCTTGATTGCTTGACAGCCGACGCGGACCTGCAGCCCAAGTTCTAAACCTGGAAAGGCTTTCTGAGAACGAGGCTGCGGAGCGGCTCACGTGGAAGGGCGGCCGCCTAGCAGATTTAAGGCCCTGAGTTCAAACCCCAGTACTGGCCAAAAAAACCCCAAAAAACAAAAATAGGGCTGAAATGAAAACATTCCTCAAGCAAACGGGAGCCACAGAAAATCCCAAAGGGTGCACTTGAGACACAAGCAAGTGACCCAACGTGGAAGGTCACAACACGGTCAGGAGCGATGAGCCGAGGCGGGAGACGTGGGGAAGCTGGGGAAACTGGGGATTCACTGCCAGAAACTCAGGCTGTCTTCTGCAGCAGTGACACCGTTAAAATACACAGCAGAGCCGGCGCCGGTGGCCACGCCTGTAATCCCAGCTACTCGGGAGGCAGAGATCGGGAGGATCCCGGTTCAAAGCCAGCCCGGGCAGCTTGTTCACAAGCCCCTACCTCAAACACACCCAACACACAAAAGGGCTGGGGAGTGGCTCAAGATGAAGGCCCCGAGTTCAAGTCCCAGTACCGCCAAAAAAAAACACAAAAAGTCTTGAAGTCTGAAGCAAGGTGCGTGTTCACGGGGCTGTGTCTTTAGGGGAGGACCCACAGGGTCAGGCGTCAGGTGTGCGGCTGGGTGACCCGGGGGCGTCAGGGAGGACCCCAGCGCAGTGACAGTGACAGTAACAGTGCAAGCGTCTTCCTCACCACACAGCCTCGGGCCTCCCCTGTGTTTAAAGGGTGCAGCACCCCCACAGCCACCAAAAAAGTAGGAAAAAAGTGAAGGTCGCAGTGTTGAGGACGCCCTCCCCTGCTCACCGCCCCTGGCTCCCGAATGCCCCGAGACACGCGTACAAGTGACACCTGTTCCTGGTGGCTGGGTCGCCCCCACCCTGCACCTCTGTGTCCCTGAGCCCCGGGCGGCACCCGCTGGGGCCACTAGGGGGCGCACGCCGCAGACCGGTCCACCGAGCGGCTGGGTGACCTCGCTGCCACCGGCTGGATGGTGACAGACGCTGACACCGAGGCCCAGAAAGGTCACACGCTCTGAAGGCTCAGCCACCACCCAGCTGTGTCCCGCTGGTCCCCACACAGGGAGGGACGCAGGACAAGCAGGGCCCGTGCACAGCCCGGCCTCAGCCCCCAAGGCCACGTGGGGAAACCGAGGCACGCCCGGCGGCCTGGCCGGGGACCCAGCTCCAAAGCAACCGCAGCAAGCGGTGCAGCGCCTGCTCTGCAAGCGCAAAGCCCTGAGTTCAAATCCCGGCCCCGCCAATGACAGAGAGACCTGGCTCCCAGCCAGCTGGGCGCATCGTCCATTCGTCCAGCAGGGGGCGCCACAGCCCCGTGTCCACACGGGTTGGGAGCAGCAGGCGGGGCTGAGGATCCCTCATCCCTTATTGTTACTTTATTGTCCTGTATTTGCAGCAGTAGGACTTGAACTCGGGGCCCCCACCTCGAGCCACTCCACCAGCCCTTCTTTTGTGAAGGGTTTTTGAGATCGCGTCTTGGAAAACCATTGCTCCAGCCTGGCTTTGAACCACGGTCCTCCCCATCTCTGCCTCCCGAGGGCCGGGATCCTGGGCCCCGCTGACCTCGGTCACTTCCTTGTGTTGGGGACATTGAGCCTCCTGTTCGCTGGTGATGTTGAAATAGCCAGGGACGCTGTGCTTCCACGCTCCCTCCTCGGAGAAGCGGAGGAAAGTGCTCAGAGACAGGAGCAACCACCTGAGGTCACACAGCAGGGACGAAAGGCCAGGCTGGAGCCCTGAACAGCCCAGGCCCCGGCCTCCCTGCCCCGGCCCCTCCTCGTCCCCTATCAGTGGGTCACCTACGATGTGGCCTTTGTGTCTGGCCGTGTCTCTCGGGCTCGCGTTTTCAAGTTCATCCATGTCGCGTGTGTCAGCACAGCACCCCATCACTTTTCATGACTGCGTAATACTCCACCGTGCAGCCGGGCCAACCATATTGTGCTCCCCCTCGCACTGCTGTGAAGCTCCGAGTGCAAGGCCTCGTTCCAGCTTTGCCACACAGCTTTGTGTCCTTCAAACAGGACACCCCAGGTCCCCTCATTTCTCACCCACGAGATGTCCCCAACTTGTGTCTTCAATGCCCCAAATGAAGACTGGGAGGTGAGGGACGGTGACAGCCACACAGGAGAGGCCACTATGACCTTGAGGATCACCTGTGTCCCCCGCCTGTCCCCTCCCTGCCACTCAGCCTGCCCCTAGCCTGGCTGCAGCATCACCGAGGCCACCGTGGCCACCGCAGGAAGGACCGTGACAGACCAAGGCCAAACCCCCGCTCGTGAAGACGTGGGGTTAATTCGAGAGCGGGGATTGTGCAAACTCACCGGGGTGGACTTCGTGTCACGCGTACCCCAGGTGAAGGGCGCAGGCCGGCACTGGTGCTCACGGCTGTAATCCTAGCTACTGGGGAGGCTAAGATCTGGAAGATGGTGGTTCGAGGCCAGCCAGAGAAATAGTTTGGGCGACCCCACCTGCAAAGGAACCGGAGCAAACTGGACTCAAGTGTGGAGCACCTGCTTTGCAAGCAGGAAGCCCTGAGTTCAAATCCCAATCCCACCTTAAAAAAAAAAAAGTTTCCAGAGCCTGAGGTCCCGGTGGGTCTGAGGCCCTCAACTCGCCCTTTCCCAGTTCGGTTCCCCCTTACGACATGGCGACAAGGAAACTCCGGCTGCAAGCGTGTGCACGCGCCATTCCCTCAGCCTGCTGTTCCCTTCCATGCCATGGGCCTGGCGAGCTCCTACACTACCAGCGCGGCCCCAGCGGGGATGTCCCTGGTCCCGGCAGCCTCCCGGGGTTCCCGCAGCCCCAGCACCCCACACTGCAGAAGTGGGGGCGTCCGAGCGGCAGGGTCTCCCCCAGCCTGGGGGCCGCGCTGCGTCCAGCGCGAGTCCGCCTGCCCCCCTTCCCGCGGGACGGCCGGTCCCCGCCGTGTCCCCGGTCACAGATAAGGCCCGGCCGCTATCGGCAGGAAACATCTTGGCAGGACAGGAAGCGACGCCATGGGCGGCCACCCCGCCCCTCGGCCATCCGAGCCCTATTTTGGGAGCTGCTATATAAACCCGGGCTGGGAGCCGGGCAGCCGCGGGGACGCGGGGACGCGGGGACGCGGGGACACGTCTCAAGTCCTGACTCGTCCTGGGCCTCAGTTTCCCCCCTTGCATCCTGACCTGGAACGGACAGGCCCAGGGTGACACCCGCGCCCAAGCACAGGGGACAGGGCCGGCCGGGGCACGGGGCGGGACTCGAACCCAGGCCCACCTGCGTCACCGGCCCTGCTCGCCCGGGGCCAGTAAAAGTGAAACACAGAAGTGAGAGGGGAGACGCCACTCGGCCCCGGCCGGTGACAGATGAGGGGCCGGTGGCCAGGCAGGCAGGGGACGCCAAGCGTGGCTATGTAAAGTGGCCGGGCCGGCGGGTGGCGGAGCGTGCAGCGCGGCCCCACCTGCCAGCTGCAGCGCCCAGATATAACTCAGCCTGAACCCCACCCAAGCCGGGCCCCGGGCGCCCCGGGGGGGGTCCCAGGGTGGCCGCGGCCCCCGTTTGGGGACAGGGCTGCTGCTGTCTGAGAAGGGAACGGGGCCCGGGCTAAAGCACCTGCCTGGCGAGTTCAAAGCCAACGCCAAACCCGTGCGCACGTTAAGGAAATCACCTCCTTCGTTCTGCGGGCGATACCTCTAGTAATGTGACACAGCCTCCATCCCACTTTTACTT